AGTAGTAGTAGTAGTAGTAGTAGTAGTAGTAGTAGTTATAAGGGTTTTGTTTGACCAATTCCATCCATCACTCCTCGAACAACATGGCCTCGTGGCCACAATTTGCAATATCTCAATAGTTTTTAAGTTTTGTTTTTTGTTTTTTGTTTGACCGATGCCGGACAAGACAAGCATGGAGCAGTCTTTTGACTCCCACGGATGTCGAGTCCGACACTCGCTGGGCCAATGCCGAACCATACCGACACCATCTGGACTTTGGGAGGATTGTAGCCTGTGGGCCGAACAACCTGATGGTCGTACGCCAACCACCAACCACCACTCCCCACCCCCACCCCGACCCAGGGTCAAATTCCGCTCTTGGAAGGGGAAGCCAGACGGCTCATAAGAGCGGATGGATGAGCAAGAGCCACCGCATCGCGTTCTGTTGGGGTTGGCGTATTTCAATCAAGCCTTGACAGCGGCAGCCCTGGCCTTTCTGCGCGCCGCAATAGTCATGTCATACAAGACATCCTTGAAGGCGAAGAGGAAAGCGGCAGTAATGACACTCTGGCTGACTTTAGGGACGATTCCTATTTTGGTACATATTAGCACCGCACCTTAGACAAAGCTAGTTCAAGTTGCAAGGTCAGTCTTACCCTTATACAAGCCGCCCCAACCTTCTTCTCTAACAATCTTGTTCAAACTAGTCCACATCCCCTCAACAGGGGCATCCTTAGTGGCAACATGAGCCCTAGACTTGACAGTCAAGTAAGGATAAGTAATGGTCGTAGCGAGCAATTTGCCCAAAGCGCCCAAGTAAAAGGCGTCACGGGGGCCGACTTTTCTCCTCTTTTCCAGAACATGTTTCAATTGTTCGTAAATGGTATATTGGAGGATCGGGTTGATGACCAAAACCAAAGCGGGCAAGACACCCGCGAACAGGGACGAAGGGCCTTCCTCGCGAAGCAATTTTAGGAGTGTGCCGATGGTGCTGGGCTTCTTCTTTTGCGGGTCAGTGCCCTCGTCGTCGTTTTTCCGGGCGGTCATGCGCGTGTTGATGACCCAGATGGGGTTTGTGAGGAGGACGGTGGCGGATCCCGCGATGGCGCCGGCGATCATGCTTTCGACCGTCGTGAGTTTCTTGCCTGCCCGTCCGGCCTTGATGGCCGCGCGCTCGAAGAACGCCTTGGTCCATTCGTACCAGTAGTAGTAGACGAAATTGGTGATGGAGATGCCGAACAAAGCGCTGTCAAGGCCGGCGTATAGTCCTGTGATCCCTTCTCGGTTGATGATGTGTTTGATCGCAGCGAGGGTTGATGTGTCTGCTCGCTTGGATTCCACTTGCGCCCGTGTTGACAGTGTGATTAGTGGGTATGTGAGCGTCATTGCCAACAGGCCGCCGCCTGCCCCGGCCAGTGCGTGTGCGATGTTGTCCCCTTGCTGCGCGGCGGAGGTTGCGGGCGTCGCGGCGCGTCGGGAGGGTGTAACGGGAGCGCCTGACGAGGTTGGTGTTGGCTTGTTGCTGTCGAGGTCGGCCTCGGTGAGAGCCGGCGCGATGTCTTTGTATTGCGACATGATGGAGGAGTGGGATGGAAGTTAGACTGTTCGGATGGTTTCGTTCGATTGCGCGAATGTGAGAGAGCACCTGGTGTCTGGTGTCAATGCGATGTAGTGGTTGATGATCGGAGTGTGATCAAGAATCGGGGATGGACGTTATGGGAGACTCGGGGTCTTGAAGGGACGAAGCAAAAGAAGTCAGGAAGACGTGTCGACACGTCAGGAGTGATGCTCGCTCTTTGTATACACGGGGTTTAAGTTTACCCGCATGTGCTTCGAGTTGGGGACTGGAGATGAACCATGGGTGATTTCGGAAAACAGACGGCTGTTAGTTGGTCGGCCTAGCTGTCACAACGCACGTCTCATCCGTCAACAATTGGGCCCTTTTGCTCGTTGTAGCCGACGTCGTTTCATCTTCCGCTTGACGAATTCGAAATCCCGACACTCAGACACAAACCTCGGCAAAGTCTATGAATTGGCGGCTTACACCGAGAGATGATCATTATTGGCATGAGGTTTCCGATAACACGCCGCCTTGAAGTGTCGCACCACGTGACTCATTGCTTTGTATTTCGGCATGATTTTCATCCTTTTCCAATGCTCGGGAGTCGGATTGGAAGTGAACCGACTGGGCTGTGTTGCGTGGTTGATGATTGACGACATTTGAGGCTCCGTTTGTTAACGGGCGAGTGCTGCTTAGAAATAACATTGCCTTGCTTACATGGCAAGAACTCGTGTTTTTCAGAGCAATACTTAATCTTAAAGGCATTGATGTTGATTCCTTTCTGATGGTGGTATGTAGGTAAGAAATATTTTTTGGGACTTGTTCAGGGCATCGGCATCAGACCTAGAGGATCACGCTCTGGTGTTCAACTTTGCAATGGCTCAAAAGCCCATCCTCATATCTGGCGCCGGTCTCGCGTCTCTTCTCCTTGCGCGTTCCCTGTTGCGTTCCAACATCCCCTTTCAAGTCTTTGAGCGCGATGCATCCCTCTCCTTCCGCGGCCAAGGCTACCGACTACGTCTCTCTTTGGAGGGATTGGACGCAATCGAGTCCGTCCTCGATCCCGCTGCATTCCAACGGTTCTACGATCACTGTGGGAAGACAGGCGGTAGCGGGTTCGTGGGCTTAGATGCCATTACAGGGGAAGTAGTGGAGGAGCAGAGAATCAATGAAAACCTGAATTCGCGCGGCGGGAAAATCGTGGGGATTGCCCGCGGCGATATGCGGCGTCTGTTTATGGAAGGATGCGAAGAATGTGTGCATTTCAACAAGCATGTCAAAGGATATGAGTTGACGGACGATGGCGTCCGAGCCGTCTTTGCTGACGGCACGAAATCCGTGGAAGGATCCCTCCTGGTTGCCGGGGATGGCATCAAATCAATTGTGGCCAAGCAGGTGTCTGGCGGCCGCCTCAAGGTTTACGACCTCGGTGCACGAGGCATCCACGGACAAGCACCGACGACAGCTTTTAGATCTCTTGGTGAAGGTGTCTTTCGAATCGTTGATGAGTCGCACCCAAGGGGTCGGGTCTCCCTGATCACCAACGTTCGTCCAAATGATATGGATAACCCCGATGTGGAGTTCGGGTGGACCATGACTGGCGTGCCTGGTGTTATTGTACCCCCTAATGACGATTATACCATCGTCGGCAAGACGGCAGCCGATATTGCCAAGTCGCTTACCAAAGACTGGCATCCTCGCTTCAAGCCTTTGTTCGACCAGATGAATGAAAAGGAAGCCGCCTTTTGGAAGCTGACATGTTCAACACCGACCGGCGTGCCTGAATGGCCGAATGAGCCTCGGGTCACGGTCATTGGTGATGCCGCTCACGCGATGACGCCTGCTGGTGGCATAGGCGCCAATACTGCCGTGAGAGACTCGGCTTTGCTAGGAAGACTGTTAGGCGAGGCTGGTGGATATAATGACGGCATAACGGCAGCTTATGAGAAGGAAATGAGGGTATATGCCAGTGAGGCCGTCAGATCAAGCTATGGCATGGCAACCAAGGCATTCAGCGTCCACATTGATGAATCATCTCAGACGGTATAAGCGGATGCCAGTCAAGAACGATGACGGTGGTTGTCCAAGTGGGCAGATACCTGTTAGACAGAGTGTTGTTGACATCCTCAAAATAGGGGATAGCTGTATTCCTATTTATGAAGTACTAGTAGACTGCACTACCCAAGTAAGCCCGACTTGAAGTGAATTGGGCTTCACTCGCCGTCAGAATAAGCCTGAATCTTCGATTTCCATACTGATCCAAGTCGAGCATTTGCAACCAAGCTCTCTCCGTGTTGAACCTTTCAACGCCTTCCCATCATACGTAGCCATCACTCATTGCTGAACTGCATTGAATTGAGTTCAGTCCTTCATTTCCATCTCTCATCCACCCCTAATTATCCTTTGGCATTACATCCCGCCCCACTGGCATTGGCAACTTGAAGGTTCAACGTTCACTTCGCTTGTGTACGATTTAACTTGTCTTCTTCGCTGCCCTCGAAATCGGCGCGGGCTGTCTTCCTTGGCGTTGCTGATACAGGACGTATCCAAAGTATACAGCAACCAGAGTGCCAATGATGAAGAGATTTCCTATCGAGTCGACTTAGTATCGTCCCAAGCACATGCACATTCGTCCCTGTTCTGGCAATCTTACCTATGATGAAGCCAATCGCACCCTCGGCCAAATTAAAGACACCTTTGAACAGGCCAATGACGGTATTGATGGCGGTCCCGAAGAGACCAAAGATGGTGGCAAAGATCCCTCTGATGATCTCGGCGAACGAGGCGAATAGGTTCCCGACGCCTTTGGCGATATCGGACATGATGGCGGGTAATGAAACAGAAAGTCTCGGGTATAGTAGACAGGTACGGCGATAGTGCGATTTGTAGTCTGTTTGACTTGTGAACTGGGAATCAAGGGCGATTCAAGTCGTGTGTAAGTCTGACAGGAAAGAAAGAATAAAGGAGGTTGGGCGCAGTGTACAATGGTAGTTATATCGTCTCGCGACAAGAAATCCCAGTGCGTCACTCTGAGATATTGTGTGCCCTTTGAACCCTGACTCACCTGGGCCATCCATCTGTGGCTGCGCTGCAAGACTGCCGTTCCTGTCCTATCCTATCCTTACCTGGCTTCCCCCCTTGGATTGCTGTGTGGTACCGTGCAGTGCCAGGGACGGATGTAGGTGGTTCAAGTTGTTTGTTTTGTGACGTCACGCTTGTCTGCAAAGCACTGGCACACCGCAGGGCATTGTTCCTGTTTTGTGCATGTGAACAACGCTTTGACTGGCTGAACCGGTCATGGGACATGATGATCATGGTGTGTGTGGCCTTATTTGTGAATGCAGACACTGGCAGGGTTGATGCGCCACAGCCTTAGTTTGGGAAGGAGTTGAAATATGCATCCTACTACCAGTACTAGTAGTTGGATGAGAGGCATACAAAGGCTGGGTGTAGAGCAGTGCCAGTGGGCGATGCAGTGCTTGTGGTGGATAAGGTTAAGCAGAAACCCGCGGTGGAGCTCGGATACGGCGAAACATACAAACCACAAAATGCGAATATAGACAATTTTAGCAGAAGGCTGAAAAATCATGGGGTACAGTTAATAGTTCTACACTATTATCCAGTACCAAGATTTCTTAATTGTCTTTTTGGCGCTTTTCTGGAATGAAATTACTGCGGCTGCTGGCTCGGTGACAAGCAAGTCAACTGTCGGTTTCTCTCTTTTAATCATGGCGTTCTCGACCATCCAACCATTCCAATATGTGGCCATTCGACTGCCCTCGGAAACCATCAAAGTTGAACAAATTGTGCCAAACTCGTAGGTCCCATTCTTATGATAAATCTGTGAGGCAAAGAACAGATATCAGCCAACGGCTTGTGTGCTGTGCGCTGACTCTGTGCACAGAACCATCAGTCTGGGGAAATATGGATCATTTCGTACCAATCAGATTATTGGTCGACCATACCACTTGACCTTTGAGATTCTCGATCGCTCAGAGCTCAGGGTCGTTTCGGCCGCTGAACTGCATGCTGTCACTCTGGTCGAACAAGCAGAAACCGAAGATGCCGCCACTCCACAGACAGATATTATGGAGGGAGACTCAGCAGCCGCCGCGACCACCACGCCATCAACTCCAAAGTCCAACGTGAACACGCATGACGATCCGACGAACCAGAGGCTTACCTTTGCTGAGATTGAAGCCTTGAAGCAAGACGATATGGGGAGCGGCAAAGCACTTATCGAGAAAATCATGCAGTCTCACACAACTCTTGATCAAAAGACTGCCTTCTCGCTCGCAAAGTATACGCTTCGCAAACACAAAAAGTACATGAAGCGCTTTTGCGTGTTACCTCTTGACGTGCCGAGGCTGGTCGATTGGATGATGATTGACCGGGAGGCTGCCAGGATCATGGAAATGCGTAATGAAGCAGTTGCTTTGATGGGGAGCTGGGCCAATGTCCACGCCAGTGGGCGTGGTCCGTTTGTACCAAAAGTTCCGTCTTCCAGATATCTCGTTGTTGACGATACTGGCGGCTTGGTGGTTGCCGCGGTGGCTGAAAGGATGGGCATTCTCCATCAGAGCACGAACAGTAGCAGTCTGGATTACACCACGAAAAACAGTCAAGATGCCAATGAGGCAGAGGACGAGCACGAGCACGAGCAGCCTGACACTGACGCCGTAAAACCACACCAGGGCAAAGACAAGCGGCAACAACAGCGTCGACCGAACCCCATGCAAGCGATAACCGCCATGAGTGCAACCACAAACTCCATTACCCTAGTTCATGCCAATCAACAACCCAATCTCGGCTTACTTCGATACTTCAACTTCGACCCAAATAACCCTACTCCGTCACATCCCCTGTACACTAATATGCGAACACTCTCGTGGCTCCAACTACTGGAACCAGAGGCCGACGTTACCTACCAGGAACCCGAACTCATGACGGCCGAAGAACTGAGCCAGGCAAAGTCGAATCGCAGAAGCGCATACTATCGCAAACGACGCCGATGGGAACGAGTCAAGATGGTGGTGGACGAGACGCGAGAAGGCGGCTTCAACGGCTTGATTGTCGCGAGTTATACCGACCCTGTCTCCATACTACGACACCTGGTTCCCTTGCTAGCTGGTGGTAGTCAAGTGGTGGTTTACTCACCCAACGTGGAACCGTTGGTGAGATTAGCAGACGTCTATTCCACCGGCAGGAAAACGGCATTCATCAATACCCCGGAAGATGAAAGACGTGTGCCGTCTGAAGACTTCCCTGTCGATCCAACTCTGCTGTTGGCCCCTTCTCTTCAGACAGCGCGAGCGAGGCAGTGGCAAGTTTTGCCTGGTCGGACGCATCCAATGATGACCAGCAAGGGCGGCGCAGAAGGATACTTGTTTACAGCAACCAGAGTGTTGCCTGCCGAGGGCAAAATCGAGGCTCGAGGCAAAGGGCCAAGGTCGAAAAAGCCAAGGACGGAAACAGAAGCAGAAGCAGAAGCATTGGGAGTCGCTGAGGTTTCAAATCTTGACGATGCCCAACTGTCACAATCACCGCTTAAGAAGCAGAAGATTGCCACCGGTGAGGCCATTCCTACTCCCACGACTGGGCCGTCAAATGATGTTGCAGATGCATGATGGAACGGAATGTACGTTGGTCGAACAGAATGGCGGGTCGTCACAGCATTCATCTCACCTAGTTAGCCCGCCCGCACGCATAGCAATAGGATTCTTGGATGTTCATGCAATTCGTGCTAAAGCTCGCTCTAATTGTTCGTTTTTTGGACCTCGTCCTTTCACACAACTTCTATAAGCTCTTCCCCATGAATTTCCTCTTTGAAAAGCTTAGCCACCATTTACTCGGTCCCACTCCGCCGGCATATAACCTCCCGTGCAATCTCATGGCCAACTCCTGCCGTACTTGGGACAGATAGCTCCTCAGCGCTTCAGCCTCGGTCCTATCTCGCGGTGCTTCGAATGCTTGGTTCAGAGGGAAGCCTGGCTCGCCGGGAATGCTGAACTGCTCGAGGGCGCCGTTTATGAGAACCTTTTCCGCGCTCTTGAAGTCCATGTGCGGTTTCACTCGGGTCAGACAGTCGGACACAAACAAGATCCCGTAGATCAGCATGCGGTCCGCAGGTCCTTTGATCTCGAAGTTGCGGAAGAATGTGTTGGCTCGGAATAGTTGAAGGACTTCGTCCAGGCAGTCGTACGACTCTGAGTCTGGGTCGACATCGAGCGGGTCTGTGCCTGGCGGTAGTTGCGGGAGAGTATATGCTGGTCCGCGGGTTTTTGTGCGCAACGGCAGTAGAGGGAAGTTGCCTTTGATTGAGAGTCAGCTTTTCGGAGAGGTGCTGATGGGAGAGTACTAACCTATTAATTGGACGCCCTGGTCGCCTAGGAAGATGGAGTGGTATGCCTGTGTCAAGGGTTAAAGACGGAGAAAAGACGCTCGGGAATCGTGGACAATGTACTGACCGGCATGTTGATTGGCAGCAATCTCGACCAAGGGTCAGATTGTATTGCTTTAAGAGAAGATTGTGAGGGATATCAACATGCCGTTGTGTTATGCGGTCGCCTGGCTTGGAGACGGGACGTTACGTTTGTATGCGCCTCGCTGCCAATCGCACCCGGGGCGGAGTGCACTGCTTGAAGCAAGCCAGCCCACATGCCGCTTGGCGTACGTGGGATGCTGTCCGGCGGCTGCTAAAGCGGCGATGATCAAGGTGCGCTTCGTTCCCAAGCGATCACTTAACGCGTCTGCAGCGCGTCGTGGTGTATCGTGTTCCACTGCAGCGCCCTACTAGTAGTACTGGCAGTCCTGATGAATAGTTCGATGCGTGCAACTTGTCGCAGCGCAAAACTGAAATCTCATACTTCCGGCAGCCTACACACCCCTAACTGTTCAATATGTCGGACTTCGAGGATGATATGGACATTGATGTCCCTGCCTCCAAGGACAAGTTGATACAATTCAGTTCAGACAATACCGCAGGAAAACAAAAGCGGATTGTGGCCGATCTCCCTGTCGAGGCAGAGGACAATCTGCCCTGGTACGTTGGAGTCCAACACTCTACTTTGCTTCTGGAACATTTACTCATGGATGGGAGTCCAGGGTAGAGAAATACCGGCCGAACACTCTTGATGACGTCTCCGGGCACAAAGACATTCTGGCTACGATCAACCGATTCATCGAACAGAACAAACTTCCTCACTTACTTCTCTATGGACCACCAGGCACGGGGAAAACATCGACGATCCTTGCCCTGGCAAGGCAGATCTATGGGCCAAAGAACATGCGGCAGATGGTGCTGGAGCTGAATGCCTCTGACGACCGAGGAATCGATGTGGTGCGGGAACAGATCAAGACGTTTGCGTCGACCAAGCAGATTTTCAGCGCGTCGACGCAACAAGGACCTTCGGGAGCGAAGTTCGGATTGGGGGCATTCAAACTGATCATTCTGGACGAGGCCGACGCCATGACTTCGGCAGCTCAGATGGCGCTCCGAAGGATCATGGAGAAGTATACCGCAAACACACGTTTTTGCATCATTGCAAACTACACGCACAAACTCTCACCGGCACTGTTGTCGCGGTGTACAAGGTTTCGTTTTTCACCCCTCAAGAAAGAAGATATCCGGCGCTTGGTCGATCATGTCATTGCTGAAGAGAAGGTCAACATTGCGCCAGATGCCGTCGAGTCTCTGGTTGAACTCTCCAAGGGCGATATGCGCCGAGCTCTGAATGTCCTCCAAGCCTGTCATGCCGGGTCCAGACCACTGCCGATTCGAGGCCAACCTCCCGTCAAGGACGCCGACGTCAAGTACGAATTAATCACCAATGACACTATCTACAACTGTATCGCCGCACCTCATCCCGAGGATATCCGACTGATTATGACCACAATGCTGAGCACTCCTGACATGACGAGTTGTATGAACACAATCAACGCTCTGAAGAGCAGTCGTGGCCTCGCGTTGGCAGATATCCTCACTGCATTGGCGGAGGAATTGCAGAATCTCGAAGTCTCTGCAGCAACCAGGGTTACTTGGTTGCAGGGTTTGGCGGAGATTGAGTATAGACTCGCGGGAGGAGGCAGTGAGTCTGTGCAGACGGGTGGCATGGTTGGTGTGGTGAGGACGGGATGTGAACTTATGGGCGAGAAAGGGGTAGGCGAGAAGATGGCTGTTGATGGATGAGACGGAGTCCAAGGATGTATGGGATCAATGACAGGAAGGGAGTGCCTACCGCATGGAGCCGGACCGGCTCATGACGGCCGGACACCGAACACCAGAAAGCGAAGGGCTTCTTGGCCACGTGCCTTGAACTCGAACCCGAACTGACGGTCACAATACACGACTCAAACTCGGCGAACTTTTCGTCTGACCCTACCCATGCGGATGACGGAAGTGGACTAGTGGTTGGTTGTATCGACCTGTGCAGGGCCCAGACATCGAAGGCAATGGCCAGCCTTGAGCCCCTGCGTGGTGATAGCGAGGGTGCCTACGACCATGCACGGAGAAGAGAACAGAATGCCGCTGCAACCCCCCTGACTGGGCGGCATTGAGGGGAGGGTAGACCGATGGGCACTATGGCACGATGATGTATGACAGAGCCCTCGATGGGGCTTGCAAAAGATCATGTGCTTTGAATCCTCTTTTCTTGTGGATTGTGCCCGAATACCCCACGAGCCAAGTGCGCTGCGAAGGTCAAAATAGTGAGCACTGAAGGCCATCCTACCTTAGCTAGATTGTAGCAAGTGAGATACGATCCATGACATACCAGGTACCTTACCTTATCGGGTACCTGGGTAAACTGCGTCTCTTTCACGTATGCTTTGCCCGGCATACGCCAAGCCAGGTGTTCTTGGCACTGGCAGATTGCGGGTGATTCCAAGTTTCAAGTTCTGGGTAGAACCTCAATCCAACGTGAGGGTGACATCTACGACTTGCATGCCCGAGTTGTATAGAGCAGCCCGGTTCTCCAAGGATAGATGTCACTTGCTTGTTGTCTATCTTCTAGCCTTCTCGATGCTGTATAGATGGACAGCATTCAGATTGAAGACGGAGGGAGAGCCCGGGAGTTTTCTTGGATGTCCGGTTAGGCAGCCAGGATGACGACCGCACAGCACCCGAGCCTACAACCAACACGCCTGAAGCCCGCATCCTCAGCCCTACTACCAGAACCGTCCTGCCCAACGATTTGGTCAGCAACACCTGGGATCATATTGACCGCCCACAACCGCGTTCACCTCCGGTTCTATAGCTTCTTGACCAGCATATCAATCGCTAGATGACGGGTACATATCAGCCGAGAAGCCCACTTCTAGCCATCTACTGAGTATCTCACCCGCAATCGACCCCCAAGGACTGCCCTTCTGTGCGGGACCCAAAGCGTGGAGAGAAGCCTGTCTACTAACCAGCTTGGTTTTCTGGCTGTCTGATTTCAGCCTCCCAGGCCATGAATCTGGTGGTATGCCGATGTTCTAACGATAACACAGCAGTTTCTCACCACTATGCCCAGACATGTCGAGATCTGGTTGCGTGTCACTGTACTGACTGATACCGTTTTACTCAAACTGACTACAACCCAGCCCCACCACCTGTTGTTTTTGCCAGACTAACTCTCTTCCACCCAACTTGTGCCAGTGGATGAGTGACAAGACTGTCCAGCATGACCAACATGGCGTGAAGCAGTGGGAAGATTATGTGCAGTGACAATGGACGGCATGGGGAGATTCATGGCTAATACTACCACCATGAATGAGCCTCCAGAGTGAAGGTGTGGGCTTGGTGGCCAAGGCTCTGGCCCTCTGCGTAGATAGACTGTCCTCTGGGCGTCTGGTGTTGTCTTGCCAGTTGCAGTGCGACAGGTCGACCTTTTTTGACTCTTGTATCTGCCGCCAGCAAAGCGGCGCCAGAACCTGTTGTGGCCAACTGAACCTCACTTTGCTGGGGTTTCACGGCGGCCACAAACACGTAGATCAAGCGGTAAATCTCCTCCCATCATTTTAAGCTGGATAATATCCAGCTGGGAACGATGGCCAGGAGGAAGCACCAGCAGCGGAATGCAAATTCACGGGCGGCGGACAGAGAGGCAGAAAAGGACGGGGAATCACTGGCACTGGCAGGTGAGTCCAACCTGAACCTGACCCCGAAAAGCTCCAGTTTTTGGGCGGCGGCCGAAAGTTGCAAATCACCGCAGCGCGCCAAGCCGCCTCCACGACCCATGCAACTGAGACCTGCAACTCGTTCACTACTGACTGCGTGCCGTGCCAGAGTGCGCAGGAATCGCCCAACACCCTCACCATCGTTCGTCTGCCTATCTCCCGACTCATGTGTCTGCACAACCTGGCTCTGTCACAAATGCCTCTCCGAATTACATGGCGAGGTCTCGACAGAGTCCATCAATGAGGGATCGTTACCGAGCTGAAGACGATCCGCGCGAGAGATATCGACATCTATCGCGGGAGAGAGACCGACAGAGAGAGCGCCCACGGCTGCATTCGCCTCCTCCTACACATAAGCGAGAGCGACTGGAGCCTGAAGCAGAGAGAGATTCGGCATCGAAGAATCATTTTCGATCGCAGAAGAAGTGGCATTCGCCACGAGAATCCAGGAAGTTGCACGGCAGAAAGACATCCCCTTCACCCCGTCGTCGTTCGCCTAGACCGAACTACCCCCATCCACCAGAAAACCTCCCTGAACGCCGACCTGTCCGGCCTCGAGAGTTCTCACCCGAACGGTTGCCAAAGCGCAGACGGACGCGGAGTCCATCCCCCACCGGTACCGATAGATTTCGATCAGGCAACCAGAGGTCTGATCGTGGCAGAGAACGCCCGGATATCCGTGACCGAAGAGCGCGCATTTCCAGATCTCGCTCACCACACGAAGCATTGCCCTCGCGCCGGTTTGGCCCTCGTTCGAGAATTGCAGAACCGGAGCTGGAGGCGGACATACCTCGCGGCCCAAGAGAGCGTACTCCTCCCCGCAGACGTGATCGACGGTCAAGGTCGCCTTTGCCATCACAAAAGTCATCATCACCAGGGCGTGGCACACGAAGAAACGTTTCACCCAGGCCACCAAAGCCATCGGCCAAGGCTGTCTCCCGGCATAAGCACCGTGGACCTGATATAGAAAAGGTCTCTGCTGATAACGACCGTCCTGATTCGACCACGCCATCTCTGGCAGAAGACCTTGACAATCGCTCCATGGACGGTCACTACCCGCTTCGGGGGAACTATGGAATGCATAGAGGCCAACAGAGATCTTTTGTTGATGCCAGGCAGCCGCAATTCAGGGGCTCGCCACCATACTCATCCACCCCAAATAGCTCCTATCATAGCTCGCCACAAGCAAATTCGCCTTACCACAATCCAAGGGGTGGATGGGGCGGAGCTCCGGGACAACATGGGTAAGGCTCTGTTTACCTATTTTTTTCTTTTTCTTTTCTAACACTGTCACAGTCCAATGCAAAATTCCTCCCCTCCTTACCGGCAGAACAGTTATCCCGGCCCGGCAGGCCTAAACAATCCAAACCCGTATTATCAGAGCCAACAGCAGTACTATGGAGGGAACCAGCCGGGGTATCAACAAGCATCGTATCGTGGAGGCCATGGACCTCAACGTGGCGGACATTACCCCCCGCGAGGACATCCAGATCAGAGATTCGGTGGTCCTCGTGGCCGTGGCAGAGGTGGTCATTTCAACAATCTCCAATGGACAGCTCCAGGCTCGAATCCATCTGGACCCTCAAGCCAGAATTTCCACAGTAACTCCTCACAAGCATCGCCTGCTCCCTCGCATTCCACCTCACATGAGGGTCGTGAAGGCCCACCTGAGGAAGAAAATCCGTTCAGACCATCAAAGGAGCTACAGGTGGAAGATGCAGGAAACCAGAAATCACAAATGGATGACCGGGCTGGGCCGGCCACTTCCAAATTCAGCTTTGCCTTCAAGTCTAAAGTTCCTCCTCAAGCACCGGCAAGGGCTCCTCCTGATTTTTCCACAAGACCTAAAGCACCGTTTCAGCCGCCGGAGACCAGGCCTCCACCCCATCCAAGGAACAAACATCATGAACGTCGAGATGATAGAGGCGGATATCGAGGAAATAGAGGGGCTTCTTACCATGACCGGAGGGCACCTAACGATAGACAACAGATTCCGAACGAGCGCCGGCCGACTCGCTCACGCTCACCTCCTTCAAAGAAAGTCAAGAAGGAAATCAAATCACGGCCCACGTTACCTCCCGAGTTCGCCGAATCCGAATCCATCTATTACAGGAAGCCAGGCAACGAATCGGTTGTTGGTGCGGGTACATATGGAAAAGTGTTCAAGGCCATTCATATCTACACAAAGGACAAGGTTGCCCTGAAGAAGATTCGAATGGAGGGGGAAAGAGACGGATTTCCCATAACCGCCGTCCGTGAGATCAGGCTACTGCAACACCTCCGGCATAAACATGTGGTCGCATTGCAAGAGGTCATGGTGGAAAAGAATGAATGCTTCATGGTTTTCGAGTATCTTTCCCACGACATGACCGGTCTCATCAACCATCCGACGTTCAAACTGACCGCGGCACATAAAAAGGACTTGGCAAAGCAGATGTTCGAGGGGTTGAATTACCTTCACCGACGAGGTGTCCTCCATCGAGATATCAAAGCTGCCAACATTCTCATTTCGAATACCGGACAGCTCAAGTACGCCGATTTTGGATTGGCCCGCTTTTACACCAAGTCCCGCAAGTTGGATTACACCAACCGAGTCATCACCATTTGGTACCGCCCTCCCGAGCTTCTTCTCGGCGAAACCCAGTACGGCCCCGAAGTCGACATCTGGTCAGCCGCCTGTGTGTTTGTGGAAATGTTCACCAAGAAGGCCATATTCCCTGGTGAGGGAGGCGAGCTCAGTCAGATTGAAAAAGTCTACAGTGTCCTCGGTACACCAACACGAGCAGACTGGCCCTCGATCATTGACCTACCTTGGTTTGAGCTTATTCAGCCCGTGGACAGACGGAAAAGAGTGTTTGAAACCATGTTCAAAGATGTCTTCACCCCTGCCGGTCTTGAACTGGTGCAATGGATGTTCAAATACGACCCCAGGAAACGGCCCACGGCGGAAGAAGTTCTGAATCATGCCTACTTTACTCAGGAAGAGCCGCAAGCGGTACAAGCGGTGGAGCTGGCAAACGTCGAAGGCGATTGGCATGAGTTTGAGAGTAAGGCTCATCGCAAGGAGAACGACCGGCGCGAAAAGGAAAGAAAGAAAGAAGAGTACCTCCGTGAAAGAGAGAAGAGAAAGGCTCGAGAGGCTGGGCTGACAGATCCTGGGGATGGAGACAAGAAGGCCAAGTTGGACGATGGGTCTGCTCCCGGGAGAGAGATGGCTCCGCCGTCGAATGTCGACGGTGCTGGTGCCGCTGCCTCTGTCCAACCTCCGGCTGAGGAGCCTAAGCCCGAGGATGAGGATGAGTCTGAGGGCGAAGGTAGCGCTCGGATGAGTATGTCATGAGTTGCATGTCCGCCCAACTCACAATGATTTTGTTGTAGTAGTGTACTATATCCAAGGATAATGTCCACGAGTCTTGTTGTCGCGAGACGACGCTTGTCTTATGAGCCTGACATAGTAAATATTGTGTCTGCCTACCTAGGTACGAATAGATTGGACGTGATTTGAGATCCTTGTACTTGAACTTTACGATGCATATCTCATTGTCTAGTATAGTAGAAGGTGTCTCGAGCATCCGCGGGACGTTTCGGGCTCATCCTGATTGCTGGTACTCTTGTTTGGTCTAATGGAAGGTTAGCCGAACTCCGGCGCGCTGAAAATGGTCCGATTGGTGAACTGCTCGAGTTCGTCATTTTACATGCGACTAGCAATAATTCATTCCCAGGGTCCAGATCTCGCCGAGTCTGAGTCCGAGTCGGAGATCTAAATGAACTGCAGTGCTGAAAAAGTCTACAACTTGAACACCGAACCTCTTCGCGCCGATATCCTCGCGATATACAACGTGTGCCCTTTGCCTCAAGGCCTTGCGCCGCCCAGAGCCTTGAATACAGCCGTAAGGAACGTCATGTCGTTATAACAAACCCCAAGTTAAACCTGTGACATCCGCCCATCATGAGTCAAAGTCCCTCCAAAGTACCTTCTACCGACCCGCGCATCTCTCCTCCCCTCAATCCCAAACCTCGCTCAGCTATACCGCCATATTTATTGAATGGAGGATCCCCACTTCACAACAACGCATCGACCAAGACGCGGGCCCAAGAACGAGAAAACCTAGCCTCTTCAATCAAGAGCACATACGAGCCCAAGAAAGCGATAGATCTCAGTGGAGATTCTTCGAGTCCCCTGCAAAACACATCGTGGGAAGGACTCAGCGGTGGCCCCGATGGATTGGGATCCTCGAGCAGCGGCAACACCGCCGATTCTAAACGAGGACCGGTGCGGCTGCGCGAGCCAGCACGAGACGAAAGAGATGAAGCACCCATGACTCCACCGGCCAGCGTATCTCGACCCGCGAGCCCATATACATTAAACCCACCGATCGACTTTGACGGCCTGAGTTGGCCGTGTATCGGCACACGCGAGCGACGGGAACAGACGCCCGAACAAGCACAGGCGCGACTAGACAAGCTCGCGGGGGCGGTGCGGACCATCTTTGAATGTATCGGTGAAGATCCCGAACGGGAAGGATTGCGCGAGACTCCTGAACGGTACGCCAAAGCGCTGATGTATTTCACCAAAGGATACGAGGAGAATGTTCGGGACATGGTCAATGGAGCCGTGTTTCATGAAGACCATGACGAGTTGGTCATTGTTAAAGATATCGAGGTGTTCAGTCTGTGCGAACATCACATGGTGCCTTTTATTGGCAAGATGCATATCGGATATATTCCCAACCGTCGTGTCTTGGGACTCAGCAAACTCGCTAGATTGGCTGAGATGTTTTCGAGGCGATTACAGGTCCAGGAACGTTTGACGAAGCAGGTCGCTCTGGCTATTGCCGAAGTGCTCAAACCTCAGGGCGTCGCTGTTGTTATGGAGAGTTCTCATCTTTGCATGGTCATGAGAGGCGTCCAGAAGACTGCTAGCAGTACTACTACCAGCTGCATGCTGGGTGCTATGAGGACCAGTGCGAAGACCAGAGAGGAGTTTTTGAGCCTTTTGAATCGGAAGTGATGCGATGGTCGAGTGAGAGTCCTTTTTCTGTCTGCCGGTGCCCTGGAGTTACTGTGGGTGGGCATGGATTGGGGCGCATGTTACTTCAACAAAATCATCAGGAGGCGAAGTCCCTCAACGACGGCTTCGTCAGTCAGTCCGCAGGATAGACAGCACTGCGGAGGAAACAATGGATAAGGTGTTCCTTTACTCAAGCTTTTGCTCTTAAGGACGAATATGGGACACCTAAACGCAGGGCATATTGGGAGCGAAGCTCAAACTACCGTGCATGCTCGCTCGGAAGGCCATTGTCTAAACACATGCCATATCACGAAACGAAAGACGGTAACGTCGAACGGTGGGCCATATTCTTCAAAGCTGAAGGTCATGCAGGCGTTTTCTGGGGCTGGAAGAGACAGGAGATGGTTTTTATAACCCCCTGTTTGGATGAATGTTCTGGGCATGTTCAAATTCTGCTTCGAATCCGTCCGAGTTGATTCCCTGCCCTTTGCATTTGGCACGTTATTGTCGGCATAGTCAGCCAAGTCTCAAGCTCGGAGGCGGCGGCTGTTTTCATCAAACAGCACCCTGAGCGGGAAGGTCTGAATGGTCGCTTGAATCGAGATGACCAGACTTTTTTTCACACAAGAGACGGCGGAAATAGCTGGGTTGTGGTCGAATACAGATACGGGCCTCGGATAAACTTTTCAAATATGTCGCTCAAAGGCACGCACCATTAGAATTTCCATGCATGACAAGTCGAAGGGATGTTGTGAAATGGAGGCCCTCTTACAACCGTGGGAATGTACTGGTGCTCTCTTGGTTCAGTGAACATTTCTCGCCCCTCGTCAAGTTGCGGGATTCCAATATCAACATTTACCGTGGTTGAACAGGAACTATTGACGACTGCTAAAGCCGCCTCGAGTCTTATGGCGTTCTATCATGGCGTGGTCAAATACAATGTGTTTTTCTGCTCATCAATGGTGATACCAGCCATGGGCTTATCTCAAATCAATATTGCATGTCTTGCCCTCCGACAATCTGAACACCCAGTTGGATTTCCTGTGGTAGGTTCCAGTTTGAATCTCCGCTTCTACAAGACGTACGCCAAACCAGGGAGTATCCTGTACCTGTATCTGTATCTCTACCTGTAGTGATTGCAATCAGACTCGCCATCTCTCGGCACACAGTTAGCACCGCTGTAGCCAAGGACAGGGTTTGCCTGCCTCAGCAGATCCCTTGTCCCCAGTGAGACAGCAGCACATCCCAACTTGGTCACTACAACTTATTCTCAGCAGCATTATTCGTCGCCAGGGGCGTAACACCCTCCAAAAACCCGCCGCGCACAACCGCCGTGATCAACTGATTCGCAATTGCCGTTGGGGGCGGCAACCTCAGATTCCCTTCCTTGTAAGTAGGCGGCGCCGGATCTCCCAACCCGCTCGTCCCGTTCTCCAACCCCTCCTGGATCTCCTCGAGGGTGAACCACTTAGCGACCTCGAGTTCGGGGTCATATTCGAGCCTTATAACCTCATCCTCAGGACTAGCCACCTGGGCAATAGCACCAATCATCAGATTAGCAGGGTACGGCCACGGCTGCGTCGAATGAATCATCACGCGGGACAAAACCACCCCGCTTTCCTCCCATACTTCCCGCCTGACTGCATCCTCGACGCTCTCTGCGGGCTCAATAAAGCCCGCTAGCGTCGAGTACCAGTTTGGAGGCCAGCGTCTCTGCCTGCCCAGCAACAGTCTCTTGCTGTCGTGACTGAGTACCGCCACGATCACCGTCGGATCGGTCCGGGGAAAACTGAGGTTTGAGATGGTTGTGCGCGTCGAGCAAGGTTCTCGTTCGGAGGGGGTTTCTGCCCGATCCCTGGGTGGACAGACTCGTTTGCCGCCCGCGTGCACGGAGAGGGTCTTGTGTCCGCAGGTCCCGCAGTATGTGTTGCGGTAGTTCCAGTCGAGGTAGTGCCGGCCTTGGGCGTATTCGGCGGCTAAAACAGAAATGAGCTGCGCTGCGCACAAGGGAAACACATTTTTTGTAGTGTTAACGTACCAACATCAGCAGGGAAACTCATGGCCCTCATCCCCTCGCTGAACTTGAGACCAGCAGCCAAAAGCTTTTCCGCTAGTTCATTGGCTTCCTTTTCATATGTTTTCTTTGGTGTGATGTCGACGGCAAAGTGCGGCGCGCCCGTGAAATTCTTGTAGGAAAATGCGTTGTCTCCTGTAATCTTTTCGTCTACACCCAGAAACACCACTGTCGGAATATCTATCGACGAGTCGAACTCGGCGACCTGCTCGGCTTCGGGTTTGGAAAATGGATTCTGGGGGATCAGGCTGGCAATCTCGTCGTGCGAAGCGTAGTAGATCTCGGTGGGGGATTTGATCAGTGGTGACAGCGTCTTGAATAAGATGAACTTGGTCGATGAGTGCGCGAATGCCCCGGCGAGAAAGTTGTAGTCTTCACGTAGGAAAGACAGTCTATTCAACGGCGAGCCTGGGAACAGAAACAAAACAATTAGTAACGGGAAACATGATTCGTGAGAACAATCAGTCGTCGGCGCCGGTCCTTGTGTACTGTCGCACCCAGCCTTTAGGATACAAGATGTCGTTCTGTTCTGCTCACTCACCTCCAAAGTAATTGGTCACTTCTCTGCCGAATTTGCGTGCGAGAGCCGAGTCGCGATCCAGATGCGCTGGCTGCGGCAGATCCGGGTGTGCTGGTGCCATGGCGGTCGATGTGGACGGCGGTGAACTTTTGGCAGGGTCAAAGATGGAAGGATGGACGACTCCAGGTGGGATTCTAGAATGCACGAATCTATGCAGATGTAAACAAGAAAACAGTAGGCGACGGCGACAGACACCAAACCCGAACATGCACGATTTGGATTTGAACAGGGTAAGGAGGGAATGTGTAACTAGAAGTTGATTGATTTGGGGGAGAGGGCCGTGGGGTGGAGAGGAGACGATAGATGATGATGACAACTATTATCTCCGATTATGCATTACGAACGATGGCGATATCAAGATCCCCCACTGGCAATTTATGCTCTTCTTTCGGCCCCGGAGATACATCCCGGCAGCTGAGCGGTGGACGAAAAAATAGTTGTGATTGTGCGATGCTGACAATTTGCTGCCTCGGGCTTCGGCACTGCATTGGATTTCGCGTAAACCAACAGGCGGCGTTGTTCCGGCGCGTGGAGGGGGGAGTACTGATAAAGAACACTCCCCGCACACGTGATGAAGCTAATTCACGTGACAGCCTGAGATCCTGCCAATAACAACGTCTGCGCTGGAAAGCTTATATCGGGGTATATTCGGAGCGGAAAGCTTGGCACAGCTTATTGATGGTCCTTTTATCGTTCGCTGAGGAATGGTCCTATCTGAATATGGCACTATGTGGTAAAGGTGGGACTCTGCACAAATTGAGACGAAAGGCAGGACTTCTAGCATTGGCCTGAAACAACTTTTGATTGTACAACAATCTGTCTATGTCTATGCTGTCCAAGCCAGTCATGGCCCCGCAATATGCGACTTGAGGAATCTGGTCTGGGTCTGGAAATTGACTACTTCGGTAGATTTTGAAAAGCGCGGCAAGGAAGAGACAGCAGCTTGGTTTTCGTGAGTGAAGAAGAGGGTTAACTTTTTATCCTGACTCCAGTTTATCTGGTATACTTTGTTACGGTTGGGTGTTGGGCGTCGCGATTTGGGTGACCATGGCCAGATTTTTGCTGTTTGATGTTAGGTTGCTCGGCTGACTGACTGGGCAGCATTGTCCCCATAAACTGCAATGAGAGGTTCGGCAGTCGGCCGTGCTTGTGGCCCATGAGGATCTTTTTATCCTTTCCTTCAAGTGCCTTACAAGTGAGAGCGATGCCCATGCACAGTTCTGTCCGGAAACATCAAGCTTCTTTGTTCAGATGAGCTGGTATAAACCTGGGCCCGGAAAGAGCCAGAGTGATTGCTGACGCGGTGGGTGGTGGCAGGATCGATATAGATTTTTTATATCGATTCGAGGCCTTGTAGAAGTGTCAACTGATAGCTGGCCGAGCTTGGTTGGGTGACTGTGTATCCTCGACCAAGGGCTACAGTGAGAGAGTCCACAGGCAGCTGGCACGATAGGAGAACAGCAATCATCAGACTGACGACTCTGTCTCTTTTACCTTCCCTTGCGCGGGAGCTCAGTTGACACTGATACTGACATGTCAACGCGAATGCCATAGAGGAGGTAGGCCTCTGATGGCTTTGAATTTGTGCTATAGCCTCTCCGAGTTGGCTTTGTCGTGCAGGACTCGTTGCGGACGAGATCCATCTCTGCTAAGCCGCCGATCAGATAATTGCTTGGTGGGCCTAAGCTTCAGTAGCACAGGGGTGATGATGAGGGGTGTTGAAGACACCGAGCAGCACGCGTACTTTGATGTGCCGCAGATGTGCCCAGTTGGAGGGATGTTTGGAAGTGATGCTAGGCTGTCAACTGTTCAATCCTGCTTCTTGATACCGACCACAACAAAATTCCTCGGACTGTGCTTGTAATCAAACACAATATCAACCCAACAGTTCTGCACACAGGGTTGTTCGCGCAAGTAAAGCCAGCGGTCGGTGACGATGATGCTTTCGACCACTCCGGCGCTAAAGGCCATCAAGCTCCAAATGACGGCCATGTTTTTCCTGGCATAGTCCCATTTGGCTTCGTATGCCTCTATCATGTCGTCGGTCAGGTCTTTTGTGAGCTCTGCAATCATCGGTCCGTCCACGGGGTCGTTGCGCAGTTTGGCCAAAGCGCCCCTGCAATAAGCCTTGAAGTTGGCGAAACACGCTTTCCGAAGCGAGCCTACTATCAAAGGCGTGCCATTGTGGTCCTTGCCGGTGACGCTGCCGCCCGCCAAGCTGCCTGGATCGGGACACTGCTTGACAACCCCCAAGTCTAGCAGTATCCGCTGGAGTAAAGAGCGGTAGAAATGCCGTCGGAAGAAAGCCTCGCTGTCTTCGGGACCCCAGTTGTAAGGGGCTTGCACGGCCATCATGCGGGCGGTGATGTTGAGTCTCATGCCCTTGCCTGTCTCGTGCTCGAAATCTTCCAGCGTCTTAGACATGGGGAACCCATGTGGATCGTATGCGCTGCCAGTGGCTTCGAGACGTGGGTGGTTAGGGCGCAGCTGCGGCAGCTTGTAGGTCGCGGGTCCCAGTCGTTCGGTGAGCAGATTGTAGCAGCATCCGATCATGGCTACTGCGCAGACCGAGGGGTTGAGGACCAGTGATCGGAGTCCGTGGTGCGAAAGATTTCCACAAGAGTGAATCGACACAACCATGACTTTTGGTCGGGCTTGGCCTTGGCCCCTTGCGGATTGATCAGCTTCGGGATGTGAGGTCAAAATGCTGTCCTGCTCTCGGCCGCTATCTTTTGGTTCAACAGGATAAAGAATGTCTTCAAGCCGACCGTCTTGAATGTCATGCTCGATATATGTCATTGAGCCCTTTTTTATGTCCTCTCCTTTCTCCGGGGCCTCCATATCCGCTAGGACGACATCCGGGACTGGGATGGATACAGACTGTTCGGCTTCGCTTTCTTCCGGTGGTGGAGTGGGAATGCCATTTCCCAAAGCCAGTTGGCGCTTCCATTCCTTCTTGTTGCGAATGATCTTTTGTTTTTTGGCCAGTTTGGCATGGACATCCATTTCCCTGGCCCCGGCAATGTTGTGATGTTTTCTTTCGATCGCAATGACGTGCTTGTTGTATGGCGGAGAGGCCAGTGTTCGGCCGAGGTAATTTTGTCCAGAGCCAAAATCAACGATCGAGATAGGCTGCTGAAATTGCTCTGACAAGTCGCCCGACAGCTTGTCGACGTATGCGGCAAAATTGGTCACCTCATGAACCTTTTTCACCTTCATCCCGACCGAGACATGAATGGGTATATCAGACACTTGCTCGGAAACCGGAGTAAATTCTCGTTGCAGACAATGTTTGCGCACAGTTCGAATATAATCCAGCAAGGTGTCCGGAGGGCTGATAGCCGGAATTGTGTCTTCCCCATTGCTTACCGGGTTAGTGGAAAGATCTCGGCGAAGCAATAAATCAAGGACCTCATCCACCGTCACTTTGTCGAACCAATCCCTCCAGTCTTGGGGCAGCACGGTTGTATAGATGTCCGGTTCCCGGGTAAGAAAGTCTAGAATGTGTACGCCTCCACAGAGATTCCGGAATATGTCTGAACTGGTGGCGAAGGTTAATAGGGATTGCACGTATTCATCCTCCGATGTCCACTCTGGGCCGAGTGGAAGCGCGTGGCCCGAGGGCGGCCTTGGTGGTGCGAAAGACATCACAGACAAGCGCCAGGAGCGGCATTAGAGTCGTTCATGTACATTAGCCGTGGTCACCATCATTTCTGGGACATGGCTGGCTGGTATATTTATTGTATACTAGTATCCTGTAATACCAAAAATGCACACTGACAGTTTAAGGTTGGGTTGCAAACTTGAACAAAACGCCAAGACGTAGCCTCGCGGTCCTTTAGTGGCTCCATAAGGCTCGGCCCCTTTTCGTTTTCCTTTTCCACTGCAGGTGCCAGATCGCCAGTGAATTACATCACCGCGACTCAGTGCATAGGTGCACCACTACTACAGCAAGGAAATACTAAGAGCAATCATTTGAAAGCCATGGAGCAGGCAAGTGGGAATACACAGGCGCATTTGCATTGTTTGTGGCAGCCTTTCCCAACACCGAGCAAGTCCTGAGACCTCCCTGGTGTGGTGGGTGATGTGCTCTGCTCTAAATACATCACGTCTGTTGGGGCCTGTGGCAGAGTCTACAGGACGAAGCTCTGCAGCCTGAACCAGAGACTCGGTTCAGGCATTGTCATGCCAGCCACTGCAGCCATTCATTCCATCACTCGCCAATTGCCTGCCAGAAAGCATCTTGCCTGAGTCCTCCCAGCATCATCATCAAGCAGTCCATCCTACCATGGCCCTAGGCAGGTATGGCCCGTTTCTGTGCACAATACGTGTTTGTTTCATCGGTTCTGCTGGGTTGCTTTAAACCTTTTATTGCATGTCCCCAAACAAAGGGGAAGAGGGCTGCGGACCACCGTGCTCGTTAGCAACTTAGCAGCGAAGGCTTCTAAGGGTTCGAGTCTTACCAAGTCTCATGAGACGTTGGCAATGGTACCGGCTCTGGAGGTTGAGTGTTGGCTCTGAAGCTAATCAATGTCTGGGCTCTCGATTGGCGCAGTATCCTTCATGTATTCTGATACTGAGAGCAGAGTCTCCTCGACCGCACCATTGACAATACGAAATCGGTTCGCGACCCCAGTTCTGGGCTTTTGGAGGTGGTGCCTTTTCTCCCGGAAACGAGTAGGCGAAGGTGGTGGTCTTGGGGGTTCCGGGCATCTCTGGGGCTGATTTGGCTTTGCCCATGATTGATTCGAATCGATTCTGATTGTCCACGTTTCAGCTTTGGTTCGATAAGCTGGTATTCTCTGGAAAATTGGCGCTGGTGAGTTGCTAACGGCTGGGGCTCAGCTAGTGAGTAAGCTTGTGCTGTGGTTGTAAGTTTGTGCTGCTGAGTGCGTGTGCGCTGCGCTGGTGTGCGTGGGAGGGAAAAGATTCTTATGCAACGCTGCTAAGAGCGTTTTTATACTCCTTGATGGTGCTGAGGTGAATGAATGTCCTATTTGGGCGCACGCAGGGCATGTTTGTGTGATTAGAGACTGTGGCCGTGACTTAGCTTCGCGTTGTGGCTATAGTGAGACGGAGAAACAAAGAGAGCGCGTGGTGTTCTTTTGACATATGTGACTGATCGCCTGTGCAAGGGTAATAAAGTACAGAGAGAAAGCCTAAGTAAGGGTGGTATAAATTGTGGCGAATAATGTTTTTAATGGATTTCTGGGTAACAAGTACAGTGACAGTTAACAATGATTCTGTCTATAGGGGTATGTGACTATATCACTGCTTTGTTGTGACCGCCAGATTTGCGGATATTGCGGAAAGGGCTCGCTTGATTTAATAGGGGTGGCATTATAGTTCTCTGGAGTGAATACAATGAGATGGTGGTTTCCAAAGGCTGGGTGACTTGAAGTATGTAGCAGTGCCACTGCCTGTGACAATACATGGATGGTGGCTAGCTATATCTCTTTGAAGGTGTAGAGTGGTAACAGTCAAATCAGTTTTGCTCGGACGGCTGGCCATCCTTGACTCTTCTGTCTGATGACAACCCAATCTACCAAGGTAACAGCAGTCCATAATTCCTTAACTGGCCTTTGAGTAAAAGATCCCCTTGATCCATGACGGCTAACGTGTAATCTCCACAGCTCATGCAGGGCACGGGGCGGAATTTAGATTCCAGAGGGCTCCGACTTTCGAGAGATCGACCGAGAACGTAACGCACGATGTGAGTACAGTCCAACATCAAGGGAGAAGTGATATTCGCCTCCGGAACCTATCCCGTTTGCGGCAGCCCCGTATCATGGTAGGATAGCCCCAAAGTGTCCGCTTCCAGTAATCCCCTTAGCGGAAGTGTATAACAGAACATCAGGAGCTAAGCACTGACGACGACATCTTTCTTATACCACCGGGGGTCGTGAGACCAATAATGGTGTCAACCAGGAAGTTCAAGGCTCCTCCTTGTCATCATATCTTCCTTCATACTCTCGTCCTTTGCTTCTGTGACCGCAGGGAGTTGAAATTCCGCCCTTGAATGAAAATCGAGAGGTATAGGATCAAAAGGTGAGTCCAACACTCAACCAAGTCCTATCCAATCGCCCTGATCATCCTCATCACCCATGACCGCATCATGATCATTAGGGTCTTGACTATCAGTCGATATGATAGCCAGCGCCTTGGATTTGGCTGGAGGGTGTTGGCACAAAAACTCGATTTCTAGCGAATTTCGTTCTCCGAGCGACCGCACCGACTTTCCAATTCCCTCCACGCCTCTGAGTACTGCACGGAGCTCGCTCGCAAACTCCCCAGACCTTTCCTTGATATAGCGCCCGTGGACACTGAGAACTTCGCTGACCCAGCGCAGAGCGAATTCCAGATGCGGGCTGTGTTCCATCTGATGCCCGAGGAGCATCAACAGGCGCCCGAGGTACACCTTCGGCAACTCTCGTACAAGAAGAGGCACTGACGTGTATGGAATAGACTCGTAGACCTGTCTCAGCAACGGCTTGTCGTTCAACCTGAAAGCCATAATTAAGGCTTTGAGGTATTCTGGCTCCTTCTGTTTGAGAATTGCGCGGATGTTTTGTGGTGTAACATCTAGGTCAAGATCGAAAGGATCAAATTCATCCATGCCGGAGTTGTCTAGGCTGTAGATCAACAAGCCTTCTGTACTGGATGCGCAAAAGCTTCGTCCAGTAGGTGCGAATTCGACACTGGTCACCCTGACTTCGGGTCGAATTGTCCTGGCTGTGGCGTCACGGCCTCGCTTGGCTCCAGGCAAGCTACGGTCTATTCGATCTTCGAGGTCACTGTTTTCTCCTTCCGTGTCTATCATATCTCGCGGAAGTCCGTTGGACATAATTGCATCGGAGTTAAGAAATTCCTGAGTGCCGTCCAAGCTGAGGTTGATCGAAACTGTGAACTTTTTGATTAATGTCAATGTGCTGACAGAATACAAGCAGATATATTTGCTGTTTCCTGCTGCCAACAAGCAGCTCCCATCAGCAGAATAGGTAATGGTGTTGAAGGATTTTGTTCCAGGAGCCGATGCGGCAGTCCGCCTGGAGGTGAGAGTACGGCCACCGCTTACGTCTCTCCGGCCGTCAAGAACAGAATCCTGAATCGAGGTGTTCAGGTTCCAGAAGGTCAATTGGCCATCAAGCGTTGAAGCAGCTACTTGTGCAGAATCAGGGCGGATTGCGATGCTTAGCAGATCGGAAGTAAGCTGCAGAGTTTCGGACGTTTGCGACCGGTCGAATACAGACCACACTCGGATAGTATGGTCCCAGGAGCCTGAAACAAGATATCTCCCATCCGGTGTAAAAGCCAATGTGGATATTGGGCCTTCGTGGCCCGAAAGCTGGTCAAGAAGGGCGCCGGTTTGCACTGACCATAGATGGATATCGAAAGAATCATGTGATCCTGCACATACCACCTCTGCGGAAGGGTCAACTGCCAGACAAGAAAATGACAGTCGTGTCGGAGCTGTGAAGGTCCGGAAATTCCGATATCTTAACATGTCCCAGGCACGTACTGACCCGTCCAAAGACGAAGTGAAAAGCACATTTCCTCTTTTCGAATATGCAGACGCTGTAACCGCCGAACTGTGCTCTGTAAATGTTGCAATATGGAAGCCGGAGGACACATCCCATATCTTGATCAGTCCATCGTCGGCTCCGGTGATGATGCGTGTGGAATCCGGAGAGTACGTCAAGGTCGTGAGAGCATCAAGGTGTGAAGACTGCTTGAGGATATTCGATTCCGACGCATGCTCCCATACCAAAAGTTGGCCGGTCTTTGCTGAGCCAAATGCTAACCACTCTCCGGTTTTATTCATGGCCACTGCGGAGATCGGAGAATTGGCCATGGAGAGGCTGTGGATATTGGAAAACGATGGCAGCTCATATAGGGAGAAAAGGCCATTATCGAAGCAGACAGTCAACAAGCCTGTTGGAGGATGGAAGCAGGCGCATTTCAACTTCGCATTTTGCATGAAGAAATCCTTCTGCACAATTCTCCATCGCTCGTCGGCAGCTTCGGCTGGATCTTCATCCTCCACATAATGCGGGCTTGGGACGAATTCCCAGCGGAAGAGTGCGCCATCCTCGCTGACTGTGAAGACAGACTCTTGATCCGCAGAAAACCAGACGCCCCTCACTTGTTGTCTGTGTCCTGCCAATACTGTTGGCTCAAACCCTTCTTCAGGATCCAAACTCCATATCCGTGCCGTCAAATCTTTAGAAGCACTCAGGAAAAATCGGGAGTCTCCAGACCAGCTGAGATGTCTCACTTCGTCAAAGTGGCCGCCATATTCCCGATGCAGGATGAATGGAGCGAATTCGAGCTCGCCATTGGCATCACTGCTAGGCGTGGAAGGTGTCCGCCATGCCTGAATTTTCCGGCCGAGTCCAACGACAAAATATCGACCATTCGGTGAGAAAGACAATGATGTGACTGGAGCCTTGAATGTGAAGTGGTAAATGGCTATCCTTCTAGGAAACACCGATAGAATCGCTCGACCGTCTTCGTCGATTGTGAGGAGAAGGTTGCCATCGGGAGTAAGGTTGAGGTGTACTATGTTCTTCCGATGTGAGAAGGGGAGGGTATAGCTGGTGTTTCTAGAAACCATTAGTCGAGAACGAAAGAATCGACCTGGGTCGTCTTACTTTGTTAGATTGAACACAGAGACTCGGTTCCCTACAGGCGACAGTAGAGAATTCCCATCGGGCGTGAAGACCAGATTGCCCCGGCCATAGACGGTGCCTAGGAGGTTTGAGAACTGTAACGACAATTAGAGGGTATGTGGCGCATTTGCAGGACTGACTACACACCTTGAATTCTGTCTTCATCGTCGCATCATGTCACAGCGCAGCACTGGCACCTTTTGCGACACTGGCAGATCAAATGCAACTTTCGATCAAATGCGGCATCAAAAAAAGTTGTCGGAGAAAAGATGATTTGCTCCGGCACTAGCCCGGATTGGGACTGGGCCGATCCGGGGATTCTACTAGCAAGCTGGCGTTTCAGGGGCCGGAATTTTGTACGGAAGCCACGAACCAACAAACGATCCCGGACCAACTGCACACTGCACCTTTGACCCCTAAACTCAACTCACTGACTGACCTCCGCCTTCATCCCGGCCTCTTCAGCACTGTCATTCACTTCTCCTGTGACGATTGTCTGGTCGCGTGTACTGGCGACGTTTGCCTTCCCATCCTGTTGACAGAACCATCCATCGCCGCGATCAAAGATGGCGCCTGCTCCCGTGGAGTCCGCTTCGCCCATTGGCATTGCCAATCTGCCCAACCAGCGGCACAAGATTGTTGCAAAGAGAGGCGCAGCCTTCACTATCATGGTGAGTCTCGTTTGCAGGCGATGCGCTGATGTTGTTACTGACTCTACCGGGTAGGTCGCTGGCGAATCCGGCTTAGGGAAGACCACCTTCATCAACACCCTTTTCTCCACCACCATCAAAAACTATCAGGACCACAAGAGACGACACGCAAAGCAGGTTGACAAGACTGTTGAGATCGAGATCACAAAGGCTGAGCTGGAAGAGAAGTTTTTCAAAGGTACGGCTGCCGGGTTGTGACGATAAACCCCGATACCTGCTGATCACGAACACAGTGCGCTTGACCGTCATCGACACACCTGGCTTCGGTGACTATGTGAACAATCGCGACTCTTGGATGCCCATCATTGAGTTTCTCGATGACCAGCACGAATCATACATGTTGCAAGAGCAACAGCCTAGGCGACAGGACAAGATTGACCTTCGAGTTCATGCCTGCCTTTACTTTATCCGTCCTACTGGCCACACCCTGAAACCACTAGACATCGAGGTCATGAAGCGCCTCTGCACTCGCGTCAACCTTATCCCAGTCGTCGCTAAGGCCGATACTCTAACTCCTGCCGACCTTGCCCGCTTCAAGCACCGCATTCGAAATGTCATTGAAGCACAAGGCATCAAGATCTACCAACCTCCCATCGAAGACGATGATGAAGCTGCGGTTCAGCACGCGCGCGCATTGATCGCCGCCATGCCATTCTCTGTTATTGGTAGTGAAAAGGATGTGAAGACCCCGGATGGTCGTGTGGCCAAGGGTCGACAGTACATCTGGGGTGTTGCGGAGGTTGAGAACGAGGAACATTGTGATTTCAAGAAGCTGCGCTCCATTCTCATCCGAACGCACATGCTCGATCTCATCCACACTACCGAGGAGAACCATTACGAAGCATACCGCGCCCAACAGATGGAGACGAGGAAATTCGGCGAAGCGAGACCCCGCAAATTGGACAACCCGAAGTTCAAAGAGGAAGAAGAAGCCCTCCGAAAGCGATTCACAGAACAGGTCAAGGTGGAAGAGCAACGTTTCAGAGCCTGGGAACAAAAGCTGATCGCAGAGCGAGATCGTCTGAACAAGGATCTGGAAGCCACCCATGCCGCCATCAAGCAGTTGGAACAGGAGCTTGAGCAGATGCAAGGCAGTGCAGTCCGAAGCCACGGTCGTCGTTAAGACTCTTGCATAGATGTCAAGTGGCACCCGGTATGAATGGATGTAAGGGGGGAGAATTCTGGAAATTCTTCTCCAAAGTCTTGAGGGTGCAGAACTGAGCAAGCGAATGACTTTTGTCAGGTGTACAGGAGTGCGCAGGAGCTGAGCTGCTTGAAGTTAGCATGGCGACAAAATACCTCCCTAATGTTAGTTCCCTTTTCCTTTGTGAAGTTGCTGAACATGATCTTGCGAGTGTCCTCAATTCTAGACAGTAAAGTTTCTCACCGCGCCGCACACTGCTTTCTTCCAATTTCGTGTGCTAGTACGATCTAAACGGCGGCATTTTTCAATTGCTGGGTAATATGGCCATTTAGTCCCCTTCCACCCATGGGATCACGATTGATTTTTTGTTGGCTGCGCTTTTCCTCCTCCTCGGCCACGGCGCGATCAACATCTGCAAACCCTTCATCTACTTGGGTGCTGCTTTGGTCCACCAAGCCCATCCAAGCCCTCATTTTCTCTCGCTTGAACTCTTCAAAATCCCATTCCTCGGGTTCCAAGGTCTCCATGCCTTCTTGCCAGACATAGGTTTCAGCCTCGACCTCTTCTACGATTTCTGGAGAAGAAGAAGCGGCGGCGGCGGCGGCAGTGGTGGTGGTGGTGGTGGTGGTGGTGGTGGCGGCCGCTTGGTCCAATTCCACATCCTTGAGGACCTGCACCTTCACCTTTTGCCGGCTGTACTGGTCGCCCTCGAAGATGTCCAGACGGTACAAGTCGCCTTCAGTCAATCCTGAAACGACGGTGCCACGGACGCACCAAGACGATGATGATGATGGTGGTGGTGGTGATGTTGGTGATGTAGAGGAGTTGTTTGTTTCTTCGCTGTCACGAGGAATAATGGCAGGGTAATCTGCATGACGGACGCGGTGGCGGCGGTAGCCTTGCAATAGGGCCGGACGGACGGTGAGCATGGATTTCTGCCATGGTTCCGGGTCGTGCGTGCCGTGGATCACGCGGTGGAGGACGCCGGGGGCCATTAGGGTTCCTATTTGGTTTGAAAATAGATGTTATGAATGGGGGTCTGGTGAGTACCAAAGGTATCGTAGGACAAGGTAGGTCGTGATGAATGGTCTCTCTCTTCTTGTCTTTCTGGGGATAGCATGGTATTGTATATAACTGTGGTGTGATGTAGGGGATAAGGTAGGAATTCAATGGGAAAGCATGAGCATGAATTGGGACTTTTTAATGCAAGGAATGCAAAGCGGTGTACCGGAACGAATGGTATATACCTGTGATGGTATATGTGACAGATATCTTGATAACTAGGACATGACATACCATAGAAGAAGGCCGTGTGGTCGCCCATGTTCAAATTGAACCCTATCTCTTCCAGCCTTGCAGTGGTCGGCTATACTGTGATAAAGTCTATGGAGAGGGTGGATTTGGATCGAAGGGTTGTTTGTTTGTTGTACAAGGATAAAAGAGGCAAAAGAACAGACAAGGATTGAAACTGAATGAGAACTCGAATCTATTTGCTCGATCGAGTCTTCGGAACCGTAAACTATTGGCCTCGTGAAGCCGTCCGATATCCATCCGCATCAGGAAAGCTACCGCGAGATGGGTCCCATGCTATCGATTGGACGAGGGGATTGGATATAGGCTGGGAAGAGAAGGTGCGCCGAGATCAACTGGTCGACGGCCACTGGCACTGCACTCTGATACCGGTCTTATCTTATCAGCGGCATGGATGACCTCATTATCGACGTCCTTGTGCTGCCTGCAGTACAATGTACCTTATGTTCTCTGCATGTTCCACGGGCAGCTTACCAGCTTTCGATATTAGCCTCTTGATGGTAGACGAAATGTCAGAGGAGATGGCAGACATAACAGAAAATAGAAGACATAGACTCGAAAGACACAATTAAAAACATGAATTTCCTATCGCTAGCTAACAGCCTGTCTCCCAAGCGAAACCCAGTCTCACGTCATAATAATACTCCATCCCGCTGTGCTATCAAGAGTCCTGCATCATCCATCGTTTCATGAAGTCGCACGGAAGAATTTTCGCAATCTTGCCGTTCGAGGTTGCTTCGCTTTCATTAGAACATGAGACCGCCGAGCATCATGCCGCCCAACAAGCCTCCCATGATTGGCAATCCAATACCACCGCCGCTGTAAGGACCATAGGGACGGTTATAAGGATAGCCAGGCCGAATGACTCTGACGTTGGGATTGGCGTAATATGGACCTTGCGCATAAGGATTGATTCCGTAGCCTCCCGTACCGTAACCGGCGTATCCATATCCTACGCCGCCAGGTGGCTCAATGTAGATGGCTTTGCCGTCTCTGTCTCTGGCGAAGAATTGAGGTTGGCCTGTCATCTCGGCCTTCTGCATGGCTTGCCGAAGCTTCATGTGCGCCTCATAGTACTGTCGCTCTTCTTCTTCTCTGCGTGCACGCTCGCGGACGCGCTCTTCGTGAGTGGTGCCCGTCACTTTATCCTTGAGTTTCTCGCCGAATGTCTTTTCGCGCTCGGCTTTCTGTTGGGGCTTCGAGGCCGACGGTCGTGGTGGAAGCGTCGATTTGCCCGCGTGACTCTCGTCCTCGGAGTGGTCTGCAGAATGCGGGAATTGCTTGCGCAATCGGTCTTCTTCTTCTTGTAGTCGCTCTCGCTCCTCGGTGCTCAGCTTCTGCACGACTTCCGGAATGTCAAGCGGGTGTTCCCAATATGATTTGGGTGGGTTTTCCTTGGTATTCACGAAGAACTGGTGGTTTTCTTTCGGATCGTAGGAGCGCACCCAGCCGTCGGGCAGAGGTCGTTGTAGGTCTTCCATCGAACGGCGGTGCAAGGCGGGTATGCCATTCTTTTCTTGAGGTACTTCAAGGCGCGATGATGCGTGAGGTGCGCTGGATGTGGTCGAGGAACCGGTCGCAGCCGCGTAAGATGGCGGGGGTTCTGAAGGTGTTGACATGGTTGGTTGGTTTCCAACTGTTGTCTGTGGTTCTGTTGAGGTAGGAGAAATGTAGGATGGAGAAGTGCAAGGTCGGTAGACGTACTACTAGGAGTACAAACGGGAAGAAGAGACACTTTGTATCCGCGTCGCTTCGCCTACGGAAACAAAAAGAGAGATAGAGAAGCAGAACAGGGGAGAGTAATACTGGCGAGTGAGGCGAGGTTCATCGCAGGACAAGTGACGCAGTTGACCATCGACCGTGTTTGGCAGTGCAGCCTTGGACGCAGTTACGACTGTAAGTCAGCCACACTCGTCCACACTCGTCAACCTATCAACGATCTGTACTTGTAGACTCAGCCACACCTTCCCAGCCAATGCTGTCAATTGAGATCAGTGAGTGGCGAGCTCACGTGTCCCTTCTACGCCACACCTTGAACCCAACTTCAACCTCATGCTTCAGCATTAATAAACAACAAGTGAACTATAGGTCAATATACCCAAATCCTTTCGTTGGTTTTGTTTCGGATCACTGCAATACCTCTCGTTGAAAGTTACCTGTTCATCATCCAAGATGGTGTCGTGCATTGTGCCTAACGATGCTGCTGCACAAGTTACCTCGCGAGCCAATGCTAACCCGCTTGGTATCGGCGGTAGGCATCTCAGCATATCTTCCCTTCGTACCAACTGTATGTCTTCACGATGGCCAACTTGCAACCCGCCACAGTTGTCGTTTCTAGAGCGCCACGAAGAGCAAGTTCAAATGCAGTATTCCTCCCTCAAGTGTTTCCAGCAAGCCTCTTCATGGAGAATCACAGAGAGCGGGTTCCTGCGCGCGAGCCTACAGCCAGTTCTTTGTGCTCTAAGCGGTTCTTGTAGCTTGTCGGCACTCCTTTTGTGGTGGACCCTATCGGGAAGTGACATGGCCGTCTACTAGCATTGTGAGGAACTTGCCTTTCCCGCGATTAGACACTTTTATGAAGATGCCAGCTTCCAAGACCTGATAAGACAGAGGTGGGGCACCATGTTGCAGGCTTATGTGTATAACTGCCATGAAGCTCTTCTACCGTGTCTGCGGCTAGTAGTGTCTTCATGTGCAGGTAGGTATTCCAGTTTTTGTTGCTCGGTCAGTTCAAACCCTTCGACGCAGCTAACCGCAAGGTGCCGCCAAGTGCTCAAAGCTACTTGGGTAGCCCTTCATATTCGCCTCACTTCACTCTCACTTGGATTACTGCCTCTTTGTCACCTTGCCAAGCTTCACCCTAACAACTTGAATCATCATAAACTTCTCTTCTCTTGATTCTCTCAAGCAGACCTCTCCCTATCTCCTGCCTTTTATTCAGCCTGAAATCTGCTTCTATTGGCCAGCCGTCCAACCGTACAGTGTCAGCAGAGAAGTGGAGGGTTTTGATCAGGTCTGAAGCCTGGTTCTTCTGCTATCATCTGCCTCCTGAACCCCAGTTCCAACTCTGCAGATTTTCATTCGTTCTGCCAGGGAGCCCTGGGTGGCCACGAGGCGAGGATGAAGCCAGATGCGGCTAAATTCATCTTCGAGCATGCTTTTCTTCCTCCACAATTGCCTCAATTTGACCATGAAGAAGCTGGAGCGGATAACGTTCTCAAGGAGATTTCTGAAGCTGCTCGTCAATTTTTGCGGTCTCTACCAACGGGGAGCAATGAAGCGCGAGTGTGGACACAACTTGTGCGGTGTCTTCCAAAATGGATCGAAATCTACGACGCCGGCTCTCCATGCAGTCACAAAATCATTGAAGCCCTCCGAAACATGAGTGATGGGGGTAAGAATGCTAAAGACGGCCTTCGCGCAAAAAGCTAACCTCACTATAGACATTCTTTTATTCTACGTCAAGCCTCAAAACGCAGCAATCGTTGTCAGAAGCAGATCCACGGGAGCTATCTTTGAGTGTTTTGAAGTCCTACCCAAAACAGATGCAGTGCTGGCTGCCAAAGATGCACTGATTAGGAACTTTCCAGCCAGAGCAGTTTTTCTAGCTGCAGAGGAATTCCGAAACGCTTCTTTCATACGAGAGCTAGGGGATGCGATACACAAACTGTCAGTCGAAAAGTTGGAGTTGGCCATGGAAACATCAAGCAAGGGAAAGAATACTGTCGTCGAACAGCGCCAATCTGCACATCCCAGAGCAGTAACTGAGTGGTTGTTCGGAGTGCTTAGCAGCCGTGGCAAAGCAACCTCAAGCCCGACCGTTCGGAAGCGTACTCATGATGATGTATGCTGGACAGATACCGACAAAGAACCTTGGAGGCGATCTGGAATATGGACCTGTGCACGCGTTGCTCTTCAGATTGCCCTACAGAACTCGGATCTTGCTGGCAAGGAGAGATCACAATACAAAAATTTCATGTTGTATCTCCTGTCACGTCTTGCCACAGAGATATCTGAGGTTAACAGCTCGCCGGACACCCTTCATGTGCTCCGTGTCAAATTGGCGAGACGGAATGCAAAGCTTGCATCTGAAACAATATCATTCGTCCAGAACACTGTCCAAACAACTCTATCTTGCCTCAACCGGAAGATGCAGAAGTGGGAAAAGGTCATACAGGCCAATAAGTCGAGTCTTCCAAAGGTCCCCGTCCAGGAAGTCTCTGACCGCTTGGCAATGAAGAACAGCCGCTCTGTCGTTCAGGCTGCTTGGTTGCGTTCGCGGCAACCCTTCACATATCCTAGTATCAACTTCGTGCCGCAGCTACTCCGCAGAGTCTCCTTGACTGAAACGCAGCTGCCGGACTGGGCGATATTCAGGAATTCTGGCGATGTGATCTTTGCGCTTGCAGATTTCGAAAACTGGGTTGGGAGCCACCTTGCGAACTGGTTGTACCTGCACTGTGGCCAGCCGTCATCTTGCCAGTCTCTGGCTCTCCTGATGCAAACTTATCACCAATACGCCAAGTCAAGATATCAAGGTCATCCGGAGCGGACGTCACTCATGTTGCTCACACTTTTTGACCTGTGGGTTGCGTTAGATAGAGCTGCTACGAAGGCTTGTCCACTTCTTCTTCAGTACCCCCCTGAGTTGGTCCCAGGCATTTTTGCTCCTCTTCTCCTCTTCAAGCAGCCCGAGCTGGAGCGCTTACATCGCATCGAAGACCATATATCTTCACGCTTATCGGGATGCAAAGCACAGCTCTCTTCACTATTCAGCGACCCAACAGACACATGTTTTGCTGTCAAGTATTTCGACCAGTCGGCCTCCTTGCAAAAGCGACGAGCAGACATTGAGTCTCAGGCCCGTAAAATGCGGGTAATAAAGTCAGATGAATGGAATGAAAAGATGGCTCGCTTCGAGAAACTTATGAGCGACGTACAAAACATGGAATGCGGCGTCTTCGTTCCTCCACAGCGAGGTAGGCGAGCAGCAGTCCCTCGCCATGATTGGAATTGCACCAGATGCGCCATGGAAAAGGAGGCAAAAGCAATTCAGATAACGAAAGAGGAATGGCCCCTTCCCGAAACAGAGGTAATGGTCAAAGCAGTCACCTTTGAGCTAATGCCTCCTCCAGCCATTACTTACTGGCGCGATACAACCTGGTTCCTTGTCCATGATCTTGGTAGGACTGCCGCGAGGACTCGGAGAGGACAAACTGTCAAGCAACTCTTGCGGTCATATCCGCCACTTGCTTCGTTTGCTGAAGGTACAAACCATCGGATCGCACTTGGCTCCTCTGTCAAATCTATGCAAAAATCTCACTACTTCACATCGGGATTGAATATGGACGAAGTATTCGTCAAGAACGGCCTACAGCCGCGGATGTTAGATACCAATCACGGCTCTGTGTGGACAGCAGAACAGGTCATCGAACCTTCGCTATCTAATTACTGCAACGCACCGCTTCCGGAGGCAGTCAAAGACCACCTGGGGCCTTTCGTGAACATGACCCACCACACACAAAACTCAGTGATTGCAAAGCACTGTCTTTGCCCAAACAATATGAGCCCCCATGAACATGTACTCTTCGGGTCGCTGCGAAGTGGCGAAAGACTGCAGTGGATCAATATTTTGGCCATGCTGACCTCTACGGAGATCGATCTCAACTCTTCCACAACCGCAATCCTGATTTTGTATGCGATATCCCAAGTTGGCACGGCTGGGGCGGCAAAGCCACAATACCTGCGAGAGTCGCAACATGATCTGAACTTCCCGTCTTTCTGTCACTCTCTCCTAGAGGCACTGGAGGCCAGTTTTGCAAGAATCGAGGCGAATTGGAAAGAATCCATTGCTGCCGGCGCACTATTGACAATAAGTCTCAAGGTGCTGTCGTTGAAACCATATCAACTGGACAAGGAGCGTTGGAATGGTCTTGTGCTTCGGATCCGTCATGCTGGCATTTCATGGATTCGTCAGCTGTCAGAGCTGCACAAGCACCAGAAAACCAAGCTTGCAGCTGGTCACGGCTTTGAGGATCTCCCTCGTCAGATCGTTAACGCCTGTCTGTTAACACGACAGACATTCAACACCGATGTACACCTTTTGCCATCGGTCTTCTCTGACGACGGTGCTGTTGCAGACTATATTGAAGCATCCATTCACCTACATGATCACTCTCAGCAAGTTTCCGTCACAGCCGATGGGAAGCAGAAGTCTGATCTCTTAAACGATCAATACCTTGCTCGCCAGTGTGAGAAGCCATTGTTAGACCGGTTGCGAGTCTGCGACACCGGATTTTCAGAGGGCATCAATCGTTTCTGGCAGTTCGCTACCTTCACTACCCCGTGGGACATCGTCGACCAGAATGACACTTCATGGATACAAAACAAGGTTTTATCGAAGGTTGTGCATTTCAATGTTGTGACCGGCAGTCTTCTGGTCTCGGGCCGACCGCTCTCAAGACTTCCTGCGAAGTACTTGTCCCATCCACTGTATCGCTCGGTCTTCGGCGATCTTGACCTCGACGTTTTTGCCTCCGACCTCGAAGATATGGAATACGTGTCCAGAGCCGAGATCGAGGGACATCGAGTCTATTTTGGCATGCGCGATGACACCCTCATTGTCCGTTCCTCCATAGCAGGACAGTCTTTTGAGGCAATCCTCCGCGATACTTTCCTTGGGGACATACCAGACTGCATTGTGAAGCCCAACATACCTTGGATGTCTCTGGAAGACGGACGAGTCTTCTTCCGGCCGACCACCCGACCTTGGGTATCTCAGGCGGATGATTGGATTTTAACCCCAGATATCAGACCGAGAACAACGATCTCTCTACGAAATGGGCGTTCCTATCTTATCGACCATGCAAGCACTGTGGGAAGTGCCATATGTCAAATCTTCCGGCCAATTGAGTGTCCCAACCATGTGCTCATATCCATGCATGATGGGGTCATTATCAAGGTGCATTTGCCTCGATATCACCTGAACTTTCATGTGAGCTTTCGAGGGGAGCTGCAGTGTCAAGAACTTGCAGCGCGTATTGACAGTACCCAAACGCTAGGGACATTGCATGGTCTAACCTCGTTCTTGATTTTACGTGCGGCGAGTGACTCTGCTGGTGCAGCTGTTCGGAGCGTGCTCATTCCCGACGGAGATGTGGTAATCTCAAGTGCGCCACCTCATGTTGCTGTCGAGGTTCGCATAGAAGAAGTGGACGATCTAACATTTTCTCATTACCGGATCGACGATAGACTTGGTCGATTGGTTGCAGATGATCTCGAAGGACATTTGTTCAAGACCTACCTCCACGCTGTCACCAGTTTCCCAGAGAATGATCAATTGACCGGTCGTGCGGGCTCTGAGGAGAGTCTACTGAGTCTGTCCGATCCAATCACGCGGACCTCACTCCCACTGTCTGAGCGCTCTCAAAAGCTGCTCTCCATGATCGCGAAGCTCTCTCCTGTCCGCAGATTCTACCCTCCACATTTGAGGGCCATGCACTCTGACACGTTCAACGGTGTTCTGCCAACGCTCTCGCAACGTGATATCTTTTATGGCACTGTTGAGGAGATTGTCTTGCACAATCTCAAATCGGAGTTTCTCTTCAAGTCAGGAAGTGTGCAAAGCTTGTCTTACGCTGGACAACTATCATTGCTAGACAGATCATACCGTCGGACCCGCAAACTCTATCCGTGTGAGTCTGTGGCGACAGAAACACCTACAGCTGAGGACCAAAGTTACCTAGCACGAGATCGCGACAGTAGCCCAAACCAGGAGGCTGCGGCGTCCATGGCTGGGCTAGTAGCAGCATGGCCCTCTGCTTTCAATGTGTGCTCAGACTTGAGGGGGCTAATGCTAAGGTGGCAACAAATCAGCGGCTTTCAGGAGGATTTTTCTGGCTTTTCGTTTGCGAAGGTGCTTCGCGAAGAGCTTCGCCAACAATTTGCGAGGTTGCTAGTGTATTGCAAAAGACCTTCGATTTCTCGAGAGAACCTGGCCTTCATTCTGTCATTGCTCGTCTTCGGAAAGCCATCTATTGCGAAAGAAGTCCGAGTCCTGCTGGCCTTCGCTGTTTCGCCAGCCCTGCGTTGCCTTCCATTTCCCGACTCGAATACCTACAATTTGAGCCAGGGGCGCGCGGTGAATCGGGATGAGCTATCACCCATTCTATGGCAGTGCGAAAGAGCCTTTGTCCCGCCTCCTGAGAATGGAACTGATGGGCAGGGAAGCGACGATAACCCTGACAATCCTCAGGCGCAGCGTGAGGAATACGAGCGTGAACTGAGCAACCAGCGCCAACAATATGAGCGTGAACTCGGTGAGCAGCGCCAACAGGTCTTCGATGCAGTGGATGCGGCGTGGCCGGCCGGTTCGGTAAGACTGCCAGCGGGGCAGAGTCTTACTCATTACAACGTCGCAAACCTCACAGAGCTCTTGAACGGCCGACTCGCGACGTGGTTCAAGAACTACACTTTCTGGTGTCAACTCGAAACTATTGATAAGGCGTTGACAGAATTTGATCGACCATGGGACGGACCAAAACATTTCAGCAGTATTCTCAAGGCCGCACCTCAGCATGAGACACAAAGTCGGCAGACACACTTTTCTCTAATGAACGCGATGCACGCCGTCCCTGACGCCGGACTGGTCTTTGATGGAATGAGACCCAGCGCCTTGGATGGAGACCTTGCCACTTCGATATGTACACAAGAAAGAGCCCGACCTCTAGAAGCAAACGAACTTCGCCACGCCTGGGAAGAGCTCGAGGAGATGTGTGAGGAATTGAGCAAGGATCGTAGTTCCATTGCCCAGAACTATGGGACTTCTCTCAATGAGAGCATCAAGTGTTTGAAGATGAAGGCTGCACAAGGTCAGGCCAAGCTCAGACTCTCGAGTGGATCCATCCTGGGCGTCAAGTCTGAAGAAGTGAAAGATTCTATCAAGCTCATCCTAGATCGCAGCCAACAACTCCTCCGCCCGAGCGTCGAGTGGCAACAAGGTTTGGTGTCAGCCAGAATATGGCCTCACGTGTCTCCATTGGCGCTGCTACAGCTCCTAACAGCGCTTCACAGAGCTCAGGTGCCGCAGGGATGGCTGAGAGTAGCTAGTCTGTTGGCTAAGGAGGTGACAGCTCTCCAGAGAGTGGAGCGCATGCAAAAGTACCTGGGGATCAAGGACCAGTTTGCCCTGCAACGAGAACTGACAAACCCAGCTCATGCGGCGTGGGACCCTGAACAGTGGCCTGACTGGCTCCTCCTTGAAATTCAAAACAACATCTTGATACGTCCGGTGCAGGTTAGGGTCGCTCAAGAACTCATTCGGCAGGAAAACGGCCTTGTACTCCTGGGAATGGGCGAAGGCAAAACAAGTGTAATCCTGCCAATGGTGGTGACTGCTCTTGCCACTGGCTCACACCTTGTCCGGGTCGCTGTTTTGAAGCCGCTTGCCAATGAGATGCTTCGTCTTTTGTCTTTGAGTCTTGCAGGACTGGTTGGTAGATCGGTTTACCATCTCCCTTTTTCCAGGCAGACAAGACTAACGGCAGAAACCCCAAACCTGTTGATGGGCCTTTTCGAGGAATGTCGCAAATCTGGCGGCGTCCTTCTTACTCTGCCAGAGCACTTGAACTCCTTCCGACTGATTGGAGGTGACAAGCTCGTGACGGACAAGACTCTGTCTGTCGATCTAATCCGAGTACAAAAGTGGCTTGACGAGCACAGCCGTGATATACTGGACGAGAGTGACGAGTTGTTGAAGCCTGGATACGAACTTGTGTACACCAATGGTGAAGCAAACGTGTTATCAGGAGCACCCGATCGGTGGATCATCGCATTGGACATTCTTGCTTCAGTGCAGAGAAATGCCCGCACCCTCCATGCGGATTGTCCATCTGGCATTGAACTCGAATCTCGGGGCCCGGCATGCTTTCCCCATTTGCGGATTCTGAATGATGAAGGTGCCCGGTTGCTGAACCATTGTCTCACCCAGGACATCATTACACGAAAGATACCTTCGCTCCCGCTGGGCCATTGTGACCCTGCGACACTAACTGCGCTTTCGTCCTTCCTGCACGAATTGGAAACGGATCCTGCCGATTTCGACTTGGTATCAAGGCATTTCCAAGGCTCGGCCCAGCTCGACCTGCTGTATGTCGCTCGAGGCCTGCTTTCCCATCAGGTACTCACACATGCACTGCGCAAGCGCTGGCTTGTAAATTATGGCTTGGATCGAACCCGTTGTCTTGCTGCTGTTCCTTACCGAGCCAAGTCTGTCCCATCTCCGAGCGCAGAATTCGCACAGCCAGAGACATTAATTCTGTTGACGGCTCTATCCTTTTACTACACTGGCATTCAGATTGAGGATCTGCGGAGATGCATTCTCATCCTCATGAAATCCCCAGATCCGGGCGATGAGTACTCCAGATGGGTTGCCGACACCGAACTACCTCCCGAGTACCGAAGTGCAAACTCGCTCAATCTAGACGATGCTTACTCCATTGACAAATTGTACGCGCACCTCCAGTACAACAAAGCGGTCATAGACTTCTTTCTCAGACAGGTGGTGTATCCAAAAGAAGCCAAAGAGTTCCGGCACAAGCTATCCTCTAGTGCCTGGGACCTCTGCGCGAATGACGGTGGTAAGGTGACATCTGGCTTTAGCGGCACCTGCGACAGCCGCATCCCCCTGACGTGCTTTCAAAAAGATCTCGAGGACCTCCGCCATGGCACGGCATCGGCCCTAACAACACTGCTCAGAGTCGACAATCGCAAGTATGTTTGCGCAGCATCAGTTTCTGGAGAAAGAATGTCTACCGAGGAGTTGCTCCAACTCATCGTCGATGTTACACCTGAGGGGCCTGCTGTCATCATTGATGTCGGGGCACAGTTTCTTGAGGACAACAAAGAAATTGCCTCAGAGTGGCTCCGCTTGCGCCGAGACAAGAAGGCTGCCATATATTTCAGTGAAAATGATGAGAAAATGGTGCTCAACCAAGATGGTAGCATTGAACCTTTTGCGTCTTCAATCTTCAAAGATGAAATTGGCGGGTGTCTTATCTATCTGGACGAGTTCCACACTCGAGGTACGGATTTCCAACTTCCTGATGATTTCAAGGCGGCGGTTCTTCTTGGGCCAGGTCTCCTCAAGGACAGCCTGGTCCAAGCATGCATGCGAATGAGGAAATTGGCAGTCTCGCAGTCAGTGATCTTTTTCGCCCCGCCGGAAGTGGACAACAGCATTCGCGCTTTGCTGGGTGTCCAAACAGGAGACCTGGACAGTTCGCATGTGATCCGATGGTGCATTTCGCAGTCGTGTCGTGCGCTTAAAAGCCAACAACCGCTATGGACAATGAAGGGGTTGTCGCACAGCCGCAGACGGCTAGCATCCAAGAGATATGTCCTTGAAGGTGGCCAAATCCCAAACCCGGAACAATATCTTGACTCTATCCGAGAGATAGAAAGCCGACCAGTGTCGGAAATGTATGCTGTCGACAAGCGTGACCAGAAAAAGCACACTTTCCAGCCTAGCCCCTTGGAGAAGAAGGACGACATCATGATGCAGCTTTTGGCAGAATGGGATCGAACTGAAACGAATGATCTCAAGGACAGCGGCATCGCGGAAGAGCAAGAGCGGGAAATCTTGCATGAGGTGGAGAAGGTACGAGAAGTTCAACGACCAGCACATGCAACCCCAGCAAAGCCAGCTGCATCGGAGGTTCTAATCAACTACATCTTCAAGAACGAGGGAGTTCCGAAAGCGGAAGATTTCCACTGGGCATTCAACATTCTTTCTCAGACCCGTCTTGCGCCCCAGTACAGAGGTGCAGAGTGGCCCACCAATGTCTTGGTGACCCAGGACTATATGCGAACCATTGTACCTCAGGCTGGATCTCCTCAGGACGACTATCTGCGGCCCGTTCAATGGATTTTCGTTGTGGATTTGGTGAAACAGCCGATCATCATCAGTCCACATGAAGCACAGGTGTTCCTGCCAGGGATTCGAAAACACGGAAGAGTGACCTTGATTCTCTACCAGCCACGTACGAGTCGGAACATGATGTCTTTCGACGGGTTGAATGTTTACCAGGTTCCAGAGCGGCCTAGTCCAACCAAGATTTCAGTCGAGGCCATTTCCGTGCTCAACCTATTCGCTGGTCAGCTCTACTTCACCACCTTTGAGGATTACAAACGTCTTTGTTCTATCATCGGCCTCTGGGACGGAGAGCGACCACTACCACTCAAGCGACATGTGGCCAACGACAACTTTGTGTCGCCTGCTTGTCGGCAAGCCAACGGCTGGACAGAATGTAAGTTCTCAAACAGTCCCGTGGGAATGCTCAAGGCCTTTATCAGCATGCGGAGGCTCGGCATCGAATGGGGTCACACTCATATGGGACGGATTCTGTCAGGACGCTTCCTGCGAAGAGATGAGTTTGAGGATGAAATGGGGTCTGCGGCGGAGGATAAAATGGAAGTTGATAGCACGAGCGAGTCAAACACGCCCGGCACTGGTCAGAGCAGTGCAACTGAGGAAAACACTGCTGAAACTGGCCAGAGCAGTACTCAAACTGCCACTACCGACGACGATACCATGGACGGTCTTGAATGGGGTTCAGGGCAAGAGCTGCCGATAGAGGCTGCTGATAATGGTGCTAACTAAAGGCCCTGTTCCCGAAGCGACTGCTACCATGAGTGAGATGTTCCTGGTATGAGCATGAGCTCATTGGGCATAATAACACGGTGGATGGACAGACGAGCGAGAAAGACAGGAGGCAGCAGAGCATAGAAGAACGCAGCATCACCATGGCATGATGTGCAATGTGCAATGAGTCCAGCAATGAATTATGAGTGATGATTGACTATTGTGCCAGTAGTAAAAAGCGGGTTTTCGTTTCTCGGTGACTTGTAAGCTGCCCTCGAAATGGTACAGCAGCAACCAGAATAAGATTAAGAACAAATAGCAACTAAAAAAGATTGCAACAACCAATCGAAGACGGACGTTGTCCGACTGACGATTCCACTCATCGTAACCAATTTCGGAGTATCGTAGTATATGGTGTTGATCCTCTCATCTAGGTGCCTCTGCTGGTACAATATGCTGACATTGCTACAGTTTCGCTCTAGCAATAAATGTGACTGAAGCGTAACCACGGCGCCACGCCAGTCAATCGAAGTCAATCAAGAGGCAATAAAGTCCACAGTCGACAAATTCTACTCTCTCCGACAGTCTTCCGGTCTTCTTTTCTTTTGTTCTTTTGCTTCCTAAGAACAGTGATGCACAACCGTCACAACCATCGACGCCGCCGACAGAAGTAGCAACAGCAGCAGTAGAATGTAGACCCAATAACCGAGGCCAGAAAAACCTCAGCAGCGTCACCACCCTCACTATTGTCATCACCATTGCCATGCACCATCATCAACGCCAAAGCCACAGCCACATCCATTAGCACACCCCAGAGCCACGATGCTCAGCTAAAATACTGTAAATCCTTTCAGGGATGCAGGTGCATCCATCCTCACTACTCACTACTCATCAAGCAAGATCTTCCACAACTCCCCGCCCGCCCCATCATGGCCACCGATATAATTATGCCCGACGACATTAACAAGCACCGACTCCTGACGCATGCGCTCTAGGAATCGTTCCTCATCACTGCCCCGGGGGAAACACTTGCGCCACTCGCTCCAGATGGAATACGCCTCTTCGCCCCAGGCGCGGAAGGATTCAGCTTCAATGATGGTCGGGGTGACGATTTCTTTGCCGCGGAACACTCCCCAAGTGACGGCGTTGACGCCGGTTGCGGTTACACTCGTGGTAGTAGCAGTACCATTGGTCGTAGTAGTGGTAGTATCATGATCATCAACACCACCATTAGTTTTAGTTTCAGTTTTCTTCTTCTTCTCGTTCTCAATTTCCTCACTCGATTCAAACGCGCCATTCGCATCCGTCTTGAACCAACTGACCTGATCAGACCTATACTTCAACAGGCGCGGTTTGAGGCGTGTCTCCCATTCGTGCCGATCACAGAAGAATTCCACAAAGGCCTTTTGAAACACAAACCCTTCACCGGGCGGACCCCAGCCGAAAGTCTCGTCTTCGCTTCTGACGCCATCGACGGCCGGTTGACTCGCCAAGGTCCAGTATCCCTTTTTCTCAATCATTGCCAACAGTTCTTGGCGGATGACTTGGGTCTCGGCGCGGAGTGATGCCCCCGCGGCTCCGTTGGCTGTAGTGGTGTCATCGGCAACATCAATCTCGTCGCTCCAGGGCACGGCTTCCAACTCGCCCACGACAACACGTCGGAACAACGCAGTAACGTCGTCGCGTGTCTTTGGGTGGCCCCAGAGTCGTCGGGCTGTGATGGGGCCGACTTTCAGCGTGGGACCGTAGCCGTCAATCTCGCCAAATGCAGGAGAGTGAGATGGACCCCAACGGCCATTGGGGAAGTCGTCCCAGGTGGCTTCTCTGCCCAAAGATCCTTGGCCTTCGGATATCATGAGATTGTGTTTCCTCGTCGGGTCAGAAGCCGGAATACCTGTACCTCTGTCTGGGGCGATGTGTTGTTTCAACATTTTTTCTCTGTCTGCGTCAGCCGCCGCCGCCGCCGCTTCTTCTTGCTGTTGTTGCTGTTGCTGCTTTTCTTTTCTTTGCCGGTGTCGTTGTTCTTGCTGCTCACGTTCAAGAATGACTCGGTTATGAGGCTGGGCATTGACTGAACTCGTTCTTCGTTTGACCAATCCAGTAGGTCCTGGCGGTCGGGCCACTCCATTCTCTGCTGCTGCCGTGCCATTAAGAGACAGCGTTGGTGGTGAGATTGTCGGCGTGGCATTATCAGCTGCAATGGCGTCCGAGTCGGAAGAAGAGTCGGACGATGGCTCCTCGGGCTCGGGTTCTGAGATAGGCGGGATCAAGCCAGTGCGCTCAAGAATGAATGCGACCGACTTCTCAAGGTTGAGGGTATAGAAATGGAGTCCGCGCGGGACACCATCGGGCTGCGGAAGCCCCTTGATCTGTTCGACCAGTTCACTCAGAATATCCACGCCGACCTTCTTGACCGCCTCATCGTCGGACTTGACGGCCTCGATGCGACGGGAAATGTCTTCTGGAATTTTCGCATGACTTAATTTCGTGATGCGTTTGATGATCTGGTAGCTCTGGATGGGCATGAGACCGGGGATGATAGGGATCGTGGCAAACAGTTTCTTGCCGTCCTTGGGGTCGACATAGTCGCGCAGTCGCTTCTCGTAGGCAGCATAGGCATCAATATCATAAGTCAACTGGGTCATGATGAAGTCTGCCCCTGCGGCCACCTTTTCCACCAGGTACGGCAGATCGTGCTCGACGCTCTGCTGGCCCGCGATAGGGTTGCTCTCGTCCGCATGGCCCTCCGGGTACCCGGCGACACCGATCGAAAAGTAATCCCCGTATTTGTGTCTGATGTACCGCACCAGATCCACGGCCCAGACAAACTCCTCGTTGCTGTCCGTTCCGGACCCTCCGCTGCCCCCGTCGTTGGTGTCGCGATATTCTTCTCGGGGAGGATCGCCGCGCAGTGCCAGGATGTTGCGGATCCCTACCTCCCGCGCCGTCTCGAGGGCCTCGTCCACCATGCTTCTCTTCATGTTTGTACATGTCAAGTGCAGAACCGTCGTCAACCCCAGCTGTCTCTGACATACTTCCGCCAACTCTAACGACTTGGTCGCCGTCGACCCGCCCGCGCCCCATGTCACTGTCACAAAGAGCGGTCGCAGTGCCGCGGCCATTCGAGCCAGACGGGACTGGAGATTGGAGAAGCGCAACGACGTCTTGGGAGGGAAGAACTCGAGCGAGAAGTAGTTCGACGAGGGTGGGAGATTGGACAGGAGAGTAGGGAGTCGGTCGTCGTCCGCCATGGTGGGCTGTGTTTGGGTGTCTTTTTATGCTGCAGTGTTGGCTGTGTTGTTTGCACACCGTGAAGATAGACAAGAGATCCGGGTAGTCGGTGGACTATCGCATTGAAACGCTCAAGGTGGGGCGGCGTCGAGAGGTCAGGTTGTGATCACAGTCAGGGAACGGAAAGCTCGCTATATCCAGAGCCGGGTCCAAAATATGTATCAATGGTTGCTTCACTGCCGTGTATTACAGTTCAAGTTGTCGAGTCGGCGAATTGGGCGCACGGGACCATGACCTGTAATTGTGATTTTCCCAATTTTGCCCCGCGCACCCGAAACTTTGCTTGATGCCAATGCGTGGAAAGTGACGCCAGCATTGACGGGAATTGACAATTACTACAAAGCACAACTTGACACCAGCACATCAGATACGACGATATCATCCAAGACTTGCATACTGTGTTGGCTCGTTTCAGCCCTTCTCATACATTTGACATTGTTTCCTGTCCGACTTGGAGTCGTGAGCAATGGTGTTACATGCCGCCAGATTGGCCTCTTGTACAAGTCTCCCGAATCTAATGCTTTGGATGCTGCCCCAACAAGCACAAACAACCGTTTCCATCATAATCATACCGCATGTAGTCCGATGCTCTTGCCATGGAAATGACATCAACGATTCCATCTTCCCTCGAAGGACAAACATGATTCCTGAAACAAAACTCCATGCGCGCAACCACTTGTGTTTGAGAGCGTCAATGGTGCTCCCCGGCCCAACCCTGCCGCCAGTGTCACTTAGCTCTGCTCTCCGCCATTTATGAAATCGTCAAAGTTTTTCGACACATGCTCTCCGTCCTCTAAGGCTGCCGGATCATGGGCCGACCCCGGACTTGCCGTCCGCATCATGTCTAACGCCTCGCTTGCATGGCTAGCCACCTGTTCCAGACTGGAGATATGCTCGTTGTTCCCGTCCTCATCGTGGTTGGTGATTTCCATGAACATATTGTCGTATTCTCCATTTGGTGGTGACCCTGCGCGAGGAGTCGTCGATTGGCTGGCGGTGGCGTTGCCAAACGCGTTACGAAGGTCATCGTCCCCATCGAGCCCCAGTCCGGTACTGGGACGGAAGAGGAGAAACCCTGAATCGTGATGGTTCCGAGATTCGCCAGTTGCGTGACCTGAGAACGTCGGCAGCATCGGATCCCGCATGCCTCCGGGCCGTTCGTCACCACCGGGGCTGAACAACGGCGAGGGTGAGTTGGCAGAATATGACGGTCGTCTGGTAGCCCCAAAGGAGGCACCGAATGGGGCAGACCCGGACATGTACCCAGGATCAAACGCACCACTGGGGCCGGCATGGCCATTTGAACCTTGTCCGTGCATCCCGCCGGGCGTATCAGATTTTCCTGCGGCCTGGCTCTGAGCTGGGCTGCCCGTTGAACCAGGAGCTGAGGGAGACTGCGTCGATGGCTTTGGCAAGAGCGGGCCCGTCACAAATGCCTCTTGAGTTCTCCTTCGTACATAAGTCTTGGCTCGAAGATGAGGTGGCAGATCTTCCGGCTTCTCCACCCCAAGCTCCTTCATCAGTTTCTGTTGTTTGGTTGGTCGCGGCTTTCGCGTCGACAGACTCTGATCCAAAATTGGCGGTGGCTCAGGGGCGATCGGGTTCCACTTGTGTAGTTCTTGTCGGAATAAATTCGTCTCATAGGCAAGGAGGACTTCTGCCCCCTCCAGTTTGCGAAGATAAAACAGCATTTCGGGCATCTCTTCACTCGTTTGGCAAAGTTGATTGCCTTTTGTGTATTTGGTAAGGAAGTCTCGGAAGGCCTGAGCTTTATCGATAATTCTCTTCAAAAGTTCTTCTTCTTCCGGTTGAAAGGGAAGATCAAAAATCTCGTCTTGCCAGGCTTGAAGGTCTTCGAGCTTGGGCCGGGCAGCATCACGGGGGATCTTGACTCGCCAATCGCAGATGGGACAGGTAAAGGTCTCGCATTCCTTCACCTTGCCTCTCGCGAGCTTCAGACACTTGGCATGATACCTGGAGCACGTGGTTAGCCTGGTCTTGCACGAATCAATAGAGTGACCTACCAATCCCGACAATGTTCACACTCGATCATGAGACCCGCTTCTGGTTGTCGGCAGATACAGAAGACAGGCTTCTCATCGTCGCCGAGCACGCCCTTTTCGTGACCATCCGCCGGCGTAGCCTCCCTGGAAGCAGGCTCGATAGGCGGGCGGAATGTGTCATTCAGATCAAAGCAGAAGTTGTTCTTCTCTTCCACAAACTTCATGTGTTGCTCAAGGATGTGAAGCGGTGCATTGGCCTTGCCGAACAACTTCTTGCCCTTCCTCATCCAGTCCTCATGTCTTCGGAGTTCTCGTTCGAGGTCGGCAGCGCCATGGGGTTTTCCATTGAGATCCTCCAGGCCCTTCACCACTTCGCGAACATGCACGTACAGCGGTCGTTTACGGAAGTCTGGATCCTGACTCCGTTCAACCAATGTGATGATTTGTCGTTTCGCCTCCCGGTTCTTAGCCAAGATGACATCCATCCGCTCCAGAGTTTCTTTGTTGACTGGGAACACGTGGTTTTGCACTTGCGAATGCAGGGACTCGAGCTGTGGATAGTGCACATCCTCAGCAGCCATGACTTCCTTGGCTTTGATCTCCCAGAACTCGCCCTGCCGTACCACTTCCGTCAAGAAGATAACCTCAGGCACCTGGGCCACCAAGTCTAGTTCTTCAGCCCGCCCAAGGAGAGCCCGACATTCGTCCAAAGTCTTGGACTGTACGTCTTGCTGGATCTGCCGAACTTCTTCAAGCCATTGTGTCCGCGCGTGCACCTTCTCGAGGCTGGTCAACTCCGGCATGGCGGCCGAAAAGGATCGTCCTTCGTCAAGCAACGTTTCCAACTCCTCGGTGGTAGCTTGATGTAGGCCGGATAGAACTCGCTTCACGTTCGCTCGCCATTCATCAATCACCGTCACTCTTTCCTGGAGAAGTTCGAGCTGAGGTGCACTGAATCCAAGCTGCTCTCCATCCTCAATGAGCTCTTTCATGCGCTCCAGTGTCAGTTGCGGTTCCTCCTTTTCATCTGCCTTGCCTGTACGGAGGGACGACCGCCGCCATACTTTCTCATTCTTGCGTCGGTTGTTCTGTTTTCGAGTAAGGTACAGGTTCGCCTCGTCCACCCACTGGTCGCATCTTTTCACAAAGGCGGCGAGGTCATCCAATCCATTGAGTGGATAGGGGATCTTCTCACCTTCGGTCAAAAGTGTATGCATCGATTTGAGGGGGGGTCGTGCATCGTCTGCAAGTAGAGCCTCCAGTTTGGCCTCCCACATTTCAGGTACGTTAGCTCTATCTACAACTTTCTGCACGACGGCCTCAAGCTCGTGGTTGGTGTAACGCAAAAGCAAGCTGTGGTTTGGTCCCCGTGATCGCTCCTGGAGACTCTCCGAACAACAATCGGCTTCTTTCGGGTGCCGGAGGCAGGCAACCTTGCCACTAGTGTGGCACCGGAACTGAGAGAGGTAGGAGAAGGCCTTGCAATAGCAGCATTGATACTCTTCCTCTTCCAATTCAATATTTTCCACATGAACCTTGAGGCCGCAGGCGGGAGACGGCTCCGGAGCCAGGGTATCGAACGTACAGGCAGCATGCGGGGATAATGCTTGGTGAAGAGCCACAAATTCTTTGCGTTCCGCCAACTCGCGATCCCGGGTCCGCTCCAACGCTGGCCCCAGCCATTTGGCGGTCTTGATCGAGGAATCAGAGGCGGCAGCAGTGAAGAGTAGTTCATCATGCGAGAAGCAGGGTTGACGACGAAATTCCTGCAGTCGCTGTACCCCGGCCTCGCCGAAAGGTTCCCAATCAGCAGGGGCAAAGTTGACTGCTTCGTTAAAGTTGAAGCCATGGTTGAATCCGGCGTGATATGCTTGCGGGAATGTGATGACAAACTGTCCAGCACGTTGATCGAGCGCATAAACCTCAACTCCCGCTTTCCTCAGCTGGTTCGGTGGAAGAATCGTCACCAACTGAAATAGCAGGTCTGGCTGGGTTTCGAACAATTCTGGAACCGCCTTTCTCATGGCCTCTTCAAACTTGTAAGCATCCTTACCGGGAATGCCGTACCATGTCTTCGTTGCACCAAAATGCTGGTAATTGGCAGAATATGCGTAATGATCCTCGTTATGCCAGCAGAACGTGGAGAAACACATCCCCACGTACAACCATGGCACGGTCATTCCCGATATGTCGCCTTTGATATGCCTGAAAAGTGAATCCTCAAGGAAGGGCATGACGTTGAGGTTCCAGGGGTCTTTAGAGTACGGGTTCAGAGGATTCTTCTCCACGGTTGGAAAGCCACTGCCGTGGGTTGTAGAATGAATGTCCGCGCCGTATTCAACCTCCACAGACTCCGTGATGTCTTCAACAAGTCGCCAGAACTCTCGCTCGACATCATCCTCGGTAGGCCGTCTTTGGGTATTCGTAATGGGGTCGAAGGGCATCCGCGCCGCAAAGTAATGTTCCTTAAAGTTGTTCGCCTTCTCTTGAAATTGCTTCAAAGAGTAAACGCTACCCTCTTCAAATCCATAGTCATTCGTGCCGACCAAGCATTTGGAGCAATGCCAGTCATAGTCCGGCATTTGCCGCAAGGGCGGGTCGATGCAATGCTTGTGGTAGCCCATGTCACACGTGTCGCAAATGAGGATACTCTCTTTGTTGTCGGATTTACCGCACTTCTCGCACTTCTCGCCTTGCCTACGCGCTGCCGGTTTCGAACGAGCCTGAGGCGTCGAAGGTCGCGTTCCGGGGACATTGTTGCCCGGAACGGTTGGATGTCCGTCTACCTGAGTAAGCAGATGATCATGCTGTTTGAGCACTGTCGAGGAGTCAAGCGGACTCTTCTTAGGTCTCTTGCTGCGTCTCCCATTTGGATCATCCAAGTCACCACCAAAGCTCTCCGAACCCGAGTCGCCATTTAAACTCTCATGACTCATGGCTCGCTTGAGGGGATTCAAATGACCGTTTGGCATGGGAGCCGTCGGTGGGTGTACCGTGGTAACAGTGGGACCGTTGATGGGGAGGAAAGACGTAGCAGGGCTCTGCGCCGAGGGAGACGCCCCATTTACTTCCTTCTTGATCAAGGGAGGGGGTAACGTGTTAAGCGTATTGACAGCAGTAAATCCCGAAGGGTTGTTGACGGCTGCAAACCCACTATTAACAGCGGTAAAGCCGGAAGAGGATACCGGTCTCGGTTGAGCGGGTGGTGGCACTGGAGTAGGCTGATGTTGCGGCTGTTGGGGTTGCACGGGAACGGCGTGCACCGGAGGTTCGGGAGCACTGGTAGGCTGCACTCTGGGCGAGTCTGTGCTTATAGCGGGAGGAGCAGACTGGGAAGGCGGTGGAGGATGTTGAATCGCCGGGGATTGATGGGGTGCAACGGCAGGTGAATATGTGCCTCCCTGCTCGTTCTCGAGTTGCTGTTGAACTCCCGGTTTGGCGTATTTCAACCACTCTTCATAAGGATGTAGCCATCTTTGATAGGAGTTTTTCAGCGATGTTGACAGGGACGACATGATCTTGCCGCTGTAGCCCAAATCACGTCCGATCTCTGCCCACTTTTTGTCCTTGCAAACTCGCTCAAACCCGCCACGAACCTCGACGGCTTTCTTGAGTTTGTACAGATCAAGAGGGCGCTTGTCAACGCTTGGAAATCGATTGAGGTGGGCACCGTATTGCTTATGGAACTTGGCAAGCTGGTCCAAATAGTTGAGATTTGTCCGATTACCTACGGTAAGAGTAAGTATGTGTCGAATAATAAGACCATCAAATTGCTCACCTCCTTCCACCAGATTGATCTCCTGGCGACGAGTACGAAAATGGAAACGCTGCGACCCCATCAGTACAGTTCAAGGTGAATTCGTCAAGCGCGTGCTTGCACATCTCACTACTCACCTCGGTGTCTATGGCAAAGTCGGGATTCCAGTTTTCGGGGGGAATAATCTTGCATATCCCGTACTTGCTAGCCTTTTCCGAAATGCTTCGAATATAAGCCATCGGGTCACGGAATTCGGCCTCAGTCGGTCTGAATGTGGGTGCTTCTGGTATCCCGTGTGGTCTCGTTCTGGCAGGAGGATCGCGACTTGAGGGATGGCCTTTGCGCTCAACAGTTCGCAAATCGAGCGGTGGGGCACGACGAGCGCTGTAGGGGAACGACGGAGTAGCCATATTGGGTGTGATGCCATTCGTTCGAGGGGCGGACGGTGTTTTCGAAGTCGCAGTCGCAGGTGCGACACCACCACCCGTCGACGGCGGAGCGACCATGACTGCGACGAGATATTAAGTCTGACCAGGATCGAAGTGTTCTAAACGTGCAGATCTTATGGTCGAAGTGTGCCTGAGAAACAGGCCGATGACTATTACGCCCGTGGAGTTGGCTGGTTGTCGAGAAAGACAGATTCTCGATTATGATGAATATCGACACGAGGGCAGAGAGGGAGGCACGAATCGTAGTATGCAATTTGCCGGCGGCCTTGCGTACTGGACGCTCCGCTGGAGGTATAGTATTTGAGGCGAAGTGCTCTGCCGGCACTTCAGAGGACAGGGCCTCACATGCGTGTTGGAACGAGTCAAGGGCACAATGTCGACGAGGGAGAAGTAGTTGAAGAATACAACAAGGTCGACAAGTGACAGTGAGAGAGAGAGGATGAATAGTCGAGCAGTAGAGCCCGGGCAGGATCCAACGACTAGCAGGCGGGTCGAGAGCCCCGGATTGGCTGCAACTGCTGGAACCGTACCGCAGACTAGCGACTAGTCATAACCATATCTCTGCCGCAGCCAGATACTACCGCTGACCGCAGGCTAGAACTACCACTACGAAAATGCGGACACACGTCAGGTGAGAACAAAATCACGTGTTGCCAAGGCGACTCTGTCTTCTTCTGGCTAGCCTCAGCAGCTTATCTAATATGTCCGGAGTGGCGCGAATACGTTCCGACTTTTGTTTTGCTTGTTTTGCAGCCTGACCGCGCCGCAACACCCCATGCGCTGCGCAAGTTTCCCGTGTCCATCATCTCACATGTGAAGCGAGCAAGGGCTCCGCTCCATCGCTGAATACTACCCCCAGACATATCAATATTTGGCCGCATGCTTAACAGCCAGAGTGCATGGGAACCAATGCTACTTCTCTAGGCCCTGCACCTTGCGGGCCCCTTTTGTTCGAACTTTGAATCAGAGACCCGTCAATATCGCGGCGCCCAAAGCTTGAACGCTTGACTACCTAGGCACAGGCTTTGTATCTATGGACATCAAACCGGTTCCGGCCTTTTACTGCTGTTATCTTCTGCGTTCTACTGTACGCCGCTCAAGCATCTACATTGGATCAAGTCCCAATCCCGCACGGCGCCTCGCACAACATAATGGCCGAGTCCAGGGTGGGGCAGTGCGAACATCCCGAGCGAGTCTTCGGCCCTGGGAGATGGCCTGCATTGTCGCCGGCTTCCCGTCCAACATTGCCGCTCTGCAGTTTGAATGGGCCTGGCACAATGCTCACTTGACCAGACACATAACGCCAGAGGAGCGTATTTCTTTCGCCACCACCCGCACCAAAACATCTGCCCAAACAGGAAAGGTCACACGAAGACCGGGCCGGCCGCGGACCTCCCTGATAGATAAATTGTCCAACCTGCACCTCCTACTCCGGGTACCTTACTTCTCAAAGTGGCCACTTGAAGTGCGGTTCTTCAGCGAGGATGCTTATCGTTCCTGGGTGACATGGTGCGGCCGGGTGGATTCACGCATTCGTCCCGGTATCAAAGTTTATTTTGACCCCGCGCAATCAATTTCGGAAGAACAGGAACACGAATTCACCTCCGCTCAGCCGGCGACGAGGAGACGAAGGGCTGACCTGATCGGAAAAGGCGGTGTTGATGGTGTGGACCCAACATATGCAGGACTGCGTGATGTGCTTGAAAAGTGCCAGTTCCTTCTAGATGAAGGAGATGACCACAGGTGTGCTGTGTGCGGAGATGGCATTGACCTGCAGAAAAGCCTCTTCGTGGTCTGTCATACACATGACTGCCCGGCCATATGCCACGTAACCTGCCTAGCGGATTCGGCCCTCAACAAGGACCCGTCAACGTCCGTCGTACCCGAAGTTGCACATTGCCCAATGTGCAAGCAGGAACACCGGTGGCGGGAATTGATGCAACAGGTTACATTAAGGACGAGGGGTCTGAAAGAGGTTCAGCAACTGTTGCGGAAAAGAGGGAAGACCACTGCTACAGTGCCAGCGGAGATCTTAGAGACTGAAAGTGAGGACGAAGATGGGGATGAAGAGGACGAGGGGGATGTTCTTACCGCGCAGGAAGTGGTAGACGAACTTGAAGCAGAAGACGTGAGCGAGGAGGAGCTGGCGGACAATGCGTCGGTCTCCTCTGCAGAGTCGCTGCTAAGCATTCCATCCCACCTTGAGAGCCGTCTTGATAAAAGCCCGCAGCCAGCCAGACTTGAAATCGTGATTGAGGATAGCGAAGATGAACGATGAAATGACATTTTAATAGCATTCAAATCATTGTAAATTCAAGCCTGTGCCAACAATGGTCCCAGCTTGCCCAACTGCTTAGAACTAGCTTCACTTTGTGCGCCATCAGCAATGCCAGCCGCAATATCATCTGCGACTGCCTTTAATGGTTGTCCTGCATTGATGATACGAACGGGTACATTCTCGAGTCTGGCGAAGAGTTCCTGGAACAGCGTGCGTACACGGGCCTGCATCTTTTCTGTTTCGTATCTCTCGGCACCGTAACCTCGGCGCTTGGCGGCATCGGCAGCAGAAATGTCCAAAAAGAACAGGACGTCGGGTTTCAGAAGCCCGATTTCCGGATTCCAGGCCCAGTCAAGCGTCAAGTCGGGGTTTTCTTTGGCGGCCGAATACACGGCTCCTGAGAACGAGTAGCGGTCAACAATCACGGTGACGCCAGCCAAAAGGTCGTTATGGATGCTCCTGATGGCTTCCCAGCGGTTGGCAGAAAACAACAAATGGATGGAATGATCGTCCTGTTGAACCTGGCCTGTTAAGTAGCTGTTGATCATCTGTCCGGTCGGTGTGGTCCGGTCTAGTTAATGCTGGTAAGCTAGCGAGACCGGACGAAAATACTGCGGCGCGACGAACCAGGGAACTTGACATATCGTGCTCTCTTGCCCTGTGATTGTAGAGAGTCGAACAGCTGCTGACATTGGCTTGACTTTCCGGAGCGGTCGAGGCCTTCTATAACAACGAGCAGCCCTCTCGGGCTAGCGCCTGAGTTCGAGGTCATGCCCGGTGATATATATTCCTTACAGGTGGACGTATGCGAGGAGTCTGATAAGTTGCGTCTGCGAGGCTGAAACGCGTTTGATCTGTGCCGTAAACGTCTCTCGCCGTCGCCGTTTTAGCCGAATTTCAGCTACGCTGCTTTAAGTTCAGTGTCACGTCCTTCAACAGATTCCATATTATGACGGAACGAGGCACTCTAAGTGCTAAGTATTATAAAGACGTCGAGGGCCGGTAGACGGTCTCGACTAGCGTCGTACGCTATCGTATAACCTCTAGAAACTATATAGTCTAACGAGACCCTAGGCCCCGTTAAAATAGGACAAGTCCTTCGTGAAATCACAATATTACTAGTTGTATAGATAATGCTATGCCTGGAATTGGCATAACAAGTGGCAGCACTATGCTGTGCTCTCAAGCAGTTGTCTTATTGCCGTCTCATTCAATCGGTGGCTGCCTCGAGCTCAATGGCACAAAGCACCACAAGAGTGAAATAAAATGTGATTTGCATTGTGTATACTCGTATTCGGGAGACCGCCGTATACCCGAAAATAATAAAAAGGCCTTTGTTCCGGCAGCTGGTGGTGGCCCCATGGCCCCTTTCGAGGTACCCAGGAGCCCGCCTTGTGCTCAAAAATGATAAAAGAGCCATAAGCTACAGCTAGCATTTGGGTGCTTCTCAGGTTGGTTCAACACACTCAATATCACTTCAGTCATACAGGGCTCAAGCCTGCCACATCCAGAGCACTACCGTAAGATCCAGCCTTTGGTCGATCTCATCCGCATAGCTCGCTGGGGCTCGAACATTCGTTGTTTTCGATGACATTGCCTGTGCCGATAGTCTGGACGTATATATCGAGGTCGTTGTTGCGGAGGACATTCTCGGATACGATGTTGCCCGAGGCGACCGCAACGGGGTCGGTTGTCGGCTCGTCAATGATGACCACACCCACCGCCGTCTTGTTGGGTTGGCCTCCGGCGGTCAAGCCTTCGATCAGATTGTGCCGCACAGTGGTGTCAACCGCACCGTCGATGATAACCCCAGAAATCCCCACCTCAGCGATGGTCGTGCAGGCAGGATTCGCATTGCTGATGTGGTTTCCGCTGACGTCTGCACCACTGATGTTCGGATCAACGAAGGCGCCGATGCAGAGATTGGCCAGTTCATTGTGCCGATAAACTGCTCCCGAGGTTTGGACACAGAGTCCGATCACATAGCCGTTAACGTAGTTGTTCACCACTTGCACCCCAGGCGTGTCGTCAGCACAGATTGCGATGAACTTTAGGTCGCTTGCCACCACGGTATTGCCATCGACATGCGTATCTGTCGAGCCGACCGTCAAACAACCATATTGGCCACCGTCCTTCAGCTGATTCCCCACGACTTTGGTGGCTTGTGCACCGACTACTGCCACATTTATGCCCGAAAATCCTCGAACCTCAAACCCGGTGACCAAGACGTGCTTCACAGGACGGCCCACCGAGAGGACCTTCTCGTGCTCAGTCACAAAAGGAGCTAGTTCGACGTTCTGTCCTGTCACGCAAATACCTGCCTCAGTGTCCGGCCCGGCTAGACCAGAGCAGGTATTATGAATTGGAGTGCTTGGAGGAACGAGGACGGCTCCGAGGCCAACCAAACTAATATCGTCGGTTTCGATGGTAAGTTGCTCATTGTACGTCCCCGCTTCGACCAAGATTGTTTGTCCAGGAGCTGCCGCATCAATTGCTGCCTGGATACTCTGACCAGACTGGACGTGTACACCGTTGTGATTTTCCTTGCCCGCATATAGTGGGGCTGCCGTCCAGAGAACACTCAAGAGGAGGGTAAGGCACCAGATTCCAGGGCAATGCAACAATGACAATGCCATGTCCGCTATTTTGTAGCTAAAGTGGGTTAAGGTCTGGAAGATTCAGAGAGTGGGCGTGCTATGCCGACGTCCTCTAGCGGTTGAATAAACACAAGAGAAGAGCAATTGAGAGCATGACAGACTGGGAGGAGCAGAATATTTGACAAACCTCATATTAGGCTGCTTTGACAGCTCTTCGAGCAGGGCAAGTCACACACAGGAATAGGCTTTCCTGGTGGTCTACGACAAGACGACTTGTCAACCTGCCGTACCTCAGCCTCAGATTGTAATTCAATAGTCACAGAGAAGCGGCCGGATGATGCGCATTTTAGTGCATGAAATGAAGGGCTGAAGCCCGGTGGGACTTGGCTCTGGGAAAAGTCTTGTCTTCTTGCTCTAAACCGATCTTTCGGATGGCTGGACTGAGCAGCATCCTCTCCTGGCTTGCTGCGAACCTAGCCTGGGTTCCAAAAGTGTGGAAAGACGTTTTGTCGTCCCGCAAGGCCATTCGAGCTCGCGCTCTTTAGCCAGTGCAGGACACGAGGATGAATCAAGCTGAATATCAATACGAGGCTGGCAGCGGGATTTGCGAGTTCTGGCTCTCCATGGACGTCTTGGTATGCTCGTACTCGCCTATGCTTGAAGAGGGGATGCTCAGTTGAGACAGCCTGGCGGTCCAGATGGATTCCAACAGCCACTGACCTGAGTACCTACCTGGCGTTGCGTGACGCCAGCGGCGCTGAAGAGACAATTCGACTTCCTATCCCAGGAAAACAGTTGTCACAACTTCAACAACTTTGAACTCGATGAGTAATCTTGCATTAGGAGAAAAATACTCCGTACTACAAGTGCTACAGCGGACCTCGTACATTTATAGCGCAACAATTCCATCTTCTTTCTCGGGACGGTCAAGGTTATAGACCTGACAATGCGATCGTACATATCTTCAGCAATGGGACAATGGACGAGATAAATGGTGCCCCGCTGGCATCTTTGCCTGGCGACATGTTCAAACTTCTCCTCCAACACACGGCAGCCTCAGAAGGCGCCGCGAGGCTGGGCCTAATGTCATTTCGCTCGACCACCACCACCCTCAAGACACCAAACTACATTGTCCCAACTTCGCGAGGCGCAATACCTCACCTGACGCAGGACAATGTGCAAAAACACACAAAAATTGCCGCCGTGTATCACTCGCTGGAAGACTGTATGTTTGTCGCTTTACAGCGCCCAAGTTGCCCGCTGACCTGTTGGCTTACAGTTGGGTCGTAATAGTCATTGAGAAGTCGCCAACCGATGCGCCAATCTACAGCACCCCAGTCCAGACTGGGGAATCCCGCTTAAGACGCTACACGTGTCTTCCTGACAAATGTGTCTCCCTTTTAGGGCCTCGTCGCGTGCCGAGTATAGAGTGTCCTGCCTCCAACACGAATTCGGCGATCGCCATTTCAACGTCGGTGGGATTTCGATGGTTGGAATTGGAACAGTACAACGAAGCCATCAAAAAGCTCGGGGCAGATGTGTCGATGACTCTGGCCGATGTGATACCTACGAAGAGCCCTGGCTTCAAGCGACTTGAGAAGAGTGCCGACCGCACTCACGCCTGGCTTCGAGATACTATTGAGGGAAGAAGTGAAGACGATAGCAGAAGCGATCCCCTACCGCCCATCTTCGCCTCTATCCCGCCTCTGGAGCCAGAACGATTGTCATTTCTTCTCTCAGATTTACACGACGACTACAGATCGCACATTTCCGGGTTATGTACTTATTCCCTCTCGACGTTTGTCTCGTTACCAGAAGACTTGCGGCAGCTACCTTCAATCTGCCTAGACGATCCTCCGACACCCCAAGCGGTGCTTGCAGCGGTTCAGGCGGGCGTGGATTTGCTGACTGTGCCCTTTGTAACACGGGCATCAGAACAGGGAATCGCGCTGTCCTTCTCTTTCCCGGACTCCAAGGCAGCATCCGAAACGTTGGACAAACCCCTTGGGGTCGACATGTGGTCCACGGAACATGCCACTGATCTATCGCCATTGAGTCCCGGCTGTGAATGCTACGCCTGCGAGCACCACCATCGGGCATATGTGCACCATCTCCTACAAGCCAGCGAGATGTTGGCGTGGACATTACTGCAGATCCACAACTACAGCGTAATCGACTCCTTTTTCACCAATGTCCGTCACAGCATCGAACAAGGAACATTGGAAAATGATACCACCACCTTCAGCCGGGAATATCAGTCCGAGCTTCCGAAACAAACTGGCAAGGGACCCCGAGTCCGGGGATACCAGATGAAAAGCCAGGGGCGGGGCGAACCCAAAAAGAATCCCAAAGCATACGGTCGATTGGATGACCAGTTACAAAAATTGGCCGAGGCCGAGTCGGGAGTGGCGACGCCAGATGGAAATGCTGAAGATATCGAAGAACACGGGTTAGCCCAGAAGGTGCCACAATAGCAATAATCTAGACAGAAAAAAAGGGCTTTGGAAAATAGTCTGTTGTTCAAGTCAACAGGCCTTATTGTGTCGACTGAATGCCAATGTCAATGTCAACGCAATCGCATTGCATCATAGTTTTCTATTCCTTGTCCATTTCTATTGCTCAATCACAACTTCCTCACAGCCTCTCTCAACAGCGGGCCGACCTGTTTGCGACTCTTGCTCGTATCCCCCATCCACCAAATCTTGTATTCCCCTTGTGAGTTGAACCTATTTTCCAGAGCCTTGAGCAACTCAGAGTCCTCGTCCCACGTTTGTAACCTCAACTCGTTGCCAGCCTTGTCTTCAAAGCCTGAAGTCAACCCACGTAATTTGTCGTTGAAGGTCAAAACGACTACTTCCTTCCGATTCCCTGCGCGCGTCAACATGGCAAACACGCCCAATCTGCGTTCCTCGGCCGTGGCAAACGTCTCGATTTCATTCAGAAACGCCTCCGCGCCGCCTGCATGCTTGACCAGCCATGAGAGCGGCTTGACCAGACTCGAAATGCCGATATTGACATCGACACCACCACCGCTAGTAGAAGTAGACGACGTGTCGCCTCCTCCTGCTGCTCCGATGGGCTCACACCACGCTTTGTAGTCCCGATCAAACGTCTCCTGCATAGTCAGGAGATTCAGAGAGTTGGCCTTTGCAGTCGCTACGGCATGGTAGAATGCATCGTGGTCCCAATTCTTTCGGGCTTGTGGTTGCTGTTGCTGTTGCGCTACATTTGCAGATTCAAGGCTCCGAGCCGGAGTGTCATTATTGTCAATGATATCCTTCAAAAAAGCAACAGCCTCCCTGTCCACATCGGAGCATTTATCCCCCGTGGCCCGGAGGTTCGAGGTATCGATCAGAATCGGGGCCAGGGCGAGCTTGCTGATTTGTTGGATGTGCTTTATCGAATCCGACTTGGAGTCGGCCATACCGCTACGACGAGTAGTAGTTTCAGGCCACATCCCCTGGTCACGGAGATATTTGACCACCAGACTCGTACAGCTGCCGATCCCAGTGGTGATGATGCGCGGCGACGCCTGCTGAGAAACATATCCTTCGTCGACATGGTGGTCAATGCAGCCCGTCACTGTGAATCTGGCCTGGATATCTTGGTCCGAGAGGCCTGGGATTGAAGGGGCGTTGTGGTCGAGGAGGAAAAGTGGTTGTTGGTGCTGTTGCTCATGATCGTAGTCCCTGTTGTCGTCATGAGAAGACGAATTGCCGGAAGATGTTTTCGAATTCGCAAATAGAGAATATAACTTCGACCGTGGATCGCTTTTTATATCGGCGACCGTGATTAGCTCCTCCAATTCACCCACTTTGGTTTGTCCTTGTCCTTGCCCTTGTTCTTGTTCTTGTTCTTGTTCATCGTGGAATGCATTCGTACTGGTAGTACTACTACTGTCTTCCCCCAAAGCAAATCGGAGCGCGACTCCAAACTCCGGTCTAAGACGCCATAGATCGCGGGACCTGACGGTCGGCAAATTCAGAACAGGCACATACCTGGTGCTGGTGTCTCTCTTTGATTTGCTGCTGTCTGATGGCTTCGAATTGTAAAAATACGACAGAACAACCGCTGAAATAAAACTGTCTAGATCGGCTGATGGGTTTCCCATTACTAGAACCAATTTGTCTTCGATCCTGTTGCCTCTAGTGCCGGTGGCTGTGGTTGTAGTGTTGCCATCATGACCATGGCCAGCAGCAGCATTTTGCGAAATTGCACCGCTTCCGGACGCGGGTTTCGTGCTTGTGGTTCCCTGAAAGACTAGCCGCCGAACCGTCTGAAGGTAAGTTCTCAATGACGGCATCGTGTCCTCCTGGCTGTTCGTGTCCATTGCCAATCAGTGGACGTAATAGCAGATGTGCAGATGTAGGCCCTTCGTAGATTTGGACAAAACCCCGCGGCTGGCACCTAGGTATGCACAGTATTCGTCTAATCTTGTCAAGGGCTATGTGCTCTCAAAACGTAAGCGAAGCTGGGACAATAATAACATGATTGGGAATTGCTCACAGTCCAACTTGAAGTTGTACGGGGGTCCAGCCTCGTCGGACATATTTTATCTAGGATGACGTAATTACTGCACGGTCAATCTTGCAGTCACTGGCAGCGATGTGTACCTGAGGCACAATGTTGTAGTTTGAACCTCAAAGCCCTGTCTGTGTTCGATATCCCCATCCACATTCATATCTGTAGTGTTACAAAGCCACTTCCCTTCACCTCATGAATCATGAACCATGAACCCGAAATGCACCACATGGAGATGATGGAGGGTTGATTGCCAACAAACAGCCTGTTATCAAGACATGACAACAAACAACCAGCATCTCCATATCTCTCTCGTATGTCCATCATCCTGTTGCGCTTTCTTAACGACCCACTGAACCCCATTACACAATTCGAATCCGAATCAGATGCAAGTCGTCTGTCTGCATCTTGGGACCAAACCAAGCAGAAGAAAACTGCCATTATCTTTCCCAGCCAGCCCGGCGTGCCCTCCCTCATGGAACCCCAACTTTTCGTGGAATCAACAATAAAAGAACAAGAAAACCCCCCAAAAAGAAGCCCCTCCCGTCATCGCTGAGTAGTCAGTAATGGTTGTCGAATCATACACACTCCCATTCTCCCCAGACACACCACCTCGCACTCCGATCTGCCAGGACGAGGCCGCGCCAGATTCCACGTTCCTGGACCTTGACAATGGTTTCCCAGACACTGCCCAACATCTCGCCATCGACCTCTCTCAACTGGGCTGGCTGGGGCAAGCCCTCATGTTTGCGGTTCAATCGAATGATTTTGCCGCCTGGAGACTGAATGGCCAGTTTCGCCGGCTTGTCCTTGACTTTGTTGGTGCCGTTGATGATAGCAGTACCGCTGTATTCGCTGGGATTGCTACCTGCCGCGCTGCTCGTCATGCTCATGGCGCTGGTGGGTCGGACAAGCGGATTGGGACTGGTAGGCCTTAAATCGAAGCCGGAGCCGGGTTGTTGCTGCTCAGTCGATGCTGCTGCTGCTGGTATCCCCAATGCGGCGTGCTGGCGGACACAAAAGACATATGTCTCGCCCGCACCGAGACGCAGACATTGAGGCTGCACCACGTACAAGTCTTGTCTCGTGGCATGAGGCGTTGGATGTCTCATGACAAAATCATACGCGGGATTTTCACCACTATGATACAAAGGTAACGCCAGCGCCAGCGGATGCACGATATCGCGGGAACTGAGCATGAGACCCTTCTTCCCCGCGTACACCTTGAGAACCCCAAAACCTTCGTCTCCAGGTAAAACAGCCTTGATGACATACCGTTTCTGACAGATGTCGGTGTTGGGCATGGTACTTCGGTGCCAGCTCGCTTGAGCCAGAGCTCGTTTCTTAGTCACGTTGTCCGTGTCCTCGTACACATCGCCGTCTTGGTCGCGTAGGTACTTTTTGGCCTCAACCTCTGCCACGACTTCAATTTCGGCAGGCACGTTGATGCTGAGTGTGCACATTTCAAGTCCTTCCATTCTTATGATGCTGGTGTCGTAGGCATGCATGGACAGTCCCTGCCGGAAAAATGGTGGACACGTTCCGGGTAGACTCAAAAGAACATCTGGACTGACACTTGGGATCATGTGTTGTTGAGCGTCCTGGACAGGGACGTGAGTCCAACAGATCTCACTCGGTCGGGTCAAAAAGTACCAGGCTTCTGCAATGCTTGTGCTAACACTGGAATACAGTGCCCTTTTCGGATTCGTGGGACTCGCAAGACTGGCGTCCATCATCCTCCACTCCCCGTCGACCAGGACCGCATTCCAGTAATGGTTCGGACGTGCAGTGGCGTCCAAATCGAGATCTTCCCCGGGTGTTTTCAGATATCCTTGCACAACTTCAGCGTGAATGCCAATCGCATTGCACATCTCGAGTATCAGCGTTGACACCTCTTGACTGCTACCGCGTCTTGACTGGATGACCCTTCTCGTATCGATTGGTTGACTGTAGTTGAAGGCGTCCAAATCAAGGTCTTCTTCCCAGTTGATTCTTTCGGCACACCAGATGAAAATCGCCCGGAGCCGTTGGACTCCACTTCGGTATGGACGGCAAATATAACCTGTGGCCAGACTAGCCGCAGTAATACTGCTGGGAAGACTGGTAATGAACCGAGCTGCCTTGTCAACCTGGCTGAAGCTGGGATTGCTGAGCTGGAACGGTTCACGGACGGGTCGTCCATCAGCGTCCTCATCACCCTCGAGATTTTCATACAGCTCCTCTACTGGGCAGATGACCGGTTGGTCCAGCATATGGCAACGATCCGCCCGTTCTTGTCGTTCCGACGGTCCGGGGGTGTTTGATCTGTTGACATCGCGCCTCGTTAGGATGTACGACCCCGATGCACCGCTGGCAAGTCCCATCTGTCTTGCAGCGTTCGCTCCGTATGCGCTGTTTGCGTGAGAACTCTGCACCGGTGCGTTGAACGCCGTGCCACCGGCAATCCCGGTCAGTTTGGTCGGCGATCCAGCGTTGCTGCCGGTCTGGCTTGCTGATATGGTGCTTCTGGCACTTGCTGCGCCAGTCTTTGCACTATCAATCAGTTTCTTGAGAAAGCCCGGTTTCTTTGCTTTGGGCGTTGTAAAGCCACCGAGCCCGCCGGTCATGCTTCTGTTGGCGTCTTCCCAACCGACGGCTGACTTCGCTCCTTGCCTTGAATCCTGGCTCGAGTGGTATGACACACTCGAGATGGGTGTCTTTGGCCGCAAGTCGCTTTGATCCCATTGCTGGAGACGTGTCCCTGCACTCGTCATGGGTCTTGCTATCCGCTCTCTCATGCTTCCCATTCTTTTCCGGGCCAGACTGCCTGCGCTTGTGGCACTGATTCCTCCTGCAGAGTATCCACTCATGAGACTCTGGCTGGTCATACTGGATTGATGTGATGAGTTGGTTGCCACGCTCTGGACTCCACTGCTGGAATTGGTCGAAGTTGTCTTTGTCGTGTAAGTTCTTCCCAGACTGTCGCCACCGAGTTCAAATGCCGACTTCCTCTTTCGCATAGACATCCGTCGGGTGGCCATGGCCATGGATGACGCAGGCCTCGAAGTCCAAGGAGAGTTCTTGGGCGGCGGTTCAGGCGGATCGCTTCCTGGCTCATCCTGGTTGCTACCCTCTCGTGCTTGCTGCATGCGACGCAAGCGGCTCTCCATTCTCTGTACATAGTTTTCGAGGCGTGGAGGACCGTCCAAGCTCCGATCCGGGCTATTGTGTCGACTGCTGTAGTTGATGCGACCCTCGGAATAGTGGCTCCCGCCAGCCGCTAGTCCAAGACTGGTGACGGGCCGAGGGTCTGGTCTTTGGTCAGGGCGACGGAAATCATCAAATGCTTCGGGCGACCAAGGGTTGAATTCTTGTTCTGGCTCTTGTACTGAATCCTTTCTGGTGAGCGTCATATCGTCCAGCGACGTCATGACCTCGTCTATCGCACTTCGTATCATGGGTGGGGTGTGTCCATTGATAGATGGTGGCGCAGGTGAAGGCGTGCGTGAGAATGACTGATATCGATCGTTCATGTCAAAAGTATCTGGCGCAGGCGAGTGAGCTCGGGATATACTCCCGTTCTGACTGCCCAGCACACGATGAGGAGGTGGAGGAGGTGGCGGAGATGAGCCTATCTCTTGAAGAGGCATCGGGGATGGTGTCCTTGAGGGAGCTCTAGATGGAGGTCTTTGCTGCCACAGGACTGTTGAGGGAGGATTTCTTGGATCATATGGTTGTTGTGCGGAAGCGGTCGTAGGCCTTGCCTGCTGAGGCGCGCTACTGAGGGTGCCGGTAGGGGTTTTGGCGTTCTTGTAACCTTGGAATGGTCTCCTCGACTTGGCCCTCTCCTTCTTCTCTGCAGAGCTGTTCCTGTTCCCGCTGCCCGTTCTCGGCAGCTCGGGCAATGGACTGACTGATCGACTCATCGGAACGAAGTTGTCCTCGAGAACAACAACAAAATTGGAAGGGAAAAGTCCCATCATCCTCTTGTCTCTGCGCAATCTGCCCATCCACCACGACCCATCTCCAGCGTTGAGACATTCTATCAGGTCGCCTTCGATGAACCCAAGATCCTTGTCCGTTTCACCGCCCCAAGAATATATCGCGCGACACCAGCAGGGGAATTTGGTGGGCAATGGTGGCGCAGCCATCCTTACAGAGACGCGCTTTCAGGATTTGTTCAACCGTCTTGAAATGGTGCGCTTTGCACTGGGACGATAGGTGACAGCATCTGCCGGCCGCTGAGCGAAAGTGTTGCTTCGAAACGAACGTAGCGGGGAAACCGACGGAGATTCGTGGCAAAGAGTGAATAGTCAATGTACAACGACGCCTTCTTGCAAGGCTGCCAGCTGGAGTAGAGCAGAGAACGAGTCCGTGCGGGTATCAATATACAATGAAACACCTCAGGCTACGATCGTCAAGCGCAGGTACTGGCAGCGCGCGACAGCGGCCATTGTTGAACGTGCCAAGGCTCGGATGTAAATAAAGAGCCATATCGGGACTAGGGTTGAACTTGTCCGACGCTCCGGACATTGAGCGCATATGATTGGCGGAACTTCTTTCGGGGACTGACTAATTCATGTGCAAGAGCAGCGACTCTTTCCTGCCCGAAATGGACGCTTCGCTGGGCCGTTTTACCCGTGTCGGCCGCGTTTCATTCGCCGCATGAGAAGTTCGCAGTTCGAAGAGATGAAGATGTTGATTAATCGGGATTCCCACTCGGTGTTCAAGACACATATTAACCTGAACCGCTCCCCAGATGGCGTCTTTCTTCGTCGACCGCAGAATTTGTCCTCGCGACAGCGTGCCCATACATACTGCACCATCCGAGTCACCTATACCTCAGGCATTTGAAGTAACAGACTAGTTGACCAGAACACGTGTACCACTTCAAGTTGAACACACGCAAAATCATCCTGGACAACCCCAGAAATCCGGCAGATGGGAGACCACGACCGGTGAAAAGCTCGGTAAATGCGTTCTCACGACTACTACATGATCACATCATGCCCAGCAAAGTTGACATCGGGGCTTGCACCAATTTCATCGAGGAACGGCCAATATTCCGCCCGGGTGCAGGACAGCCAGCAGCATGTACAGGTCCTGGCTGCAACGTCGACCCCGCATGGATCCTTCAATGCCTGAGATACAGTACTAGGGCCTAGCTTGCCTAGGTTCGGTTCGACTGCCCCTGGCTGGCCTCGAGAGCAACTGTTGGGCTTACCAGAGGATCGGCCACTCTCCCGTGTCAGTCCGATGCGAGGTTGAACTAACCACGAGCACAAACTCGATTTGGACAGCCACCCTACGGAGTCGCCGTCAGCACCAACCACCCATTTGGAGCACTAGAAAACTGACAACGCCTTGTAAAGGAATTGCCGGCCTTGTATGGATGCCAGTGCGTCAGCCAAGGGCAAGTTGCCCACCACCAAGAACTTGGAAACGAGCTCGTGCAGCACCAGTTGCCACGATCTTATCGGCCGACAACTGGAGCAATCGAGCCATGTACTGGTTAGAAGCGACAGCGAAGGAGCTTGGCGTTGGTTCTCATGAGAAGAATCCGAGGTAAGTTCTCAACAAAGGTGAGTCTCTTCCAGTACAGTTCAAGGCTTTGACATGCCTTCGCCGGGTGAAACATGCCTTCTTGATGGGAAGTTTAATTTGAAGTCAAGACGATGATTTCCCATCAATGTCTTGGCTCACTTTTCGCCTCGGTATATCGAAAGCTGAACACGTTGCGACAGGCTGGTACGCAGACCGACATCAAGTCATTCGCTGGCTGGACCGTTCTGTAGCCTCCGTGAATTGCAGTGTTCCAAGCGGATGTATGCCCAAGCGCCCCAGTGCGCCCCTGGTGCGAAAAGCATTCCCCGCTGCTGACCCCAGACTTCACTACTAACCACCTGGGCACAGTCCGGGGCAGTTCCACAGACGCTATCGTGGCCCAGTGTTACTGAAATGTCCTTCCGGCAGCCTATCGCTTGATCTCTTCACCAATGCTATCCTTGCTTCTTCAGTATCCCCATGCGTTCTGGGCTTCTTGGCTCAGCGAGTGCCACATTTTCTGCCTGCCGCGGGTAGCCTCCAGATTGTGCTTATCGGTGGATGCTGGAACCTCCGCAGTCCATGTCCTTGAATCTGGGGTTGCAAGATAAAAACCCCCGATTCCTCCCAAGAAACAGTCTCCCCTGCTCCTCATCTCACACACTCTGTTTTCTGCGCCTATTTGTTCAGACCCAATCTCCCCACCTCTTCCCAGTTAGTCATCCGCCATGGCTGACATACCTATCGAGAAAGCGGTCAATTTTGACCAGCTTGAACGCGCTGACACCAAAGAATCTGTCAACAGCGACAAACTCAACGATGCGCGGATCGCAGCGTTCACCCCAGAGGAGCAAAAGAAAATCATCAGGCGGATTGACCGGCGCCTTGTACTCACCTTGGGATTTCTATACTGCGTGTCACTCATGGATCGGACCAACCTCGGTATTGCCGTTGTTGCCGGTATGGGAGTCGACCTTGTCTTGACAGGAAATCGATATTCGGTTATTGTCCTGCTCTTCTTCATCACCTACGTCCTGTTACAACCCCCGGCCACGGTCGTTCTGCGGAAGGTTGGGCCCCGCATCTTCCTTCCCACGATCACTCTCTTATGGGGAATCACCATGATCTGCTTTGGGTTCGTTAAAGACTGGAGCGATCTTATCCCCCTCCGTCTGGTACTGGGTGTTTTTGAAGCAGGTTTCTTCCCTGGGTGAGTTGTGTATTTTTACAGTTGAACAAAGTCATGTCATGCTGACTGTTCAAACCAGCTGCGCATATCTTTTATCCTGCTGGTATCCTCGGTACGAACTGCAAAAGCGGAACGCGGTTTTCTATCTCATCGGGTCGATGGCGTCGGCCTTTTCCGGCATTCTAGCCTATGGCTTTTCACAATTGAAAAACCACGGCTCTGGCCCAAAATGGTGGGGCCAACATTACGGTCCTACGGCCGCAAACCCGACGGCTCCCTCTGGCATTCTGCCCGGGATTGCTGGCTGGCGTTGGATCTTTATCCTTCAGGGCGTGATTACTGCGCTTCTGGCGCTTGCCTCGTACGTTCTGATTGTGGATTTTCCTGAGCTGTCCACCAACACGTTTGGCCTCAAATTCCTGAACAAGGCCGAGGCCGAGTTCGTCGTTGCACGAATCGAAAAGGATCGTCATGATGCCATCCCCGAACAGTTCCGGTTGGGCAAATACCTCAAGAACGCCCTGGACCTGAAGGTGTGGGGGTTTGCCGCACTCTTCGGTCTCTCGACGACCAACACATATGCCATTGCGTACTTTTTGCCCATCATCCTGAACTCGGGTATGGGCTTCAATGTCGCGGCCTCTCAATGTCTTGTGGCTCCTCCCTATGTCTTGGCCGCGATTGTGATGTACGCATTTGCAGTCCTAGGGGACAGATGGCATCTCCGATCTCCTTTCATCCTTATCAACGGAGCATTGCTGCTAATCGGTGAGTTCGTTCATATTCATTGGTCTGTCTGTTTGAATCAAACATATCGTTCTAACTAGTCTTGTGATCCAGGCCTGCCTCTTCTCGGATACTTGGATAATGTGGGCGTGCGTTATTTCGGTGTATTCATCGCCACCACGGCCTGTAACGCCAACGTCCCCTGCGTCCTCACCTGGCAGGCTAACAACATTCGAGGCCAATGGAAGCGTGCCCTGTGCAGCGCCACGCTCGTCGGCGCCGGCGGTATCGGAGGGATCATTGGCAGCACAGTCTTTCGTGAACAGGACAAGCCCGAATATCACCCTGGGATTCTGACGTGCATGATTGCCAGTGGCTTGATCGTCCTCATCACCTTGGCCCTCGACTTCAAGTTTTGGAGGGCAAACAAGCGAGCTGCCGCGGGCGGAAAGCCTATTGAAGGTCTCCAGGGGTTCTTCTACACGTACTAACTGCGGACTCGTATCATGTCACCATCGATGCTATCGGGATCTCACATTGGTACGATCCCATGAGGCTGGCTTAATTCACGAGATACACGGAGAGAGAGACTGGCCTAGGAGATCTAGGAGATCCAAATGCTCAGTAGCGCATAGCCATTGTCGATCAGAATCAAAGGGAGGCCGCGTTCACGTACAAGTATACACATATAGCATGTGCATGTCTCTATAGATGATCTCCCCACGTTCAGATAATGGGATGCTTTCCAGCGGAAACCTCTTTTCTTACTGAGTCCATGTGTAAATCGCGAGCGCCGGCCGGCTATTGAAACTAGTATTTAAAACAACTCGACGCCCGTCAATAACCGACCGGCAAACACTGGCACTCCTGATCAGCGTTCTGTAATTTCTTGGCTCCTGCAAGCATCGACCGACTATCGACTGTCGACTATCATCGACTATCGACTACTAGTATCGAATGCAGTGCCATGCGATACAGAATAGCGGGTCGGGTCAGGTTCCGCAAGACAATATTAAAAAATATGCAGCCGAACTTGAACCTGGAGTCAGTCTGGAGTCTGGAGTCTGGGGTAATACTACTTGCACATCGTCAAGTTTGTGGAGTCTACCTACTAGGTAGTAGTTCGAAATCGCATCATTTTAGAACGATATAACACCATCTCATTCAGTCTCAGCACTGCTGCACTGATACATACAGTGGTACAAATGTACTATGGGGTACTGGTAATGATGGCAGCGAGCGGTCAGGCAGGCAAGGCGACTGTTTCAAAGACAGTCCTCTGGGTCCGTTTCGAGCCGGGCATCGATGCCGCTTTAGGACCCTACCCAGTCTATTCCTTTACGGGCTACGCCAAACTCCCAGCACTCAAGCGGCATGATTCTTGCTCAGATCTAGCCTGCGCCGCCTTCACGCTCTGCAGTAAGTGAGAGCCTTCAACAACTTTGGACCTGGTTCAAACTGAGCGAGTCTGCTCGGTTGCTACAGGATCGTTGGACTGTAAACTTGAAGAAAGACACAGGTGTACTCGAACGGCTGGACCCCAGCCAGTACCTGGTTTTCAGAACAATGATACCATTACAATTACTGCCATGATGAGCCGAAAATGACAGACGGTGAGGATGCGCACATCTACCTATTTTACAACTGACAATCAATCCGATTCCTTTCCCTTTTCCACCGCAGCTTCAGTTCCTATCACTCATTGCACTACACCACTGTGACCGCCAGCCACAATTCGAACAACCTCTGTACTAGTAGCTAAGTCCCAGAGTTGGGCGCGTGCTGCCATCTATGCCGTGACCTGACGTGAGTTGACACAAATCCAACTCCGATCCCTTGCACGGTGCGCCGCCTTTCTCAGATCACATCCATCACATCCAGCACCGATCGGTCGACCCCCCGCGCGGTTCGCTGGCCGCCTCCTACAGCCGAAACGAAACCCGACCGAACCCAGAGCACTTGAAGCTAACTTACGCGAACCATCAAACGCGGCCTTATCATGAGCAATACGACTCCAAAACTGCCGGGGTCGCTGGTCAACACACTCGCCACGCACAGCGGCCCCATCAACGCCATTACCTTCTCCTCGCTAGGCGGGACATACATCCTGACAGGATCCTCCGACCGACAAATCCACCTATCTCGCGCGGAGCCTGCAAGCAGTACCTCTACCTCCCAAAGGGCAACGGCAACGACAACCACTACAAATACCACTCCTATTCAAAAATACGTTGCGCACGGGTACCCAGTTCTCGACATTGCAGTTGCGCAAGACAACGAAACATTCGCCAGCGTCGGGGGTGACCGGTCGGTATTTCTATGGGCAGTCCAGAACACCGAGGGTGGCACACTGCGACGTTTCGGGAACAACACGAGCCAAGGGCACACGAGCCGGATCAACTGCGTCGTCTTTACTGGCCAAGGAGACTCGGTGCTGGCCAGCGGCAGCGACGACACATCGGTGCGACTATGGGACGTAAAGAGCCGCGACCCGAAACCGCTGATGGTGCTGGATGAGGCGAAAGATGGCATTTCGAGCATTGTTGTTCCAGAGACGAGATACGAATTAGTCACGGCCAGCGTCGACGGCCGGGTCCGCACCTACGATATCCGCATGGGCAGAATCACTGTTGATGTTCTCCCGGGTCCTGTCACCAGCTTGGATCTTTCGAGCGATGCCAGGACTTTGTTGGTCGGTTGTCTCGATGGCCGTATTAGAGTCATGGATCGAGCTGATGGAACTTGTCTCCGCGCTTTTCCACCTGAGAAAAATTCAGATGGATATAAGAATGATAGTTTGCGACTAAAGAGTTGTTTTGCCCAAAACGATAGCTTGGTCCTCAGTGGTAGTGAGGCTGATGGCGCCGTCCGCGCCTGGGATTTGTTGTCTGGGAAAACTGTGGGCCAAGCCGTACTAAGTCCGGCTGGCAAGGTCGTCAGTGTCGTCAAGTGGAGACCGGGGAGTCAGGCCCAGGCTAGACAGGGTCTTTGGGCTGGAGGCGGCGTCGATGGCGTCGTCAAAATATATGGTTCTGGATGAATAGAAAATTGTGGCCGCCTTTCAGATATCTTATTTGTTGCTTGCACGAGTTGTCATTGATATACCAAGTCCTGAAGTGGTATACTCGATGACTTTGGAAAACCCATGTCGGCACGTTTCAGTGGGGGATTCATCAACCGTCACAATATGAACATCTCGACGTCTTCCGGTAACGTTATTTTTCAGCCGGACGGATGCCATGTGGTTGGCTAAGTTGTCTGCACTCTTGGCTCTGAACGATGTCGCCAGCGACCACCCTTGAAGCCAACAGCAGGGGTGTTCCTTTGGTCCTACCTTGGACACGTTCGTGTATGACCATGAGCAGTCCAAGTGGGGGTGTACCCGCGCCTATGTTGGTGTCATCAGGCTGGCGGGGGAAGGGACTGTGTGCGATGAGCCTTGTATGCTCCGAGCATTTGCGTTGGTCGACGGTATACATCGACGTTATAGAAGTAGAGGTGCCTTGGTCCATCTTGTCGGACTCTCTTTGGAACCCTTTTTGTGCTTCTTGTAACACAAAAGCAGTATGAATTTGGGCACAGACTTGACCTCTCTTCATGACTGTAAAGAAGTGTGGCCCTGATCCCATTTCCTCGTCTGTTCGGCCGTCGCGGCTTGCATTTGTTGCGGAGCCATTTTGGGATCAAGCCCCAGCAAGTCTGAGGCCATTTTCATGCGAGTGTCGCCAATCTGGATCAGCTTCCGAATGACCCAGTCCCTTTCCAGGCCGGGGTCGAACACCATCAGACACAGTCTCAAGGCAAAAATGATGAAAAAGGGCCCCAAGAAGGACGAAGTCATCATGTACGAGGTACTGCGGCAGATTTCGCGTGCCATCTCGCGGTTTTCCATCAGATACAGTCCCATGTTTTCTGGGGCGGATTCCTTTTCCAGTTCCCTCAAGACGAGATTCAATAGGACGACAATTGTCCAGTAGCCCACGTGAGTCGACGCCACAAAGACATTGACGTAGACATATTGTAGAGGAAATACAGGGTCGTCAGTGGAAATGGTGGGGGTTTCCAGTCCAAGTCGCTGGAGAGTGGCGCGGAACTTGAGGTTGATGGACTTGAGATTCGCCCTGTGCTGCTTGCAACGTTCCACGACGGACGCTCTGTAACTTGAGTAGTCGTCGGCGGACATTCTCCGACGGGTGCTGTCGAGATATCTTGCCTCGCAGAATGTCCCGGGAATATGTACATTCTCACAATAAAAATCTTCGGCCAGATCAAAGATGTCCAGACGGTCAGACGCAGCAGCGGTGGACCCGAGGTCTGCGTGAATCTGTTGCGCCATCTCAACCCATTCAGGCTGTGCCAGGAAGCAAGGCTCATCGCGTTGGAACGCGTCAATCACAATGGTATGGCGATATGCCAGGTAGACGTCGCGATCGATTCCAGAAAGATGTCGCTTGGCGCCACGGATGCGCATTAATGCTCCAGCACCCCCGGCATGACGCACCCATGACTCGTTGGAGTCGGAGGCCAGCATTTCGTAAAACGACAGAAGGATGGTGGCTGATAATGTCTCGGCCGCCATTCCCTTTTTCTGATCGGCTAAGGCCTGGTTCAAGAGGCGAAGGGCTTTGCCGTAGGATTTTCGTGATTCTTGCACCAGAACCTCTTCTTGCTGCAATCTCCCGAGGTGGACCAAGGACACGGCGCGGATAGTCGTGTCCAGAAGCTTCGTCCCAAAGAAGGACGGTAGTTGTGAGAGCCAACGAGTGTGACTTCGCAGTTGACTGGGTATAACGTGGGGTCCACCGTGGCCGAGGGGGCCCGAGAATGCCGAACAAAAGGTGCTCAAAAGCTGCTCCTGCACAATGTATGGAGAAAAGACGGCGCGGTTGAGCATCATTTCAGCGCCCGCGTCCGCGTTCTGTGGACTAAAATCGAATGATCCGCTGTCGTATCCGATCCCCGTTAATTCAAGGGTGGAGAGGTCAGCTTCGGGACTAAACTGGCGCTCGAGTAAAGCAAAGAAGGCATTGTGCGGTGGTAGGATAACATCGCCGCGGTGGCCTTGCGGTTCTTCAGAGCCGGGCGAGTCTTGATAGGAGATGAGACCCCAGGACTCTTCTGGGGACGATTCGGACGAGAGACTGTGGGAACCGGTGGTTGAGGGCGACGGTTTGTCAGGAGCAGAACCGGATTTCAAGTCGCTAGCACTTCCATTTCCATCCTTCTGTCCGAACCTCTTTCGAAGTTTAGTGCCCTCATCATGGATTCTCAAGTCTGTGTCGTAGCCTGGACATGGGCGATTCCCCTTCAAGCAATTGTTGCCTAAGACCAATTAGCATTCACTCATACTAGCAGGAGATGAGTTGTGGGCATCCGACCAACTCACAGAAAGGGCGCGCCTGATCACACTGAAAATGGGTCAGTAAAAGGATCGCAGGATTCTGTGGAGGTTGCATATACCTTGACGCGACGCTGGACGCAGACCCTGCATCCCTTGCTTCTGGGAACCCCAACCATGTCTACTCCGGGTCAAATCAACATGCAACAGATGTCAATAAATTGGAGGTCGATTGAGCGCTGCTAGACCGCTGTCATAGACGCGATCTGGAAAGATTTGCATGCATGTTAGATTCTAGTATCGCAGGGGATACAACGGATAGAAACTTGAAGTTGTCCGCTCTGACAACGGATTAATTGGTGCCTGGCGCACGCAAGTGAGGACGCCAGTCGGTCTAATCACAATAGGAGGGCAGTAATAATAGTCGTGGTAGAGGTGGGTGCCACAGCCACAGTCAGCGAGGGGCAGCGACACGAATGGTTTGGCGGCGCCCCAGACTCGGAGACGTGGACGACCTTGGAGTTGGGCTGCGGACGGACGAGTTGAAGGCGTCCAAGTTCAGCCCCAATGCTTGTGAGGCTTATTATACAATGTTGTAGGGGCGCTCCAGCCTATCCTTGCCCTCCGGAGGGGCGCAAGCGAGCTACATAAGCGCTCCGCCTTTCACTGGCAGTGCCAGTGTCTGACGTGTAGCGCCCACTGGCAGCTGGCAAAGCATCCCTATAAGGCTGGACATATTTATCACATAGGTGTGGGCTTAGGAGGCTCCTAAGGCTGACAGCCAGCCTGGTGCCGGAAGTCTCCGGCCCCAGGCTCACGCGTCTCCGGCACTCCGAGTCGCCCTAGGCAGCCCTGTTCTGGTACTACCTTACCAAACTGAGCACATCTACTATGGTACATAGATATTCGGATCCTGCACCCCGCTGTAGAAGTGTGAGGTTGAAATCTAACTATCCGTCTGTGACAGCATTCATCGTTGTTGAAAGCATAGCTACCTATTCTTGTGGATCGCGTCCCCATCACCCCGGACGCTTCTGAACGCTTTCACTCTGCTGTTCCAGTACACCGACCATAGCCAGTAGGCTTTCCGAAGTGCGGCAATCCTCCAATTCCAGTCTGTGAATCCCGATGGAGGAGGTAGTTCAAAGAAACCAGGGAACTCCCGGCAACAAGCCCGACCTACGCTTACGGCGACGCTTAGGAGGAGGAACGACTCGATCCAGCCACGAATCTATGTCCTCCTTCGTCCGGCCCAAGTCCATCCTGATTAATGCCGCCATTGTTTCTCGAAACCGTGCACGCGCTTCAAGCCTTTCAAGCCTTTCGTGGACCTCTCATCCCTCCAGCTCGTTCATTGGCACATCATCATCGTCGGGTCCAACAATAGCTTCGGCAACCTTCCACACTTGGATCAGATTGTCGTCGGCCGCGCTGCAAACCACCCATGGATTATTCTTGTTCCACGAGAAGTCGCTGATGCGATTAGTGTGCCCTCCGTGCATGAAAAGCAGCTCTGGCGGCCCATCTTCACTGTCTTCTGGTGTTTGCTCTTCTCCTACCCTGGCCAAATCCCAGAAGATGATTCGCCGGTCGTAGCTGCTGGACCCCAGAACAGATTCTTCAAAAGGATGCCATTCGAGCGTAGTGACACTATCGTTATGCCCTTCAAGTGCATGTAACTTGTCCTTGAGATTCCGTAGATCCCAGATAGCAATGGTTTTGTCGGCGCTCCCCGTGGCCACCACCGTGTCAACTGCCAGATTGAACGCAATCGCATTGATGGCGTCACGGTGTTGATTCTCCCCTTTAGCGGCCGCTCTGGTGGTGTCGGGTGATCTGAGGTCCAGAAGTTGCATGGTCAGGTCGTCGGATACTGTCCCTAATAAATGGGGAAGGTTGGGGTGATATTGGACGTCGTTGACGATACTGTTGTGGTGTGTGTATTTGCGGAACTCCTTGAGCTGTTTGTTCGCCTTGGATCCTTGCGTAATGTCCCATAACCTCACGGTGGAGTCTTCGCTTGCTGTGGCCAGTTGACCGGCTTCCCGAGGGTTCCAACTCAAGCCGTAGCCTTCCTTCTCGTGCCCGACGAGCTCCAACGTGGGATTGGGCTTCCCGGTAGGTATGCTGGTGTGCTTTGTTTTGTCCCAGATCATGACTCGACCGTCCGTACACATTGTTGCAATGATGTTAGGGTTTTGCGGTTGGTATCGGGCTTTGTTGACCTCGCCAGGGTGGTCAATCTTCTGCACAATGTTGAACTTGATCTCAATCTGATTCTTGCCAGATGCACCGCCACCATAACCTCCAATCTCGCCGGTTTCCTCGTTGTAGTCCTTAACATCGGGCTTTTTAGGGTTTGGTAGCTGCACATTGGCGATTTCTAGGTAGTTTGGCTGGCCCTCGGCAGTGTGCGTACCGATGAGCAGACGGTGCTTTGAGTAGTTGGTTCCGGGGACCCTGTGGATGTTAGCGGCTATGATCCAAAGACCCTCCGGGACTCTTACTCTTGGACATCTGGAAACCATTGCGTGGTGAGAGTGGGCCAGTCCAACGCGGTACTCAATATCATGTCGTAGAGAAAAGGTGCATTTTTCTTCCACGTCTTGTACTCTTCATTGATGATCTTCTGCGCAGTTTCGGCATCTTCAGGATTGAGCTCTTCACTCACTGTAGGATGGTCAGGCAAGGGCTAAGAGGGTGACAGAGGTAACAACATACTGTTCTCATCTTCTTCCGCCATTGGGACTGCTCCGGATAGTGTAAGAAGGGAAGGTTAAGATACAGAGGCCCAACGACCAACAGAGAAGATGCTGGCGACCTGTCAGATAATGGGTGAAGGGGAAGCAAATATTATTTACTTGTACTGGCTTAATTGCTTTGTCTGCGATCGTCAGTGAGTGGAAACTGGAAACTGGAAACTGGAAACGCGTGCGCAGTTGGAACTTGCAGCGAGCGATTCACGACGCGTGAAGGCGGCGGGCAACGCTCGAGGCCGGTGATTGGCTGCGGGCTAAAGTGGTCTTGGCATCAAACTGGCAACTTCATGTCATCGACTTCGCCTCAATATCTAGTCAATGTTCCCGATTTCAAGGCAGGTTGTTGCTCCTATTCGACACGTATCCTAGTGCGATCCCGGATATTGTACGGTCAATCCTACAATATTCCTTCCCCTCCGTCTCTGTCGCTTACTGCCGTATGTGCAGTAGCCGGATCTCGCTTGGATCTCACTCTTCTCACCGAACGTCAACTCTCCCTTTTGGACTGCACCCACCGCCACCATGGGTGTCCCCAAATTCTTCAGATGGCTCAGCGAGCGGTATCCTGCGATCTCGCAGTTGATTGCGGAGAACCGGATTCCTGAATTCGACTGTCTGTACCTGGACATGAATGGTATCATCCACAATTGTACCCACAAAGATTCAGACTCACCCACCTTTCGCATGACGGAGGAGAAGATGTTCATAGCGATTTTCAACTATATCGAGCATCTTTTTGGCAAGATCAAACCTAAAAAGCTGTTCTTCATGGCAATTGACGGGGTAGCACCCAGAGCCAAGATGAATCAGCAACGTGCACGTCGGTTCCGCACTGCCCTTGATGCTGAGAAAGCCCGTGAAAAGGCCATCAAGGAAGGATTGGAGATGCCCAAAGAAGACCCCTTTGACAGCAACTGCATTACCCCAGGAACCGAATTCATGGCCAAACTCACCAAGCAGTTGAAGTATTTCATCAGCAAAAAAGTCTCGGAAGATGTCGATTGGCAAGGAGTCGAAGTTGTCTTATCAGGGCATGAAGTTCCAGGTGAAGGCGAACATAAAATCATGGAGTACATTCGCCAAGCAAAAGCGCAACCCGGCTATGACCCCAATGTCCGCCATTGTTTATACGGACTCGACGCCGATCTTATCATGTTGGGTCTTCTCAGTCATGATCCCCACTTCTGCCTACTCCGTGAGGAGGTCACTTTCGGAAGGCAAGCAACCAAGAAATCAAAAGAGCTAGAACATCAGAACTTCTACCTCTTGCACCTGTGCATTGTCAGAGAGTATCTAGAGCTGGAATTCCAGGAGTTGGAACAGCCCGGAGCACTTAGCTTTCCTTTTGACATGGAAAGAATCATTGACGACTTCATTCTCATGGCTTTCTTTGTGGGCAACGACTTTCTTCCCAACCTTCCAAACCTGCACATCAACGAAGGGGCGCTGGCGCTCATGTTTCAGAAATACAAAGAAGTCCTTCCCAAGATGGGTGGTTATATCAACGAACAAGGCGTTATCAACTTGGAACGCTTGGGTGTTCTTTTAGATGCGCTTTCTGAGGTCGAGTATCGTTTCTTCGAATCAGAGTACGCGGACGCGAAGTGGATCAATGCGAAGAGGAATGCTCAGCTCAATGATGAAAACGGGGAGGATACTCTCAAACCATCACGCGGGCCTGTCAGAATCTCACCTGAGCAGAAGAAACTGTTCAAGGAGGTGAAGAAATACTTTATCGCACCAGCGAACAAGGACCCTGCCACTTGGCAGCCGCTCAAACTGCCGCCAACTCTTCCTGCGAGAGATCGCAAGTTCATAGAACAGTTGGCGACCGATTTGAACCTACGGTGGTCCACGCAGGAGGACGAGGAGGGGAATCGTTTCATCCAGTTGGAATTTCCGCCAACAGACAAGGATGCCGACTCCGAAGAAGACGAGGAAGCTCAGTTGGCCGTCACACGAGTTCTCAAGCGGTATGAGAATGCCAAAGTCGAGGATGTGACCGACGAACAAACCCAGCAGGACATGAAGAAGAAATACGATGCCAAATTCCTAGAATGGAAAGACAAGTATTATCGCGAGAAGTTTGACTGGGGTCTCGATAATGACGAAGAACTCAGGAAGCTTGCCGAGAACTACGTTCAAGGATTGCAGTGGGTACTCTTCTATTACTATCGGGGTATTGCGTCCTGGCCTTGGTTCTACCAATACCACTACTCTCCCATGATATCCGACATCAAGAAAGGCCTAGGTGCGGACTTGAATTTCCAACTGGGGCAACCGTTCAAGCCGTTCCAGCAATTGATGGGGGTGCTGCCCGACCGGAGCAAGAAAATTGTCCCTGAAGTTTATCACGAATTGATGACGTCGAAAGACTCACCCATTATCGACTTTTATCCGCGAGATTTCGAGCTGGACATGAATGGCAAGAAGATGGAGTGGGAAGCCGTGGTCAAGATTCCCTTCATCGATGAAAAACGGTTACTCAAGGCCATGGAACCGAAGGATGCTCTTCTTTCAGAGGATGAACGTGTCCGTAACGATTTCGGGGTTAGTCTCAAATTTGTCTACTCCCCTGAGGTAGATTACACTTATCCGTCCTCTCTAGTGGGCATTTTCCCGGATCTTCCTCATTGCCATTGTATTCAGAATGAGTTCGAGCTTCCCACCATGGATGGTCTGGAACCCTATGTTGGCTTGGTGGAAGGTGTCAAGCTTGGAGCTGCAGCTTTGGCCGGGTTTCCCAGTCTGAAGACGTTGCCGTTCACCGGCTCTTTGGGATTCCACGGTGTCAATGTTTTCCAACAGGACAGTCGTAACGAAAGCATGATCATCACGCTGTTGGATACTGAGACGAGGACCAAGGTGGAATATGCCAAAAAGCTCCTCAATCAGCGGGTTTTTGTTGGATACCCGTTTTTGCAAGAAGCAAAGATTGTCAAGGTACTGGACGAACTTTTCGATTACACCAGTCCGGAACACGCGCCCACGGATGTCCAGGCAACCGAGCATGCGGGTCACGAAATTGACCAATTCCATAAGAAGGCCGAACGTATTGAGAAGTGGTACAGCAAACGACTGGGAATGCTGACAGGCGATATCGAGTCTCTTGTTCAAGTCGAGATGCTTAAGGGCCTGAAGAAACTTGATGACGGTTCCACCGTCAAGGAGTACGCCGAAATGCCGGGTTTGGAGACGGTGCACCCCGCCCAACTTGTGGTTGAACACGTTATCAGCGAAGATGTTCGCTTCATCGAAAAGGCAGCCCTCCCCATCGAGGAAGAGTTTCCTGATGGCACGAACGCCTTCTTCCTTGGAGACTATGCCTTTGGCAGACCTGTCAGTGTGGTTGGGCACGAGAATGGGAAATTAAAGTGTTTGATTGCGCTTTCTACAGCACGGCAAGTCGAGTTCGGACGCGAGATAGCTCTACAGGCGGAGAGACTGTCGCCATATGTTCCTTCTTACCAGGTTGCTCGCAGTCTCAATCTGAACGCCCTGGTACTGGCCAAGATTACGTCTTCCTTTTCTGTGAGAGTTGACGATCAACGAGTGAACCTGGGTCTCAATCTCAAATTTGAAGCCAAGAAGCTGAAGGTACTCGGATATTCCCGAAAGGGCCAAAGTGGATGGGAGTTCAGCCAGGCCGCGATTGAGCTCATCAAACAGTACATGATCAAATTCCCAGAGTTTATTGCCGGCATTCATAACAACCCCCAAGGAGATATGCTGCCAGTGACGGCGTACTTTCCTGGTATGGATGAGAAAGACGCGAAGGCCAAGGTCAAAGAAATCCTAGCCTGGCTCAAAGAAATCGAGTCAAAGAGCTTTGAAAAGGTGCCCTTGGAAGCCGAACAGCTGGACTCTGAGATTGTCAAGCGGATTGAGCAAGCAGCTGATGAAGCGTTACGCAGCGAGCCGCCTCCGCAGAATAAGACGATCGGGGGAGTGCCTCGAAACGCGCTCTTGAAGCCTTCAGACGCACAATGGCGGCTGGGGAATCAGAGATTTGCCCTTGGCGACAGAGTTATCTATGTGGCTGACTCCGGCAAGGTCCCAATCGCCTCGAAGGGAACCGTGGTGGGACTTACGCAAACTACGAGAGAGACGTTCTTGGACGTTGTCTTCGACGTGTCTTTTATGAGTGGCACTTCATTAGGCGACCGCTGCTCACCGTTCCGAGGATCTACTGTGCCGACCTGGTCAGTCCTCAACCTCACCAACCGACAAGTTGTTGCTTTGTCGAAGGCGAGCGCAAATCGACACCCGAATGGGACCAATCCAACCCCTCTCACCGTAAACGGTTACGGGCCACCAGGTATCAATGGCCGAGGTCAACTGCGTCCAGCACAAACTCCGCCAGCATTGAGAGGGTCGTGGCGAGGAGCAGTCGGCGGGCAATCTCCAGGCGGTCGCGGAGCCGCCAACGGCAACACTGGTCGAGGCAATCACTACACGGTGCCGATCCGGAGTTTCTCTACCCCTAATGGCAATCGTGGACACGCAAACAACAATCCGTCTGCCCAGGGTCGCGGAGGCCGTGGCTCCATGGCTCAGACCGGACGAGCAGGATATGTATCGGTCGATCGAGGCGATCCTCAGGCTGGCGTGCTCCAACATAATCCCAACTTCAGGCCTAAGGCTCACAACAACGTGCCACCGCCCGCATCTCTGAACCAGCCTGCGACTCCACGTGGCCGGGGCAGAGGGAGAGGAGGCGCGCCGAGAGGAGGACGAGGTTCGAGCCGCGGCGGAACTTCCTGAATGCTGGGCGCATAACAGTGCTCGTACGAATTCTACTTCTTTTTTCCTCCTTTGACGATGTGAAGGCACACCCATCAGGCGCAAAACATCTTGACTGGCATCAGTATTGGTGAGTCAGTGGCATCGGTCATGCTGTGGGACGGGTCGTTATCTCTCCCCACTATGCCATTCTACTTTGGCACTCGACGATTGGACATGGAAGGGAAAAGGGCTGCAAGTGACAGATTTGACAGCCCCACAGTTTGGCCAGCATGTCGCACGATCCATCAACCATCACATGTTCGGTTATATGACTTCTGCCCGACACGAGCCTATCTGAAGCGTTCATTATTGCGTCCGTTGGGCCCTGCGATAAGCTATAGTTAGAGCAGACACAATTGTTGCTGACAAGCCTTTTTTGGAGGATCCCCTCGGCACTTGGAAGAGGTGCAATGCAAAGAAATGGGGCGCTTGCGCGACGGAGATGCACGTCATTTGCACCCTGATTTCTGCCCTCGAAACTCGATGAAGATAGACAGAGTCAACGATAGTTTTATCGTGCCGGCACAAGTTACAGCTACAGACTTTCGTTCACCCGAAAAAAGCCCCGGACCCTGGCCGCACCCTCTCGCTCTGACTTAGGATCATCAGTTCCCCTCTTTTTCAGCTTGTTCTTGATTTGATGCATCCGTCCTGTTCCTGGCTAGCTCCACGCAGCCGTTCCCAACCCTGCGTATGACCTGCTCGTCAGATCCCTACAAGCCTCGCGACACCCCACACTACTCGGGATGAGGCGTGTCTTTGCTGCGCTGGGGTGGTAGTTCCACATGACCCATTTTCTGTTTTTTCAAGGCTTCCAAATCATGACAGGTGTTACAGCTGACAAGGGGCAGAATCCTCGGCCGAACAATACCGGGGCCTCTTCCCGCCTCAAGAAGGCTCATATACAATGCTGACAGGCTTGCGATATATGCGGCCGTCAAACTTTCAGCTATGGACAGATCCCTTCCACCGTGGGTTGCGCCTTGTACTACCTGAGGTGAACGTCAAAGCCAAAGAGAGCCTCTTTTGCTACTAGCGCTATTTCATATCGAATCGAACGCTTATCGCACCGCTCACAAGTTGGATCCTGATGTAGAGAATCCCACCCTACTAGTCCCGCGCAGTCTCATGGTCCGGTCCGGTCCAGCCCACACAAACAACTGATCAACGAACGCCGAACAAGGTCGAGAAAAAGGCTGCCCTCACGAGTGTGGAATAACAAACTTTTTTTTTGAAGATCTTCTTCCTCTTTATCATAGATCAATCTGTCACGCTCTGTCTTGAGGTTTTCTTTTAGGCGAGAGACTGCAAAAAACCAACGATGGTGTTCGCCATGACCTTCTATCGACCGTTAATACTGCCCACCGTGCAATAGCACCTTACATTCTGGGACGAAGTGCCAAACACCGCTGATATACAGAGGATCCAGCCACCGGCATCGCTTGTCCAGAATATCTGAGCGTTATACGCACCGGAAGGGGTAGGAAACCCAACCTGGGAGCCATCTACCAACACGCTTTGTTTCTATACACAGGCACTGTATACAAATACCCTCTTTTCGAGCGTTCTGCCGAATAGAGTCACACAAGTCACGCACCCGCCAGCATTCAAGCCAGGCAACAACAGCAGATGATGGCCGACTCGATGAACTTGATCACGGCACAGATCTCGTTCCTTGAACCACATCTGGCCCTTATCCACGTTCCCATCGAGTTGTATTCTCTGTTTCTGCAACCGATACTGCGCCTCCTGTTCGGTGAAGATCATGACGAGGATGCCGGTAGGGTATCCTGGACCAGTAGGCATGATTTCCTCAATGTCTCAATCACGCCCGTCGAGTGTTCAATCATGTGCTCGAGAGTACTGGCCGATCGGTTTGTGGTCCCTGTTGCGGAAGCCCTCAACAGGTTATATGCGACTAGTGGAGCAAGGAACGACAATGACAGCAGCTCCAAAGAGGCCAACGGGAGCCACCGCAAGACCCAGATTCACATCAGCACCGAAGACTACATCGCAATTCAGGTGGACGGACAAGGGTTGGATGCCGGTCAGAGAGTGCTGGAACTGACCTCGCCATTGGCTATGGCAGGAATGTAAGTCACTGTTTTTTTGCCTTTGTCAAAGCAGGCCACGGAGGGAATCCGTCTCAATATGACACTTTGGTTCACACAACACCTCTTGAAACATTTGAACGAACAAGTAATGACGCGTGTGCCTTTCCATGTACAGAAGCATCTTCTTCATCACGACCTATTTTTCAGATTATATCCTGGTGCCCTTCCGGCAACGCAGGACCGTCACCAAAGCCCTACAACAACGAGGGTTCGTTTTCTCGCATACTGCCGACGCGTTTGTGTCACAGCTGTCCCCGTCGTCACCGGCTTCGCCAGATGGTGGTAGTGGTGGTAGTGGTAGTGGGCGGCATCGGACCTGGCCCTCGCCCTTTCACGAGACAATTACCTCTACGTCGACACCGGCCACTCCGCCGGCAAAGGATATTCCCGAGCTGCAGATGCGGACGTTTACAAAGTTGAAGCGAAACAATGTCACACCACTTGTCGATGGGGCGGTCCGGTTGGCCAGTTGTGCGGGCAGTCGCGAGTATAGCTTGGAAAGCGAGGACAGACTGAAGAACGATTTGTTGCAGGTCTTGTTGGCCACGGCGGCGGTGCCGTTGCGGGCGAAGCAAATCGCTACAGGGACTACTACTGCTGCTGCTGATACTAACGGCGACAACAATGCTCATGTTGAGTCGGCAGTCCCGGACACGGAGGAGTCGATTTCGGATTATCGAGACTCAGAAACGGACTTTGGGGCACGATTCCTCTCACTCACGATCACCTCGGGCGAACCCATTTCTTTGTTGATTGAACACCGACTCCTTGACCGTCTAGGCGCGTCTTTGCTGGGGGCCAAGTCCGTCGACGACGCCTTGGTGCCCATCACGCTCGATCTGCGCGACCTGCCGCTCGAAGCTACGGGAATCGTATGTGGTGTGGCAGGGAGACTTGCGCAGGGTGATAGTACTGGCCTGGACGGGGATCTGCACGAAAAAGAATTGAGTCCGGGTTCGGGTTCGGGTTCGAGTCGTACAGATGATGGCGAGGTCGAGTCAATCGACATATCGTTTCTCAGCACGGCAAGGGCAGGAACCGTGATCGTGCGGGCCAGTCAGTTGCAAAGAGCTCTTAATGCGTTGGAGGTGGGCATGAAGTTGGTCGGAAGGGATTTGTAGGTAGGCCTTAGTCGGCCAGCTTAGGGACAACAAGACCCTGTCTGGAATGATGGGGTTCGGAAAGAAAAGTTATGCTTCGATGATGAGGCTGAGCAACATCAGTTGACTGGAATTGATTTGATTCGAATGCGATCCGAGACGAAACGAGGCAGGTGAAAAGAAAATCACAGCTCAGGAAAATCACAAAAATGATGGATATAATGCGTGGTGTCCTGGCATTACCGGGTCGATTTAAATGTATAACAGAACACTGTTCCTGTACCACTGGCAGCACTTCCCGGTTCACGGAGGAGAAGCACCTCTCGTTGTGGCCTGTAGGTAGTTACCCCTATTGCACACTGTGGCACCATATTCTAGACCTTACCGTAGTTACATGTCTAGCGCTGATCTCGCTATACTACGAGGATACACTGTACTATGTATGGCTTGATGCGTGTATTGGTGATGGACGCGTGAAGTTGAAAATACTCTCCAACTCGACGAAACCCTCCGCAGTCTACCTCACACCTAGGTGCCTCAGGCTACGATTTTACCACCAACGTGAACCGCATACAACTTGAAGTGAATTGTGCCTACAGCCGCAGCTCTGTACTCACATCAAACAACCCTCACTACCTCGCAGAAACGGTCTCACTCATCGTCGCCCACTACAGCTGCGGTCGCTTTCCCCTCCTTCGTCTGCCTGGCCGCCCCAACTCAACACCACTCTTCCCGCCTAAATACCGTACACCCAAATGCCACAATGACTCTCTGGGGCCAGGACACGGTCAAAGACGTGGCCGAATCCGTGGGGATTCTACATCTCAACAAGGAAGTCAGCCACGCGCTATGCCGGGACATCGAGTACCGGATCTCGCTGGTCCTGCAAGAAGCATTAAAGTTCATGAAACATTCGAAACGGACGATTCTATGGACACAAGACATTGCGCATGCCCTTCGCCTGCTGGACGTCGAACCTCTCTACGGATATGAGACAACGCGGCCGCTGAAATATGGAGAGGCGTCGCTGGGGCCCGGACAGCCGTTGTTTTATGTTGAGGACGAAGAGATGGATTTTGAAAAGTTGATTAATGCGCCGTTGCCAAAGGTTCCTCGAGAGGTTTCATTTACAGGTACGTTCACGTTTGGCCGAACCGAACCGCAGTTGCAGTTTCGGGCATATTAACTTGACTGATATGATACTAATGGTGGCTTTTACAGCGCACTGGCTGGCAGTCGAAGGCGTTCAGCCGTCGATACCGCAAAACCCGACGAGCAACGAAGCACGAAACCTCGAACTCGTACCCAAAGGACCGAATGCAAACCCTGCGCTGGCCGCCATGACGGGTGCCGACTCGACCACTACCAAGCCTCAAGTCAAGCACATTCTGTCGAAAGAGCTACAACTGTATTTTGAAAAGGTGTGCTCGTCGGTGCTGGACGAGACACAACCCGAATATCGAACGGCGGGACTGGCCAGTTTGAGAGATGACCCGGGCCTGCATCAGCTGGTGCCTTACTTTGTGCAGTTTGTGGCGGAAAAAGTGACGCATAACTTGAAGGATTTGTTTGTTCTGACTCAAATGATGTTGTTGATCGACGCCCTGACGAGGAACGACAAACTCAACCTCACGCCCTACGTGGCGTCCCTGGTGCCGCCCGTGTTGACCTGTTTGACCGGCCGGTCGTTGGGTTCGGGAATCGGGTCGCTGGATCATTATGACCTACGAGATTTGGCGGCGTCATTACTAGGCCATCTTTGCCGCAAGTACTCCAAGTACTCGCACAATCTGAAACCGAGACTTGCACGGTCATTGTTAAAGACTTTCCTGGATCCTAAGAAGCCCGCCGGAAGCCATTACGGTGCTATTCTTGGACTGAAAGCCATCGGAGGGCCTGAAGTGGTCAGACAGCTTATCGTTCCAAACCTGAAAGCGTTTACGGAATTGCTCGAGGACGACCTTCAGGACCAGGGCGTCAAAAAGGCCGAGGCTGAAAAGGTCGTCAGCGCCATCTTCAACGCCCTGGGCACGCTGGTGGATGACGAGATTCCCCTCCTCACGAATGGCCATTCGGTCGAATCCGAGAATGAATTGCGGAAGAAATTGGTCGACAAGGTCGGACCTGTCATAGGGAATCGCATCGCGGACTCGGGCCATACAAAACTGGCAAAGGCTGTCCTACAAGGCGATCTGCCGGGGCTATGATTGTCATCAGATGTGACATCTCTTGACAAGAGATGTTCGTTCTTGCCGGGTGAATTGGTTTCATGAGGCCTAAGGGACATGAGACTCGGAGGATTTGTCACGCGCATTTGGCTGGGGCGTTTGGGATGGGATTTTATAGTAAGACGGCGAGACGACTGTAGTGGAGATACCCTTCGAGTTTGAGGCTGGGGACTGGGAACGGTTACCGTCCGTTCAAGTTCGGCGTTTACATGGACTCGGAGCGGAGGATAAGGTACTCAGGTCGTAAGACATTTATTTACTACGGACAGTACAGTATCTGAGAGAATCCCAGAAACAGGACAAGCGAGTTGCATCAAGCCTATTCAGAGATATATGACCTTGGCACAAATGGGAGTAGGCCGCATCTGAAGCTACAGTACAGATACCTAAAGATTCACCAGCTAGAGTACCCTTCCACAGGGCGTGCGGACATGAGTCATATTATTCTTTGCAGCGCGTTCAGAGATGTGACGCGACGTGACATGACCTGATGAGAGATGCTTCAGGACACCGAGCCTGGGGCGGTACTAAGTAGTACCCGCCTACATTGTACGTACCTAGGTAGGGATCTAGGATCATGTACTTTTATCAGTAGTAGGATGTATCTCAAGGACAGGATATAGGTACACAGACGACTTCTTGATTGCCCACCGCAGTGTGAAGCTGGAAAGAGTACCTAGGTAAAAGTGTACAGGACCTTGCCATCCTCCTCCAACTTCTTGCAAATATCATCCTTACTGCTGAAGTTTGGCCACAGCTTCAAGTGTTAATACCTCCCCAGGTACATATCTATCATGCGGCCATCTGTCATCATGTGGTAGCGAGCTTGAATCTCTGCCTTGCATCCATCCATTCATCCGCCGCTCAGAGATATTCATTGCAGTGTCTCTTATGTATCATCGCCTGCAGTGCAGTATCCGTCTGATCTTGAATCCTCCATCCACTGCAGTGTATGCCTATCTCAACTCAGCCCAGCTTTTACTTCATCTTTTCTTCAGGTGAAATTTCACTCTTCTCTGACCCCTCGCTCCAGGCGACCGGCATCAATGAAAAGGAATTTGTCACAAAAAGAACAAGCTTTCAAAAATTCCTTGCCGACCCGAAGGCCAGCAAGAGTTGGTCGAAATAGTTTTCAACTAGCAAAAAAGCGAACTCGGCCGAAGCCTCACTGTTACGCTTAATGCCCGTGCACTGGGATGGAGAAAAGAAAAAAGAAAAGAAATCAAAAGCAAGAGAGGAGAAAGGGTTGAAATAGTCCTGCGGGTTGGCTGCCTAGGCTTGGCGTAACGATGATTTGGCGCTAGGGTGGAAATGGATAGCTCCGCCTACGGTGGATTGAAAGGACGTGTGTGGTAGAGATACGTTGGGGTGTAGAGAGTGATAGCGTACTATGCCACTGGCTGTACTGTACTCACCGTGGCAGTAGGTGGTAACCAAGAACTGAGCTGTAGACACCCATCATCTCCGACTTCCACTGGCAGTGCGATCTGCTCTGATCTGATCTGATCTCGTTGTTGAGATTGCAATCACCACCACCACAAGACCGACATCATTGTCACTCAGAGTTCGGCCTTGCAGACAGACAGAACGCCAACTTGAACAGCACACTGCAGCATACGAAGCCAGCCAATTCTCTTTCTTTTTGCTCTTGCTTTTCAGAATGCCGTCCGCCCTCGTCACCGGCGCCTCAGGCTTCCTCGGCCGACAAGTGTACAAAGCCTTCACCGACGCGGGCTGGCAGACCACAGGGACGGGCTTCAGCCGAGCGGCCGGCTCAATTCGCAAGGTCGACATTCAAGATGCAGATGCGGTTGAGCGATTGTTCGATGAGGTCAAGTAAGAGAAATCGAGTTTTGTTTCTGTCTGGTTTCCGCTTTCTGTACCTTTCTCTACCAGTATCATTGAGGCGAGGGCAAAAGCGGGCCTTTGAATACCTACTATATCCTATGTGCTAGCAAAAGTGAGAGAGTTCCAAAACTAACAATTAGCTGGCATACCACAGACCGCAAGTCGTCGTTCATTGTGCGTGAGGTTCTGATTTTCTCTTCTCTTCGCCTCCTGTTACATCTTCTACACTTTTATCCTATCCTGTCCTATCCTCTAGTTCCATCCCAATACCACACAGTTGTAATGTGACTACCTACCTACCTATCTTTGTTGGTACATGCTCCGCCATGGCCCCCAGCACCCGAAAGTCGAGTCCTTCCTCCGACAGGACCCGGGTTACCGGGCCGGAGGGAGAGGAAGAAGGCAGGACACGCAAAGAGCACGAACATGGAAACTACCTAAAATCCCATCCAGCATGCACGCACCTTTGGAACTGGGTAGATACGCCAACGTGACACATCCGGTTGCTCACTATTGTTTTTCTGCCCTACAGGCGCCGCAGACAGACAACCAGACTCATGCACCAAAAACCCCGAAGCTGCCTACCGCCTCAACGTGACAGCGACGCAGCACATAGCCACGGCCGCGGCACGGCACGGCTCGTTCCTCATCTACATTTCAACCGACTACGTCTTCCCCGGCAAACCAGGCGAGGCCCCGTACAAGGCGACCGACGAACCGAACCCGACAAATATCTACGGACGAACGAAATGGGAGGGTGAGAAAGTAGTATTAAACACCACCACCGACACCAACGCCAATAACTACGACAGCTCCAACACTCCCCCCGTCAAATCAGTCGTCCTTCGCGTCCCTGTTCTCTACGGCCCCGTTGCCGAATCCAACTCCGAGAGCTCCGTCAACATCCTCATGGACATATTGTACAAAGCCCAAGAGGCCAAGGACAAAAACCCGTCGAGTACCCCCATCAAAATGGACGATTGGGGCATTCGATATCCAACCAATATCGAAGACGTGGCGAGGGTTTGTGTCGACACTGCAAAGTATTATACTAGTTCTGCTGCCGCCGCCAACAAGGAGCTACCGCGCATCCTCCAATTCACCAGCGAGGACCGCATGACCAAATACGAAATGTGCAAAACTTTCGCCGAGATCATGGGTCTCCCGTGTGACGGAATCGTGGCGGACAAAGACGGCGGCAGCGGTGCTGCCACGCAGAGACCGTATGATACTCACCTCGACACGAGTGACTTGAAAAAGCTGGGCATCGATGTCTCCACCGTCGACTTTGTGGCGTGGTGGAGGAGATACGTGGGCGCATTTCGACATTAACCATCATCCCTCAAAGTAGCAACCCGCAACCCGCAACCCGAGAGGTTGATGTCCCGATTGATGCATGGCATAGAGTGGCATAGAACTTGAACAAAACAGGCTGGACGGGCCAGACAGGATAGGATAGAAGAGAAGTCGGAAATAACCCTGCCCGGCCGAGGCAGCCGAGCATCTTTTAGACCTGCGAGTATTATATGCATATCCCGCTGGTGGACATCATCATCGAGACTCAGCTAGATATCAATGTCTTCTGGCACACTGGCAGCTCTTTATTGTTATGACCACACTACTAGTAATATTAATTGTGACTCGATCAAAGATGAATGCAATGCTTGCTAACCGAATACTGATAATGCTGTACTACTGATAAAAGCAGAGGCTGCTTGGTCGCGTTTCAACACTTCCTGATGATGGGTATCACTGCCATGCCCCCTGCTAATGAATGCAAACGCTTGCTGTCTTGTCCATAATCGAAAACGAACTGTGCCGGTGTATGCTGCGTTGATCAATAAATCGCTCGCTTAATGGCTCTTTGCAGGTTGCTTCGATCGCTTTTGTTGTCGTTCCGTGTATTGTGTCTTTCCAGCATCAACGCTTGCCACCTCACGCCACTCCATGCCAGTACAAGATTGAATACTCGATCACGATCGGCCGGTTGGAGTAGAACCGTCAACGTCTTATCCGCCTCGGTGTCACCAGACATAAACTCGAATTGCAGCACCGTCGCCGAGCGGGATTGCACATGTTTGAGATTCTTGAGCATGGAATCGACATCCACATCATCGATCTTGCGCATCTCCAAAAGTTCGCTAAATGGCCAACTCCGGGTTTGTCTTTCCATTGTCTGGACCGCAATACCGGTACGACTCACAACTAGCCAGCCCCTTCCATACTGCTTGTCATAAACTTTGAAGAGCCGGGAGTCCGCCGATCGTTTCTCATTATCAACCAGTGCTTCTTGTTCTTGTACTATACTGTCTTCGTCCGAAATGTCCTGAGGATGTGGTACCTCGAAATCGGCAAGGTCCGCATTTCTGACCAGTGCTTTTTCTTGTAGTTGTTGGATGGCCAATTCGGCATGGGTGGGAATGTCCCAAAAAATCCATCGGAATGGCGAGAGAACAATCCGGTATTTCGGCCAACGTGTAGCAATAGGATACGAGAAGAAGAACGCACCTCCAGCGACTAACGTGACCACCTTCATGCAGAACGCCATGTCCGTAAGCAGTGAGGTAAGAAGACAACACGCGAAGAGAAACAACGTGGCGTTGGTCATTCTCGGCCGTTCCCAGCGATGGAAATTGATCAACACCTCCAGAAGGTTGGCCAAATCACCGAGTTGCAGCTGGATCATGGGACCCAGCTCGTCCAGCAAGGGCTCAAGCCAGTCGGCCTTGCCATGCCGTTGGATTAATTCACCCCACGCATGCGCACGACTCCCACGGTCGATGGATCTTGCCACGCTTTCTCTGATCGTCTGGACGGAACTCGGACGGAAACGATTGCGGATAGTCGAATAAATGATGTAGAAGTAGAGATAGCCCACCAGATGCTGCGTGTACCATAGAACGCTGTACAGGGCTAACCAGCGGGCCGTTCGCTTTGGGTCGGTCCACATGTAGACATTCCGGATATCGACGAAAAACGCCTGCCATGGAGCACTGGTGATGGCAATTCGTTCAACGAGTCGAGCGAGGTCTTCCAAGTCAAAAGGAGGAGAATCGAAATCGTCAATGTACGGTGCTGTGAACCCTTGAGTGTAATAGAGAAGCAGGTGTCCTATATATCGTTCCCACTGCAGTCGCTTCTGGCCATCCTCGGTGAGGACTTCGAATTGTGACCGGTCAGGGCGAGGGATGGGCTGGACTACTTTGACCCGAGAGACATGACGACTCAGGACCCACGCAGTCTGCAGGCTTTCTCTTTGCTGTTCAAGTTTCTGGACTCGCGCATGAGCATCATCCACCTCGGAATTGGCCTTGTCAACATCAGTGGCCGACGACGCGTTGGAGGTGGCTCGCGCTAGACCGTCATGGGCGTCGAGCAATTCCTGGTCCTGCTCAAGAGTGAGCGTCGGATGATTAGTATTGCCTAGCTTGTCTGCAGTCACTCGGGTTGCCTTGTTGCGTATGACGCGCCTGGGATGAGCGATGATGTGTTTCAAGTCCTTGACGCCATCGGAGATGCTCCCGCGGGTTGAAGAGCGAGACCTGGGCGCGGATGCTTGCTGTATCTTCGCAGGGTCGAAGGCGGCGTCGGAAAAGATGTCGTCTGCATTGTCGTCTGATTCATAGCCGTCTGGCGCAGGGGGACCTGTAGCGTCAAGTAACTTTTTGGTCTTTTCCTTTGCTTTATTCTTGAGGTGGGCAACCCCGTCGACGAGGTTGTGCGTGTGATGCTCTGCATCTTCAACGCTGTTCCGACGACTGGAAGACATCTCAGGGAAGGAAGGGGAGGCGCAATGAGGGAGAACCTCTGAAAGGGAGGTGATATGTCTAGGGCCTAAACATGGTCTACAAGAAGTGTCTGGAGAACTGAATGCGGTGGTGAGGTGAGAGTGGGTGAAGGTGAAGTGAAGGTGAGGTTAGCAGGGTGCATCAGGTTACACAGCGTGACGGCACTGCAGTGCATTAAGCAAGCGCACGCCAGGCTCGGAGCAGGCCAGGCCAGAGTGGTACAGTAAAGCTGGAGAGCAGTGCCAGGAGTGGTCATGGAGCCATGCCAGTCACTGTGCACCTCGTGGCATTCAAGTTGCCAGTACTGCAACTAGTAGCGAGTGGGTGGGCAGGAGGCCCGCGCCAGTAGCATTACTTGTACTGCAGTGCAGTGTGCTAATGCCTTTATTTTACCCTCGCCCGCTACCATAAATTGTTCTTCCAGGTTTTCGGTTTCTAACTCCGGAGGGCCCGGAACTCGTGGGATTGGCCGGAGATGCAGTGGGAGCGGATCAGATGCCAGTTGTTGAATGCCATGGCGAAAGTTCAAGCGAGATCGAGCGAGACACAAACATGGGACGAACCAGATCGAAACTGCGCCGCTGACGATTGTCGAGCCGAGCCACCAAAATCAGATGATGGCGGGGCCGCATCCGCATCGGCACAGCGCAGGCAAAAAGTGCAGGTGGCTGATCACTGTGGCTGACGGACGCTATGGCTGGAGTTGTGATAGAAACGGCGGAGCATCCCCCGCTTGCGCAATTCGAGATACATCCAAATTGGGAGAGCTTCACGTAGCTTGCTTGATTACAACTGAATAATGGCCATAGACCATACTGTGACCACATATGGCCGTAGCAATGGAATATCTTAATCTATTGCAACCTATATGCTGAACCAAATGTGTTGATGATAGGGCTACTGCGTCCTCCATGTTGCCTGGCAGACCGAGTCGTTGGCGCAAGCAAAGCAAGGTAACATGGTATGTATTCACGGCCTACGCCGCGGCGGTTGGTGATTCGGAGGACTCCCCTACCATAACGACAGTATGTGTGTAGAGTGAAGCTGTCCGGATCCGGCAAGTAACCATGGACCACAAGCTTCGCCGCAGTTATGGGTTTGTTATGGCCTTGTGTTGAATCCGTCGATTCACTACCACTCGCGTTGATATTGTTCCCAACCCACTCACTGCTCACAATCTCACCCTCCCACTCTGACCTCTTCAAGTTCCACAGCCTGCTCATATTTCTCTTTGCTATCTGCTTTCAAACCAAATTCTCACTGCTTCATCGATCGAACCCCTTTGCTCTCCTCTTTCTGCGTGTTACCCTCACCCTTTCGAGTCAGCCAAGATGAGCGACCGACCTCCTCCTCGCAAGAAGTCGCGCTTCTTCAGCAACGGCAAGAGTAAGATCGGTAACATCCTGCACCCATTCAAGAAGTCTTCGCAGCACAGAGACGATCCAAACAAGTCCGAGCCAAAAGCCTCTACGTCGGCCGGGACGAACCAACCCATCAACACTGCCTCGCCTTCTTATACCTTTCCTCCCAACCAGTCGAGACAAGAGGTGGCGTCCACCATTCTCCCCTCCACTGAACCATCCAGCGCTACTGCTGCTGCAGCACCACCGCCGCTTGGGTCGGTATCTTTCACTCCCAACGTACCTACGACGACATTCGAATTTCGGCGTGCGAGCGGAGTCGACTCAAGCAGGGTTCAGATTAGCTCACGCAAGCCGACCAAACGGCGCAGACGATCTCAGCGGATTATGTCCGATAGTGAAGCAGAAACAGATGTTGAAGAAGGGGATGATGATGAACCAGGCCAAACTGAAGAACTCGGTCAAAGCGATACAGAGAATGCGGATCCTCAAAATCCAGCTCACGCGACAGCTTCTTCTTCATCGTCGTCCTCGCCGTCCTTGCCGGAGAGAGCGACCATCAGAGATAGACGACGAGAGGGGATCTACGGAGTCGAGTCTCTTCTTGCTCAAAATCCTGGTTTATCAGGAACAGCGACGCAAGACCCAGCTGCCAACGCGGAGCCTACGCGCAGTGTGAGCCACGGCCCCACCAATTCCATTGCCAATCCCAACCGTCCCTTCGCATCATTCCTTCTTCCAACGGGCGGAACGCCACCATACGTGGACATTGACCGAGACGCCCGAGGCAGACGTCTCCCGCGACCACCACCGATATCTTATCTCCCCAACGTGGCACCAGTATTCCAACGAGGACAATTGCCTCCAGAATTTGCGGCAAGCCTGCTCAAACCCTTGCCATTAGCGACACCAGCACCACATCTGGCCAACCCGGAATCCCTGGTCCCTGAACACGAATACACGGCGCCGAACCGGGTCTACCATGCCCAGCACTACGCGCGAATCTCGTTGAAGCGCAAACGACCCGAAACCATTCTCCCACCCCCGTCATACGTGTGGAAGCGCACCAATGACCCGAACTTCAACGTGTTCCAAGGCATTCTGTTGTATCCGGAACTGGTGTTTGCATTGGCATCGGTTCTTCCTGTCAGAGACCTGATCAGCCTGTACGCGATTAGCAAGGACTTCCACACCATCATCGACACGCGATTCACCACGGTAGTTCTCAGCCAAGCGGTGCGCAAAGCCCCCGAATCGGCACGCACATTTTCCTTCCGGTCGTACGCCCACCTCTGTCGCCAGGATCCCGTGGCGCGCATTCCTCACCCCAACATCCGCAAGGCCGAGCAAAATGTGGCGCGCAAGATTCCCTCCTTCCGCTGGCTCCAGATGGTGTTGCACCGTGAGAAAGTCGTGCATGAGATGATGGCCGTGTTTGCCGAGGACGGCATCCCGCTGCCCTACCGCTGCCGTCTCGCCATCAAGCGCCTCTGGTTCATGCTGGACATTCCCGACAACGCCCGCCGCATCGGATACTGCCACAACAAGCGGCTGATGACGGACTTTGACTTGCACTTTGCAGCGTGTTTCTTCACCAAACTCGACATGCGCCTCAACGATCCAACGGCCGGCGAGAAGCGCGACCACATGCGAAAGCTGCTCCTGTCGCAGCGCAGCTTCACCACCATCCTTAAAGTGCTCAAACGCGACATCTGGACCAGCCGCTTTGCCATCCTTAAGGAGTGGATCAAGTTGAGACACACACCACTACAGGACGAGCGCAGCATGACCGTCTTTGGTATTCCTCCCGACCAAGCCGGCCGCGGCCGTCTCGAGTACTGGGGCATCCGAAGTGCCGAGCAACTCGGTCGTGAGCCTGAGACCCTTCTCCGTCCCGACCAGTTGATTGTCCGTGAGGCTTTCCGTCGCGGTATCCCATTTGGCGAGGACTACATCCGTTTCGTGCTCTACGGCTACGTCAGACCAGACACGCTCGACAACTATGCTCCGCGCAAGTATGGTCGCCGAATCGACGCCCTCAAGGATGACGAGTACGAGATTGACGATGCCATTGGCGGAGTGGCCGCGTTGGGTATCGGAGATGATGGCTTCGATGACTTACTCGACCTGGGCCCCCCACGTGAGGGAGGCATCTACACGATTGTCAAGGAGAAGACGAGCAAGGCCGAAATGGAACTCCGACAGTCCCAGGAACGGCTTCTGAAACGCTGTTTGGAGTGGTGGGAGCGCGAGCACACAGAGTTGCTTGACTCTGAGGCAACGCAGGAGCAGGAGAGCTCCGCAACAGCAGAGACAGATGTTGACTGAGAGCTCGTCGTCCGCTTGCTGCGAGGGCTCACCAGTACGCGCAAGCTCATCGGGTATGACGACCGCGTTCTTCTTACTGGTGGTGTAAAGCAAGCGAGATGAACACAAGCTGCACGGTCCTTGATTCGGAGCGCTTGAAGCCTTCGAATGAGGCGCAAATGTTGGACTAGACTAGACGAGAAGCAGAAGCAGGTTTCCGCCAGGCAAGGACGAGCGCGACAGACTTGTGAGATGTACCCGGTAGGCGTCGTACCACGACACAAGCTGCGGATATCGAGGGATCATGAATGCAAGAGCTGCAGAAGCCCGTTATCAGTGCCTAGAATGGTCGAGATGGAAGGCGGGCATTGATTGTATCTTCCGTCCTCGAGAATAGTAGCGGTTGAGCCTACTATGTTCCTACAGTACATAGGTAGATTGATATTCGAAGGGAACGGGGCTGAGCTGCTCAATCACGACACCAGAAAGGAAACCCTCCCTCGAAATCTAGTATGTCCAGTAAGGCGCACTGGCGGCATCAATGCAATGCGCAAGGTTCATCTGGCTGACAAGCGTTCTTGGACGGCGTGCTGCTGTAACACACACACACCTAAATAACAATCACTTACGCAGTCACAGATTCTTATCATCTCGTTTCGAGCGGATTTGAGTTGTACTTGTGGTCAGTCAAAACATGATTCGGAGAAGTCCTAGTTCGGACTTCTTTGACCCGCGGCGGTGAGGAACTCGGAGTGAATGACTGCCAAGCTTCGATTCGGGGGTCGCGCTACCCCATGCAGGCACAGAAAAGCACCCGTCATTACATGCATATGTCACACTGTGAGTGCTATAATGACAAGCAAATCAAGCCAATTTCGAACCGTGACGCTGTCCTGACAGGATATTTGATGTAGATCGGATATCCGGCACTCGGGGACCAAGGTCGAGGACCATATCAAGATTGAACCCCAAACCCGCCACGAATCGGCGAATGACCGTCCTTTTTGCGGCTCTAGTCGTCTCGATGCAGGCTCTGATGCGCCCTGTAACAGTCAGTGAGTACTTTTAGCGTTGGAGAATGGGAGCGGGTTGGCCATGTCATTTATGTCGCTCCCTAGAGGTTTGCCGCGCCTCTTTTCTTAAGGTCGTGGTTCTTCGATTCAAGTTTGAATGTTGAGGCGTGTAAGGTACTTTCCACAAAAGTAACGCACGGCGTGGACGATTGAGTTCATTGCAAACGTGAACAGGCACGCTGCTACTCATGCAAACCAGGACTAAATTGTCAGTATGTCCAGCCAAGATACCATCGAGTCTGAAAAGGGAGCCATAACGCGTCCTGACTTCGACGGGCGAAGCGCTGAGGGTTTGGATGATCTGACACTCGACAAACAAACTTCTCGGGGCACCCTACCAGAATTGAAGCATGTTTGTAGCAATGCTCTGAGCAAGGTCGCGTCGCGGCTCACAACCAGAGACATTATAGACCCTGGCCCGCCTCCTGACGGGGGGCTGCAAGCATGGACGCAAGTGATTATGGCGTGGGGAATCTGCTTTGTTACCTGGTAAGTTGACTCGAAACGATGGCGGGATGCCCCCAATTCTCTCTTTCTGGAATATCGAAAATAACTCTCCCTGTAGGGGCTACATCAACTCATTCGGGGTCTTTCAAACCTATTACACCGAATCGCTGGGAGAAACGCAATCGACGGTGTCATGGGTCGGCTCGGTACAGCTCTGGGTTGTGTTTGTGGTGAGCGCCTTCTCCGGGCGGGCATTGGATGCAGGACTCTTCATCCCAACCTTGTTTATCGGCACCGTGATTCAGGTCATAGGGATATTCATGACTAGTCTGTGCAAGGTGTTCTGGCAGCTGGTTCTGGCTCAGGGAATCTGCACCGGTCTAGGAAGCGGCATCTTCTTCTTACCAGCCATGGGGTTGGTGACCACGTACTTCCAACGACGTCGGGGTCTCGCGGTTGCCATCGTCACCACCGGAAATTCCGTGGGCGGAGCGGTGTATCCCATCATTGTGCGCCAGCTGCTTCCCAAGATCGGTTTCGCTTGGACTGTGCGGGTGCTGGGATTTGTGAATCTGGCACTGCTCGCGATGGCGTTGGCCTTCATGCGTCCAAGACTTCCGCCGAGGAAATCAGGGCCCATCGTCGAATGGAGGGCGTTCCATGAGGTGCCATATGTTTGTGTTCTGATCGGAATGTCGTTTGTCTTTGGTGGTCTCTTCTTCACGTTCTATTACCTGGCTTCATACAGCCGCAACATCATCGGCATGAGCTATGAGGACTCGCTCACAATCCTCATCATCTTCAACGCCGCCGCAGTCCCCGTCCGCTTGATGACCGGGTACATCACCGACAGGTTCCTTGGCCCGCTCAACACCATGGTTCCTCTCCTCTTCATCAATGCGCTGTTTGGCTTCGTCTGGATTGCAGTGAGATCCGTGCCAAGCATGTACGTCTTCTCCGTCTTCTATGGCTTCTCGGCGGGTGCTTTCCAATGCCTGTTCCCCACCACTGTAGCCAGCCTGAATGACGACCTGAGTAAGAACGGCGTCCGCATGGGCATGGCCTTTTCCGTTTTCAGTTTTGCTGGTCTAGCAGGCCCGCCAATCGGCGGCGCACTGTTAACGACAAACGGCGGTGGCAGAGGTGGGTACCTGGTCGCTCAACTGTGTCTGGGAATCTGCACAACCGTGGGAGCAATCTTCATGGTTGGCGCTCGAGTGTACAAAGAGGGTTGGACTTTGAAGAAATGTTAGAGTTCGTGATGGCCAGCATTGGCTGCCGTGGTTCGGGGAGAAAGACTTCGACGTTCTTGGAAGCCACCACCTCTTCACAGTTACCGAGGGATAGCTAGACGAAGTAGAGAAATTGTATCTTTGTGAATCGTAATAATCAAGTATCGTCCAGAAAGCATGGTGGGCTGACCGTGTCGCCGCAAAACGGAATCGGGCAGCGGGCAATCACGCAATTCGGCAAGGGAAACTGCCCATACATGCTTGGTCCGCAACTGCACCGACATATTCGACAATTCTGTTATCATGTTGCTCCCTTTTTCTAAATGGGCAATGCAAATTATTCAGAGCAGACTTGTCCTTGGTCACAGCCTGTAACATGGGTCGGAAGTAGGTGTAGATGCAGTGGTCAACTTGGTCGGGTCACGCCCGTGATAGTTCAGCTGCGCTTTCGCTGCGGCGTTGTTGCTCGTTCTACAGCACCACATTACCACATTTGCCTGAGTGCTGCTCTTGAGAGTGGCTGCAGCAGGGCTGAAAGGGCTGGAGTCTTATACTGAGTGAAAGTCAGGCATGTATCTGTGTCAAATGCATCTTCGATAGTCTCTTCTCCATACCGGCTAGAACGGGCCATTTACTTCCAAGATTGTGGTCATTATTCATGCATCGAGCACTCTACTCTTCCATCTCCTGCATATCTGTCCGTTACGAAGCCCATCCGCGGGACATCTGAACTGCCTTTTCCCATCGACCGAACATTTCCTTGCTCTTCGCCTCCGGTAATTGTGGCTTAAAGACTGTGCGGCCTTCGACGTTGACCTTCTTAAGCTCGTCGATACTCTCCCAGACGCCGACAGCCAACCCTGCCGCAATGGCCGCACCGAGAGCTGTCGTCTCACGCATCTGAGGTCGCAGCACGGGAATCTGGATCAGGTCTGCCTGCGTCTGAACAAGAGGGTCAGCACTATTCAGAAACAGGAATCAAGCACTGTCATACCTGCATGGCCAAGTCTGAATTGCTCATGCCGCCGTCAACGGCCAGTTCGGCCAGCTTGTGGCCAGAGTCCTTCTCCATTGCATCCAGAATGGCTTTGGTCTGGAAACAGGTGGCTTCCAGGGTTGCACGGGCGACGTGGCCGCGTTTGGTGTACGCTGTTATGCCATCTGACAAACAAAGGATCAGCATTGCACTTCGCAACAGAGTGGGACGGACCTACAGATAGTTCCTCTGGCATCGTCAATCCAATACGGAGCAAAGAGGCCGCTGAAGGCTGTGACAAACACCACACCCCCGTTGTCCTCAACCGTGGAAGCCAGCTGACTGATCTTGCTAGACGATTCCACGAACCCCCAATTGTCGACCAGGAATTTCACGCTGGAGCCTGCCACGGCAATACTGCCTTCAAGTGCATACATCCGTTTTCCCTCCCCGAAGTCATATGCTACCGTGCCAAGTAAGCCATTACGTGAGAAGACAGGCTCCTCGCCGACATTGTATAGGAGGAAACAGCCTGTACCATATGTGTTTTTAGCAAGGCCAGGCGTGAATCCCTTCTGGCCAACGAGGGCTGCCGACTGATCTCCCAGGCATCCAGTAATTGGCACCCCTTTGAGCAGACTGGATTCTAGCCGGCCATATGCTTCCGTGTCTGATGATCGAGTGACCTTGGGCAAATGGATTTTGGCCGGGTCGAGTCTGAAGAAATCGATAAGCTGATCGTCATAGTCCAGTGTCCGGAGGTTCATAAACATGGTCCTCGAAGCATTGGTCGGGTCAGACACGAAGACATTTTTCTTGGGGCCACCGTTGAGTTTGTAAACAAGCCACGAGTCGATCGTACCAAAGGCGAGGATCCCTTTGTCATAAGCCTCCTTGACCTTGGGCTCATTTTCTAGGAGCCACAGCAACTTCCCAACAGATGGATACGTCGACAATGGCAGACCGCAAAGCTCCTGAAGGCGGTCTGCCCCCAGACGATGCTTGAGTTTCCGAACCAATGCTTGAGTGCGAGTGTCTGTCCAGACAATGGCATGATACAAAGGCTCTCCTGTTTCATGGTTCCAGACCACCTAGAAAGACAGATCGTTAAATGCGATTCGATGCGAATTGTCCCAAAGGAGATGAAGGGACAAGATCGATGTCTCAGTACGGACTTACAGTGGTTTCGCGTTGGTTCGTAATCCCAACGGCTTTGATACTTGCACGAGAATGGCCCTGGTTCTCGAGGTCCTTTACTGCACCATCGATACATTGCTCCACCGACGAGATGATTTCCAGCGGATCATGTTCATGCCATCTAGAGAACAGTTAACACCGCCACAGCACCATACGCATCGCAAGCGGCCGGCTATACGAACCCCGACTGTGGATAGTATTGCTTGAATTCGATTTGATGTGAAGCAATTGGCTCGCCGGATTTGTTGAAGATGAGAAATCGGGTGCTGGTCGTGCCCTGGTCGATCGAGCCCACGAATGTCTCGTGGGTGTCGTCTGCGGTGTCGCCCATCTTGTTTCTCAGTGCTGCCAACATACAATCGGCTCGATTCCGAAATGATTAGCTGGAGCGCGCCTGAAATGGAGGTCGATGAAACGGACACTCTGTGATGTCTGATAGAGCCTGGGCGTCTCGTCGGCTGAAGGAAGCTCCAGGGTAGCTATTGAAGCTCTAGCGCTCCCGACCTATGAAGCTATGCCGCTACCTTTTGGTAGCTTCTTGGGGCGAGCTCGGATACCTGAGCCCGAAAGGCAGTGACAAGCTTCAGGCCAGTAGTACCCCGCCAAAGAGAATCCGGGGTGGTGGAGACCGCGGGCGGCTGGGAGATGGTGGGTCGATGCGTTCGAGGGATTGACCTTCGATGCGTTTTGCGGAGTCAGTGGAGGCCTCCCTTGCGCCGGTCGATGGAAGTTGAGACCGAACCAAATCTACGAGATACCGTAGGAAGACGCCACTGCCAATGAACGAGCTCCGGGATAGAGATCAATCAACACCGGAAAGCAGAGGGCAAATCTCCTCAACAGGATGTGCCAGCCACCTGCGTCGACGACCTTTACCAAGCCGCATGCTAGTAAGACAGCTCGGCGCACAATATGCTTGTTTGATCAACGACGGACAATGGTCTAGAGGCGTTGGGCAAGCCACTATTTGCTTGGTATGGTGACACTGCAACCTCAGCTGCGTTAGTGTACAGACTTCAATTTCGACCTGGTTATCGAGTTCGCTTTGGTCGTGCCAGCGGCCGGCTGCTCGCGGCAGGCTCCAGCTGAGCACTGTCAGTTGGCAAACACCACAGCGCTCGAAGAGAGACCGGCGGAAGCCGACTCACGACCGCTTCAGTTCCAACTTGATTAGCGTTCGCCCTCTCCTGCGGGGTACATACTGTTACAGGGTTGAACGTTCGTTTTCCATTCTTCCCCTCTCGATTCATCATTTGGGGAGTCTGGCTTCCTAGAGACCTGCGTGCTGACAAGGAGGCAGAAAGGATGCGAGGATCCCCTGATGCATGGCAGAACTAATTTTTACACTTTCGAGAGTGCGGCAGATAGACAAGATGCCTCCAGCTCGGAGTCGAAAAGCAGGACTCGGCCCAACCTACCTTAGGCACTCATACATCTGAGATCACTCCGATTGAAGCATCCTGGACTACAGTCTGTACTGCTCGTTCATTCCTTTGGGTTGAAACCATCGATGACAGATCACACAGCGGGTGAAGTGGAACATTGATCACAAATGTCCGAGGTGTCCGCAAGCTGTCAGCGTCTTCCGGCAGTGTAGGATCTTGATTGAGGATTGGAGAATCTCGGCCTCGGTCATGTCTGTAGGCATCCCTTGTCAACTCCTAGTTGATCTATTTATCGCTCATTGGACACGGAAGCGTCGGTTTCTGCTCGATGGCTGGCTTTGTTGGGTCCGGTCATGTCCCGTGCTGCGATACAGCTGTCACTCTACCATGTTTGCTTCTTCCCGCAAAGAATCCACGATTCGGACTTGTCAAACCAGCGACACCGCTCCATCAAGTGGCTTCGGTAACGCTGAGCCGAGAGATCGAGAGGCATCGTTTGGTCCTAGGCTTTCTTTCTCCCTCAATACGGTGTTGCAATGCCAATCTTTTGGCGGAGGAGTCTCCGCTCAGCAGCTAGGGTGGCCTGCATGCATCCTCGTATCAGGCTTCTGACTGTTACTGCTTCCCCAGTGTGACTGGCTGATGTCCGCCCGCGTCCGGTTTATCACCTCGAGCTCCGCAATAGCAGCCCCCAACCTGTTCGTTCTAGGTCGAGAAATAAAGCGAGGCCTCCTTCCGCCTGGAGGCTGATCAGTTGCCGACTGCACAGAGTCGTAGCATCCCTCTGCAGCAAACTCACCGCGGAATCAACATTATGTCTATCGAGAAAGACTCACAGTCGTCCAGCCCTCCTACTACTCACGACGAAGGAATACGGCATGATGGCCATCATGAGTATCGCCGGACAACGGTCGCTGGCCAACCGGCCTATGCGGAGCATGGGCCTCTTGTCGACCACAAAATCCCTCAAGAAGACGTCGTCCAGTCTCACCCTGATCTTGCTTGGAGCAGAATCCGTCACTTCTGCCGAGAGCCTTTCGCCGAATTCTTTGGTGTCTTCATCCTCATACTGTTCGGCGACGGCGTTGTTGCGCAAGTTGTTCTCAGTAAAGGTCAAAAGGGTGACTATCAATCGATATCATGGGGCTGGGGGTAAGTAGAGACATTCCATCTACATTTCCTGTTGCAGCTAAGTATGTCGGCAGGCTTGGAGTGATGTTGGGTGTGTATACAGGGGCCTTGGCCGGCGGCCATCTCAACCCAGCTGTCACCTTCGCCAACTGCGTGTTTCGAAAATTCCCCTGGCGAAAGTTTCCCATTTATATGTTGGCTCAGACTTTAGGTGCCATGTGTGCCTCTGGAGTCGTCTATGCCAATTATAAGTCGGCGATTGACGTCTATGAAGGTGGGCCGAATATTCGGACAGTTCCTGGGTATTCTGACACCGCCACTGCCGGGATATTCTGCACATATCCCGCTCCTTTCATGACGAAGACAGGGCAATTCTTCTCCGAATTCATCGCAAGCACAATCCTCATGTTCTTGATTTATGCCTTGAAGGACGATGGCAATCTCGGCGCGGGAAACCTCACCCCACTGGCATTGTTTTTCGTTATCTTTGGCATCGGAGCTTGCTTTGGGTGGGAGACTGGCTATGCCATCAACTTAGCGCGAGATTTCGGACCCAGGTTGATGTCGTATATGCTGGGATATGGCCACCATGTTTGGAGTGCCGGAAACTATTACTTCTGGGTATGACGGTGTTCCTGCAAAGTTATGTGCTGCGTTGCTGACAAATCCAAGGTCCCAATGGTTGCGCCCTTTTGTGGTTGTACTTTCGGAGGATGGCTATACGACATGTTCCTTTACACCGGCGAGTCTCCCATCAACACTGAGTACATGGGTTTAGCCCGCTTGGTGAAGTGGAACAAGAGGACTTGGTCGAATACCTACGACTCTCAGGTTTGACCGCTGCACGGACGCCGTGGAGCATGGTGTACAATATAGGAAGGGCATTGAGACGAGTGCCTGCAGAAACTGCATCAGTGAAAAAGCAAAAGGTATAAGATGGAAGTCGAAGAGCAGGAAGAAGCCTTCAACTGGAGAAAGAACGTGATGGTTTGAAGGTGCCGCAAGCGATGCAGTACTTGTTGCCTGAAGATGACTATGAAACCCGTGTTCGACTGGCTGCTCCAAGAAGGTCAAGAAGCAGATTTATTATACTCATCATTCCAATAGATGTTGGGAAGATAGTTGTGAAGCTGTTCCTGTGACTGCCGCTAGGGCTCATTGGGCTTTTTTCCTGCTGCATACCTGGTACGTGGTAGTGCAGTGGAATGTGTCTCCAGGGACGCGATTCTTCCACAATATGAACGCGTGGGCGGCACCTAGGTAGTTTCCACAAGCCGTGCGGGATATGCCTTCTGACCACGAAGCAGAGGAAGTCAATGCCCAAAACAGTGGTGCGCATCATCAATTCTCAGCACCACTTACCTCCCACCGAGATTCGACTGGGGAGGTAATTGCACGCTTCCCCGGGTCAAACATGTCAAGAGCAATATTTGCGGCCAGCCTCGTGAATGAGTCCCATAATCATCCACCAGCAGCTTGCGTGGCCTTGGGGAGATAGTCCCTGTTAATATGAACAGGTCATTATACGACCAGCCTTCCCACATCAGCTCACTTGATAAGCTTTTTCTGCAAATCGGGCAGGCTGGGGTGGCTGATAAGTGTGCACTGATCACAATTGGGGACGGGCCGCACGGTTGCGCGGTAAGCCTGCTGACGATTGACGACGGCTCCGAGCACGGTTGCTCCCAAAAATTGGCGGCAGACGAGTTCTGGTGCAGCTGGCGGTCAGTGAGCATCTGTCCAGTTCTTCAACCAGAATTTCGGTGTCGATAACACGCAAGAGAGCTACGTCGTCCATAGACAGTGCGTCCACAAGGCTGCGCCGTGTAAGTAAAGGGTCTGCAGGGCGAGAGCCTCGGCCAGATCGTGGTGGGACAAGGCTGAGAGCTACCAGCCAATTAGAAGAGTAGTTTTTTCACGACTTTGGCTTGGCTTCCCTTTTCAGCTTAGTGTTGCCTGTCACTAATTTCCCAATTGACGTCCATCCCACGCATTGTTTACATGGCAGCCTTCAATCCAGCAGAGGCACTGCTACAATGCCCAAGCAGCATCTTTTTCGTGGTCATACATCGTGCCCATCCGTTGTCAGGAAATGGAGCTGATACGGCGGCAACTTGGACGGATTGCTCCTTGGGCTCCGGACGCGCTGAAGGTAGGCATGTTAACAAATCTGGAAATCGGGAAAAGAACCAGATCATACGGTACCAGGGCGGACCATGTGCCAAATGCCCCAGATATGACTTCCAATAGCCAAATTGTAAGGCAGAGGACGCCTATACCTCAAAACTATCTGGGACTGGCAGCTCCGCTTCTCCAGTGGACAACGAGAATGGCCTCGCCCATGCTGACGAGTCGATCTAAGATACAATGGGCACGAAGACCACTCTCAAAAAGGCTACAATTGGGCAGTGCGGCAAAGTACGACGTGTATTCGTCATTGGCCAGGCTGGCTTTTGGCATATACTTCGATATTCCGACCCAGCCGTCCGAGCTTTCGGTTCTGCCTCCAGGCTCTCGCGGTGGCGGTCCCGGCCTCTCGCGTGCCGATTGTCATGTCCCAGAGAGAGCCCAGCCTTCAAGGTCTTACAGCTCAGGACTCAATGTTGTCCGGGCAGGCCCAACCGCATGGTTGCTCGGACCATCATCACTCCACTTCTATAGCTGTTCTCCAACGCTGTTGGCTCTGTGGTCTGGCCACGTCAGCGGTAGGTTCGGTCCAACCCTACCAAGCGTCCACAGATCTCTTCCCAGCATACGCATTTTCACGCTGCCGACGTCTCTTTTCTGCTATCGTCACAATTGACCAGCCTCGTCGATACTGTGTGACTGGAAGCCCTTTCAGTGAGTATATATCGAAGGCGTTCGTTAGCTCCAAGATGGCGTCCTCCAAGACATTGTCACATACCCTTTGCATTGCTATATTTGCAAGACCATCCAACACAGACAAAACCACCGGCTGTGCTTGCAATCGTCGCGCAGAATGCGTGTCTCGATTCCCACCTTGACACTCCTTGCCGCGACGACAGCCACAGCATCATACGTCCTCGAAGATGACTATTCCTCATCATCCTTTGCATCCATGTTCGACTTCTACACTGTGAGTATTTGGAGTGACCGGGAAGATAATGACAGAAAACTAACAAGTCACAGGGGGACGATCCCACCAACGGCTATGTCAACTACATCAGCCAGGACGAAGCCACCAGCTCCGGGCTATACAAGCTCGACAATGGTGCAGTATATATGGGAGTCGATAATACAAACACTGCCTCTGGCCGTGGTCGAAACAGTATTCGAATAAGCAGCAAGAAGACCTACAACCACGGACTCATCATCCTGGATCTTGCCCACATGCCCGCCGGAGCCTGTGGAACGTGGCCGGCCTTCTGGCTCCTGGGGCCCAACTGGCCATACAGCGGAGAAGTCGACATCATCGAAGGAGTCAACGGCCAAACCAACAACAACATGGCCATGCACACCGACTCGGGCTGCTCAATCGTCAACACGGGCGCATACTCTGGTAGTCTTGAGACGGCCAACTGCGACGTCAACGCCGCCGACCAAGCCACCAATGCAGGATGCTCGATCAGCAGCGGCTCAACGAGCAGTTTCGGCAGCGGCTTCAATTCCCAAGGCGGTGGCGTCTACGCGACCGAGTGGACCAGCGAAGCCGTCAGCATCTGGTTTTTCCCCCGAGGCAGCATCCCCAGCGACATCACCAGCGGCAACCCGGACACATCTGGCTGGGGTCTCCCGCAGGGCCAGTTCGCGGGATCGTGTGACATTGACTCCAAGATCAAGAACCAGCAACTCGTGTTCGACGTGACCTTTTGCGGCGACTGGGCCGGCAACGTCTGGTCCACCGATGCCACCTGCTCCGCCAAAGCATCCACCTGCCAGGACTTTGTGCAGAACAACCCTTCGGCCTTCCAGGACACCTACTGGCTGATCAACAGTTTGAAAGTCTACACTGAGAACGGAGGCGGTGCCGCCACCACCACCACCACCACCAACACTGCTACCGCCACCTCGGCTGCTTCATCAGGTTACGAGACCACCGTCACCGGCACACCCACCACCTTTTTCACTCTTCCAGCATCATCAACTTTGCAAACTTCAGATATTGCCGTCCCCACTACAACCTCACCCGCGGCCGTTGTGACCACCCCCGCCGCTACTACTTCCGTCGTCGTCGTCACCACCGCTCCCGCTGCACTTACCGAGACCACAACCCCTCCAGCTGTAGCTGCAACTACAACCGCCGCTACCACCCAAGGGTCGTCGGGTGGCGGCCACTGGGGCGGCTGGCGTCACGGCGGCAGTTCCGGGTCATGGGGAGATTGGGCCAGCGGCCACAGTTTTGGCGGCAGCAGTCGATGGAGGAGATGGTTTTCATGAAACCAGCCAGCAAAGCCCATCCTCAGCTGGCAACCTTTTTCGCTTCTCAACTCTAACCCTTTTTTCTTCTTCTTACCACCGACGTTCGAGCGAAAAGCGACTGCTGAAACGATACCGATACCCCCTTTCTTTCCTATCCATATTTTCGCACACAAACCATTCACAGTGCCACCGGCGCAAGGAGGTGGTGGACCATTCGCAACCTCCACTAACGATGTACCACCACCATCACCACCACCACCACCACCACCACAATCTACCATCAAACCCTATCCTATCCTGGAAACAGCACGATACAATTATTCCAACGAACCACTTTTACTTTCTCCCCACCACCACTGTCTTCCAGCCTTGTTCCGGACCACCGATGGTGATTTTTTTCCTTCTTCTTCATTTCACTTACCACAACTCGGTTGTCACAGTCCACTATTGGTGGACTGACGATTTGATATCCATGCATATATTTGGAAAGGGACGAGATGGAACAGGCTGATTATAGACAGACGGAAATAGATGGACATATCAAAATTTATTCGGGCATTTTGAGCGAGGAATTGACACAATATGGCATGGCATAGCGCGGCGCAGCCCCCCGAGATGGGATGGGATGGGATGGGATGGGATTACATTACATTACCTTACATACACTGGAAGTACTATACTATACCAGAATTAAAGAATGGACATATACAGTACGCCTAAGAAAAGAAGTTCATCACAGGAATTGGTTTTCGTAATCAAAAATCGAGATCGATTGTAATTCATTGGCCACCCTCATCTCACGCAAAAAGATCATCCACCACATTGGCACCATGCGGCCTTTGCTTTTCATAATCTCATTATTGGATTACCAACGCCAACCGACAACTGCCACTTGCCCTGGGTATCTACTTCTGTAATATACAGCCGTTCTAATTAGTTGATGTATGATCATATCATCACATAGAAGGAGCGTTCAGTCCAAACCAGTTCCAACCTTGGTCCAACTCCACTGCTGTCTGGGCATATGGGTATGATCCAAACGGGAACCCTTGTTGCGGAACACTGGCAGCGGCTTTATCACCAAGCTGGCCAGGGGCAGGCTGGCCTGTTCCCACGCCTGCCGCCGCAACACCATCCGCACCACCACCACCACCACCACCACCATCATTCAGGTCCTGGGTGGTTGTGGTGCCACAAGCGCCACCGCTGGGATACGGACTCTGGCACATCTGTTGTGGAGTAAATCCCGAGGAAGAACTCGTGGTGGTGGTGCAGCCGCCGGCCGAGGGCAGATCCAGAACTCCAGAAGGAAACGCCATAAAGCTATCAAAATTCACAAACAGATCGTCGGATTCTGACGGTGGCCAATTCTGGTTCTGGTCATATCCTCCGGAAGCAGTATAGTTTGTCGATCCATAACCTGACGCTCCACCTTGGCTCTGGCTTTGATCTCGAGCTTGAGCTTGAGCTTGTGAGAGGGAGTGGTGGGATTGCTGAGAATGCAGATTGTCAATGGTCGTCGACAGGGGGGATTGCTGCGTGCTGCCAGACGATATTGATGGAGGCGTAGGGAGACCAGCATTGGGCATACCGCCGTAGGCATTGCCAGCGGGCACCGTGTCTAAGTTTCTTGTGGTGGTGCTGATGGATTGACCTGTAAACCGTTGACCGTACGTTCCCGGTTTGATGGGCACAAACTGTTTCCCGATTCCAATGGAGATGGTACCGAAGTAAGGGATGGAGACCTGAATGGTTTCATTGCGGCATGAATTCGCTTTTTGTTCTTCGCAGCCTTGTCGCACCCGAGCAATCATTTCGAGCGCTTGCGCGGATTGCGCGGCCACTACGCCGCCGGGCTCCTTTGCAGCATTCTTAAGCAGAGCAATCGTAAGATCAATGAGGTCCGAATCTCGTTGGTCTTGCTCCAGATCCGGAGGCTGGACGTTGTTCCCCCGGTGCTGCTGTGCATAACCACACAGATTCAAAAGCAGCAACATGGCGGCGGTAAATGCCTGGAAATCCACCAGCTTGCAAATAAATGGTCCAACGGATTTGTTCGTTCGTAGTGCGTCGTAGATGCGAATCATTTCTCTCGCCCCATCGAGAGCGGCAGAATGCGAATATTGGTATCTCTTGTCAGCCGAGGAACGGAGCATGAATGGCATGTGGAGAAGGACTCTGGCCTGATGATGGAAAAAATGAGCCTGCAACCGACCAAAGTGTTCTTCCACCGGTGTACCCGGAATGACATCAGGATTCCACCATGAGGGATCTTGAGCATTGTGTAGCTCCTCCAGTTCCTGGTCCAATCGCAAGGTGGCTGAGTATCCCATCGGCGTCACGCTTTGGTTCCGATCGCTGATCTTGGTGATGATGGGGAGCATTTTGGCTGCGTAGACTTCACCACTGTTGACTTTGGTCGCGGACACTGGACCTGTGGACCTAGGGATGTACGGTGTCACGAAGGCCTCTGCAACCGTATAAGGAAGACCAAGTAAAAGGGATATATATCGGTCCCCTAAAACAAGATGGCACCAGAGATTGACGGAGCGTTGATAATCCAGTGATTTGTTGTTGGGGCTGGCCGGCAGCCTGTGCAATCCGAGAAGCTGCGCAAAGGCAATAGCGCGATGGTAAAGGAGCCACGCACGTCTTGGACGGCCCATGTTAATATGATACTTTGCTTCAAGCAGCATGCATTCAATACCGTCAACGGTGGCGGCGATCTCATCGTCAGAAGTAATCAACTTGTCCACGGTGGCAATATAGCGTTCCATGAGGTCAGTCCGCTCCTCCTTGATTTGCAGTCGTGACCAGTCAAAAGTGGACGGTAGCTGATGGACGCTGATGGCGATACAGAGCATGATCTTCCCAACTTCTGCTGGTTTTTCGGTCCGCAAAGAATGAGACACCGATTCCTTGATGGTTTCACATCGGCTGTCCGCAATCTGGGGAAACATTGTCCTCCATATTGCCCACCACTCATGAGAGGCCTCAAGTATGATATCGAGATCCTGTGCGGGAGGCAGTAACTTGTGCAACGCCGCAAGGAGTGCCTTGGTCTTGTTGTATTGAGCCCTCGAAACCACAGCTTGGCTCTCTTTTCTTGTGATGACAGCATTATCAAAAAGGGTCAAAGCAGGAGCATCTTCCCGCAGGCCCCCCGGAACCAGGATCGATTCGTCCGTCGCGGTCGCGGCCTGTCGGAAAGAACCTTTGAGGCTTTTGAGAACTTCTGCGGCCTGCGCATCGACATGTCTTTTGTCTGTATCTGCATCGTTGTCTGATGAAGGTTTGCTGGCATCCTGCTCGGGCAGGCGATTCAGGACCTGTCTTACCAAATCTTCCAGTTGCGACACTCGCTCGCGTAGACTATACGACGACTGCTCCACGGTCGACTGCGTGTATGTCTGTATGTCACCATGTTCCTGATCGATGCACGTGGAATTCCGCGCATAACACTCATTGCAAATTGCGGGTCTTCCGGGGGTAAAAGTACATTTGATCTTGCGCCGTCGACATTCCAGGCAACTTTTTGTTCCCTTTCGCATCTTCTTCCTCGGAGGCCCTTGATTGTGGTCAGAACCAAATCCGAGGGCCTCATGGTACGGCGAAGTGGACATGCTCGGGGGACGGGACATTGTCTGACACGAGAAGGGCAGGCCTGAGCGTGCCAGCAATTCGGTCGAAAGTCAACGGAGGAGAGGCCGGATAAGAGGTATAGAGTACGACAGGCAGAAGTGGAAGTCTCCGGCTGACGCAGGCAGGTTCGAAACTTGGGCCTGGCAGAAGACCATGCTAGTCCTCACCAAAACTCTCCGTTCAGCCTAGTGGTGAGATCAAGCGCGAGATACCACCACTACCTGCACGAGTGGTAGGGCTGACCCAGCGCTGATGGTCAATGCTCTGGGGTTCTGGAGAGTGCCCTCGTATCGCCGTACCGCACCGGGTGCGGTGGACCAGTCGAACCGGAGTTTAGCTGTACAGTGCTAGTACTGCGTGCCAGGTACAACGTAGGTTTGAATAGCCAGATCAGGTTGTTGGCGATGCGGGAAAGCTGTTGGCCAATTGGCTCATAGCATTACTGGAAGATTCCACATACTAGTATGGAGCATATTTGAAGATTCTGTACAATTGTAGCCCACCAGTGATCTGCCACACTGTGGACTCGGACGTGGGATTGTGGTAGAGGCTTCTGAATGCGGTAGTGGGCAAAGGTTGGTCCACGCTTGGTCCGCGCATTCTGTGGGACTCTCGTCAGACAAAAGTTACACCGCTATAATGCAGGTGACTAGCTGCCAAGAATTTTGTCAGACATCCATATTTTGCATTGATCCGTCGCTCGGCCGAACGGTCCGTTGCTGCTGATTCATCACGGACGGAGACAAGCAAAATAGCTTCAACGTCGACCTCCTTTTCTTGTCCATCACGCAAACTCTCTTTGCCCTGCCGTGTCGTGTCGTACGGGGTTCATCAGGCGCCCTCTGCTCAGCGTCAGACATTCTGTGAATCACATTTGACTGGCAGCTGGCACTCGGAGGAATAACATCCCATCCCCGACGCCAGAACCAAGGATGGAGCCCAACGTACTCCAGTATTATCAATCCATTCGTACTCACGTATGCTGGTCCTTGCCTATGCTCGCCGATAGTTTGAGAGTCCCAACCCTGGTGGTTCTCAAAATACGGCTGATGCCTGACCGCGAAATCAACCCGGGATCCAGAGCGGGCCTTGATGACAACTTCAGCCGCTCTGTTGGAACGTATCACAGCCGTCCGTTTCTTCAGCCTTGTGTCGCTTATCGAATCAAGCGGCACAGGTCTTCCCTGTGCGATGTATCGCATTCCAACCTTGACTTTTCAATACGATGACCCTCCTGTGATGATTCATCGGTGACTCCGTGGTGAATCCACACTCCTTTGTTCTCACACTGGAAAGTTTTCTCCTTTGGGACGTCAGATCGAGAATCCGGACGAAACGTGCGCCCGCCGTCCGGACTGCGGGACGTTTCACATGGGGACTTCCTTTGTTATTTCCGGCCAGATGGCGCTATGTCCCTTATTCCCAGGTGTAAGGCGCGCAATAGTGACTGTCGGCCTGAAGAGGTAGGTAGGATAACGTTGAGTCCCTGTATATATTCACTTCATTCTCACCCCCCATGATGTGATGATTTCTTCTGCTTCTCCCAAGACAACGTTGAAGCCACACGCAACCTTCACCCTTTCAAACAGCCGAAGAGAGTCCTCACCCTCAAGGTGATCTGACACTAACAATGGCGGTCCTACCTTCCTATGAAGCCTCTGCAACAACCTCCATTTCCGATCTATCCAAGCCCCCTCTACCAGCTCCGGGCCAAGATGAGAAGGAATCCCAAGAGGTGGATGTTGAGGGACGCACTTCAGGTCAATCCGTGCCCATTGAGGGAGGTGCCGAACTGGAACGGGAACTATCTCGCATCGACACTTCCGACTACCCGTCGGCCTTTCCTCTGGCTATGATCGTCGTGGCCCTGGCACTCAGTATCTTCCTGGTGGCATTGGACATGACCATTGTGGCCACAGCAATCCCGCGCATCACCGATCAATTCCACTCGCTCGATCAAGTTGGATGGTATGGCAGCGCCTTTTTCCTGACCATCGGCTCGTTTCAAGCAACATGGGGCAAGCTTTACAAGTATTTCCCACTCAAGATCTCGTATCTGGCCAGCATCATCATCTTCGAGGTGGGCTCCTTGATCTGTGCGGTAGCCAATGACTCGACTACGCTGATCGTGGGACGAGCCGTGGCCGGCATGGGAGGTGCAGGCATCGCCTCGGGCTCGTACACGATCATCGCGTTCTCCGCGCCGCCAAAACAACGTCCTGCCTTTACTGGAGTCATGGGCGCCGTCTTTGGCGTGGCCTCTGTGATCGGTCCTCTCCTCGGCGGTGTCTTCACCGACAACCTCAGCTGGCGATGGTGCTTCTACATCAACTTGCCTATCGGGGGTGTGGCGGCCATCATCATCTTCTTTTTCTTCCACACCCCCAAAGCCGCACGACCTCAGGCGGCCACACTGAAAGAAAAGCTATTGCAGATGGACTTCCCCGGAACATTCACCATCATGGCTGCCATCGTGTGTTATCTGCTCGCCATGCAATGGGGCGGCGCCACCAAGCCGTGGTCGGACGGGTCCGTCATTGCCGTCCTGGTAATGTTCGGCGTCTTGGTCATTGCATTCGGAGTCATCGAGTACTTCCAAGGCGACCGAGCCCTGCTCCAAGGTCGGCTGTTGAAAGATCGAACGCTCGCCGCCATGTCCGCCTTCATCTTCATGGTGGCCGGGTCCTTCTTCATTCTGTTATATTACCTGCCAATCTACTTCCAAGCCACACGCGGCGTGTCTGCAGCCAAATCAGGCATTGACAATTTGCCGTTGGTGCTAGGCGCCTCACTGTTTACCATTGTCTCGGGCGGCCTGTTGACCGTCTGGGGCCAGTACGTGCCCTTGATGGCATTCGGGGCAATTTTGGCCTCCGTCGGTAGCGGTTTGATCTACACCTTCGAAATCGACACCGACTCGGGCAAATGGATCGGCTACCAGGCTCTTGTCGGTATTGGACTGGGCCTCATCTTCCAAATTCCCGTCATCGTAGGCCAGGCCGTGGTCAAGCCGAGTGACCTTAGTTCGGTGTCGGCCATGATTTTGTTCTGGCAGACCATCGGCGGTGCCATTTTCATTTCGGCGGCTCAAGCCGGTTTCACCAACAAAATGGTCAAAGAGCTCCCCATCCGCGCCCCGGGCGTCAACCCGGCCTTGGTCCTGGCCACCGGTGCCACGGATCTCCGAAGAGTCTTTCCCGGCGACCAGATCCATGGCATCCTGTCGGCATACATGGAGGGCTTGCGCGTGCCCGTTGCCATTTGCATTGCATGTGCTTGCGTCACTTTCCTCCTGGCTTTCACTCCTCGCTGGGAGAGTATCAAGGGTAAAGTCAAGTTGGATGCTGGTGCTGCATAAGGGAAACAAGGAATTCGTCAACTACTAATGGGCCCCCCAAAACTTTAATTCCCCAGACATGCAGTGCGCAGAGACCTGGAATGGATGGGGTTCGCAAAAGTACGAACTTGAAGAAGGACTGGGGGTTACGATGTAATGACTTTGGTGGCTCTTTCTGACATACGTTACCTCGACTGGGGAGTGATATGAGATTCTGCATTCGGGGGCGTTTCTGTTCGTGCCAGTCACATTTCTCATAACTCAACTCCAGTGTACGTAATTGAAGCCTAAGTCGCCTTTTTTTCTTTATGTGTATAATTCCAATCGCACACTTTTTGTAATGCGCCTAAATTCATTGCGTTTGTTGACCGATGGCATGCATTCATTGACAGGGGGAACAGAGAGATCACCTGGTGTTTTGATTTCCCTTTGATACATGTAGCTTTTCCTTGTCCTTGTCCGACTCGAACCTGGCCGAGCTGAACAGATGCAATATATATACCTAGCTAGATACGTAGGTACTCAAGGTACTACCCAGGTCCCTACTTTTAACCCTTACAGAAAAACCACCGTTACGTTACAAGCTCGAACTGCCACGGTAACAACCTGAACGACACAATAACCATCTCCCAAAAAATTCTCCTCCCAGAGGACCTAGCTGGGTGCGCGGTGCCGTAGCTTTTATGGAAAAGCAAAAAGAAGAAAACATCCGAACTAGTGTTAAGGTCGCACTGTTTTGCAATTCCATTCCATTTTTGCAGGGGGCTTAAGCGTGAATATCCACCACATCTTCCTTATCAGTAATGCAACCTTGACTGGCGTCGCTGACGAGTTTGGCATATTTAGCCAGCACGCCGCGTCTGTAGCGGGGTTGGGGTTTGTTTTTGTTCCATTCCTTGCGCCGCTGGACAAGAGTCTTCTCGTCGACGAGCAGATCGAGTTTCCGGGACTCGGCATCAATGACGATCTCGTCGCCGTCACGGACCAGACCGATAGGACCACCTTCCATGGCTTCGGGGACGATGTGGCCGATCAAAAAGCCGTGGGAACCGCCCGAAAAGCGGCCATCCGTAATCAGGGCGACATCTTGACCGAGGCCAGCACCCATGATGGCCGAACTGGGCTTCAACATCTCGGGCATGCCAGGCCCGCCCTTGGGTCCTTCGTAGCGGATGACCACGACGGTTTTCTCGCCCTTTTTGATCTCGCCGCGCTCGAGAGCCTCGATGAACAAATCCTCGGCGTCGTAGACCTTGGCCTTGCCGACAAACCTCAACCCTTCTTTACCCGTGATCTTGCCGACACTGCCGCCGGGGGCGAGGCTGCCGCGCAGGATCTGGATGTGGCCGGTTTTCTTGATCGGGTTGGAAAAGGGCTTGATGATGGTCTGGTCGGAGGGCAGGTCGGGGAAGGCCTCGACGTTTTTCTTGAGCGTTTGGCCCGTGACCGTCATGCCGTCGCCCTTGACGACACCTTCTTTGATCAAAAACTTGAGCAAGGCAGGGATGCCGCCGATGCGGTGCAAATCGTTAAACACAAACTTGCCAGAGGGCTTGAGATCGGATAAAAAGGGAGTCTTGTCGCTGACGGCCTGGAAGTCGTCGATGGTCAGTTTGATGCCGACGCTGTCGGCAATGGCAATGAGATGCAGCACCGCGTTGGTCGAGCCGCCCGTGATCATGACCAGCACCATGGCGTCTTCGAAGGCCTGCCGGGTCATGATGTCGCGCGGCTTCAGGTCCAGTTTCAACAGGTTTCTCATGGCGCCGCCTGCCGCCAAGCACTCCAATTGCTTTTCTCGCGATTCCGCCGGGTTCGACGAGCTGCCCGGGAGCGTCATGCCCAGCGTCTCGATCGCCGACGCCATCGTGTTGGCCGTGTACATGCCGCCGCAGGCGCCGCTGCCGGGGCAAGCGTGCCGGATGATGTCGAACCGCTGTTCCTCGTTGATGTCGCCCGAAATGAATTGGCCGTACGCCTGGAACGCCGAGACAATGTCGATGGGCGCGTTGTTTTGCGTTCGCGCGCACCCGGGCGCGATCGACCCTCCGTACACCATGATCGACGGCCGGTTGACCCGCCCCATGGCCATCAGCACGCCCGGCATGTTCTTGTCACAGCCAGGAATCGAGATGTTGGCGTCGTACCATTGGCCCTGCATCACCGTCTCGATCGAGTCTGCTATAATCTCCCGCGACTGCAGACTGTATCGCATCCCCGTCGTCCCCATCGAAATCGCGTCCGATACCCCGATCGTGTTGAACTGCATCGGCACCATCCCGGAGTCCGCCACTCCTTTCTTCACAATGTTCGACAGGTCCATCAAGTGCTTGTTGCATGGGTTGCCGTTGTACCACACCGACGATATCCCCACCTGCGCCTTGTTCATGTCCGCCTCATTTAGCCCGACCGCGTATAACATGGCCTGCGACGCTCCCTGCGATTTCGGCTGCGTCACAATCCGTGACACTCGGTTGAGTCCCTCATATTCGGCCGCATCGTCCGACAAGGACGAGGCCCAGCGACGACATGATGACGAGAAGTAGCGACTATTACACCAGACAAACTTTTGTGAGCATCGACTTTTGGATTTATCCTTTTTTTCTCTCCAAGAAATGTCGGCTTACCTCCTTGCGCTCGAAATCTGTGTCCTGGCCTGCCTGAGTCGCAGGCTTCGCAGAGATGCCGACGCTCTCATTGTGCACGATCAAGGCTGTGGTGTGCTGACGGCTGAATGAAGCTTTCGCTGCAGTCGACGAGCGCAGTAGCAAACAGCGTCGACAACAAATCACCTCCCCAATAAAGACAGACAGATCGGGGCTCGAGTAAGAATCACCAGTCTGGGTCAAGAGAGATACAAAACGATATTGCAGGCAGCCCTACAAGTCCAAGCCCACAGCCAGACGGGTTCGAGTAACCTAAACCCTCCCACCCAAGGCTTCTTTCTCCAGAAAATACTGCCGGAGCATTGGGCAAAGTGTGGCTGCGGAGCCAATCGGAGTGTGTGTAATTGTGCTTCTGCCGGGGAGTCCAGTCCAACTCCGAAGATGCCTGGTAGTCCTTTCACTGTGTCCTGCCACCTACGAAAACCACCACTCCAGCGTCTATTCGCAGCGAGCAGTTCCTTCGCGCTACGGTCTATTTTACAGTAGTACACCTGTCTGGGGAAGCGGTGCCTACGGTACTAGTAGTCAAGATAATTCTCGCAAATAAGATGATCATGTGTACCTAGGTAGGTAGTTGTACAACGTAACTAAAATGGGTATTACTGACCAAACTGTCTCTGCAATAACGCGACCTTCTTTGTCTCTGATCTACATGGAATGATTGTCGTTGACTCCCCGTATAACCACCGTTCACAGCCAACCCATAGAGGTCTGTGTCTCATGAAAGCATTCAGCATTCATTCGTCTTATCGAACGAAAGCCGGAATCTTGAATCCGTCGTGACCCGGCCATTCACACTCACTTGCGGTGCCCTCGACAAAAGCAATAAATCAACAAAAACTGATGTTACAAGGTCTCTTCCTCGACCCAATGAAGACCGCCGTCCACCTGGATCCCATCCTTGACCCAGGGCATCTCGCGTATCTCGGACAACGGTTTTCGGCGGCTGGCCCTCTTCAAGAGCCCATCGACACACTCGGCAGCTCCTTGGAACTCCCGGCCTTTCTCGGGATCCCATTCGCCGTCGTCGTTGCCATATTTGACCCACGCCCATTCGCATCGAGCAATACGATGAGGAGTGCGCGCCCGCAGAGTAGCAGGATCTCCTCTGGCTCCGGGCAGAGGGTCGAAAGGCAATCTACCTTCCATCAAAGCATATAGAAGAACCCCCAAGGCCCAGGCATCCGTCTGACGCCCATCGTAGGGCTGGCCCATAATGATCTCAGGGGCCGCGTAGTCTTCACTACCGCATCGTGTTGTGAGAAGAGGACTTTCCGGCGGTTCGGGGATCCGACGCGAAAGACCCAGATCCGTCAGTGTGACCACAGCTCGATTGAGCGTTTGCCAGTTGTCCACATCTGAATGGACGCGGATGGGGATGTTGAGCAAGACATCTAACAAGGTCAGTCAACAACCGAGAGAGAATGAATGCGCTAGAACAGAAGCCTGCAGAAACATACTTTCCAGCTTGATGTCACGGTGGACAATATACTTCTGATGAAGATACCGACAGGCTGAAACGAGCTCCGAAAATATTCGACGCACCAACGGCGCCGTCAGGACATCTTGGTGTTTGCTGGCAACCTCAAACAAGTCGCCTCCTGGACAGTAGTTCATCACAAGCAATGCTCGAGTGTCGCCGTCCTGACCATACGCTTTCAGATGAACCAACGAAGGATGCTTGATCGATTTCATAATGTCCAATTCTCGTTTTAACCCAATCTCGATTCTTTGCGCATCCGCGCCGCCAGCCGGGCCATGTTCCACAACTTTGACAGCGACCAGTCTTCTTGATCGAGCTCTCACCCCAGCCATGTTCACGCTGTCCTGCCTGTAGTCCACGCTATCTTTGCGGTCATGGTTGAGTTTCCGCACGGCCAAGTAAACTTTACTAAACGTTCCTTGACCAAGCAGACGAATTGCTTCGTAAGACCGCGGCTCACCGTTGACGATACTCCTAGCGTGGAAAACCTCCAGTCTGGGCCGTTTCGCGAGAGGCTCGTCCTCCTGGCTGCTTTCTATCTCATTCACCGTCGGTGGAGGAGTTGGAGGCTTTTGAGTGGCAGTTTTGTTCATAGCTCTCTGGGGGCCAATGTATTCTTCACGGTGCATCGTCGTCACCGGCGGAGGTACATCGGCGGGAACTCCTGTTGCAGATACGGCAACATTTCGCGGCTTTGCAACAGGAGGTGGATCAGGCACATAGTCACTAACACTGCGATAGTGTTCTGGGGCGGCAGAGGAATCGTCGGCAGTGTTTGACCGGGATCGCGGGACAGGGGACTGGAGTCCTGGATAACCTTTTCGGCGAGGGGAAGAAGGCGACTGGGTGGAAGGCTGGGCCTCGGGCATGACCTCGTTCTTAAGAGAGGATATCGAGGACTCGCGGGATCTCGTTCGTGAGAAAGCCTTCCACGAGTCAAACGTCCCCAAGGTTGGAGAGGGTAGGGGTGTGATATCGAGCATTGCTGCTATTTGCGGTGACGATATTACAGGACCAGGAGAGACTGCGCCGGCGGACGAATGCAGCTGTGCGCGTAGACTGGGGGTTCGACGTGGGAGACTGGCAACAGAGGCACTTGGGCGCAATTGCGACTCGTACTCGATCGAATAGGATGACCCCGATTTTTTCAATGCATTGATATCAGTCCTGATCTGTAGGCCGCTCAACAGATGCGCCGCGTCGCGCTGAGCGCGTGATGACTCCGCCGAGGACGCAAAACTGTGCGCATGCTGAGAGGTCGCGTGTTGATTGTCCTGAAATGCTCGCGCATTGGTCTGGTACAACGTCTGGTCCAAAGGATTGACCGCTGACGTGGGACCAGGAGGAGTCAACAGAAACCGATCGTCCGCCCATGACTGCTTGTCTTCCTTTTGGGTTTGTTGGTCCTCTGGACTTGATACCGGCCGGGCCTGAGAGGACGCTGGAGGGGCCGGCTGGGGGTCGGTCATGGTGTTCTCCTGAGGCTGTTATGGCCCAGCGCGGGTCGATCCTTCATTAGCACATGCATGAAAGACGGGCGAAGAGAACTTGAATCGTAGTAGTCATATGGCCGTTCGAACGCGATGTCAGTGGTGAAAGAGGGCGGCGTAAGATCTGTTAACGCGGCCCGGCTGGTACGTGTTTGTTGTTACCTTAGCCAGCGTGCGGCGCAGGCTGGAGAAGGAGCCAGTGTTCGTCGTAGTAGTACGGAGTCTAGATTATTGAGGAGACCGGAACCCGTGTTGTCGCAACTCAAACTTGGAGTGCAGTCCAGTGGTACCTGACTAGCAGTAGTGGGATGCAACGGCGCAGCGTAGGGCTTACTCAGGTACAGTACAGCACTACTACATTCTACTACTTCTAGTGCTCGACTAGCAAGGGGTTCATCGTGCCATAAATAGCCCAACAATAATAAATAAAAAAATACGCAAGATCCAGATCGAGGATCGGAGTTGAAGTTCACCATACATGTAGGTAGGTATGCTATAGCTTTCCACGGCGCGTCACATAATATTGCTTCTGCCAGGTGCACAGAGTAGGTAGCTACCAGTACCTACCAACAAGCCTCAGGCTTTCTAAGATTAAGTTCAGGTACTAGACCCCGACGCCTTGGTCAGCGAAAATGCGGCTTTTGCTTACCTAGGTATGTGTCACGGATCAGGCCCAGATATGGTCACATAACTAGCATATGATCACTTAGCACGTGACCTGATTGGCGCTAAGCCCCATTTAGTATTTATGGCTAGCGTAGGCGCGAGCCTCGGTCTAGTACTTCTACTAACCGAGCGCTTCTAACTCTCTTTATAGTCCTTCGTATAATAATTTACTTAATTAACGTATCTCTTGCTCGCGCCGTAAGATTTTGTTATACTAACTCTTTACCCTCGCTCTAGCTAGTTAAACTATCTAAAGCGTAGTATCTTTTTTTCTCTTATACCTTCTCGCCTTAATTCGTTTAATAGTACGTACTCTATTATCTATAGATCGACGTATCGTAAATTAGAAAGAGATAAGTATACTCTATTAAACGTTTAAAGCCTCTATTATATCTCGTTATAGAGACTCTTAAGATCGACTACGCCGTAAACTCGAGTTCTTTTTAATATTACCTACGACGTACTCTCTAGACTACGGTCGACCCTCGAGACTTACTAATTCGACTAAGACTCTTAAGATCGGCCGTATCGTAAACTTAAGTCGTAGTTACTTAACTAGTCTTAATCTTCTATATATCTTCTCGATCGAGACTTTCTATTCGAACTTTATTATCTCGATCGAACTCCCCTACTTAAATCTTATATAGTCGAGTAGAATTAGGAAAATACTAAATAAGAGATTAAAATATATATACTAAGTTAATAAGATAGCGAATAAAGATAAAGATAAAGGCCGAGTTAGTTCGACTAGTTATACTTCTAGACTATTATAATTAACTATTCGAGCTATCTAGAGTACTTAAGGTACTTAAGCTACGCTAAGTACTTAACCGATTTTAACTACTACTAGTATATCTATTACTTCTAGTTATTACTTATCGCTATTAGATCTATCTTTATTATCTATAGAATAGTCTTCTCTATATTATACTAAAGATAATAAAATCTTTATTAAAAATTAAGCCGAGATAGAGTTTAATTCTAATATTACTTATACTCTAGAAGAACTTAAAGAGAAACTAGTAAGAGACGAATAACTATAATATATCGTCGTCTATACTAGATTCGAAAACTTCTCGTTAGCTCTCTTTCTTAAATAAAGTCTTACTAAAGATAATCGATTAATATACGTTAAGAAGAATTTTTCTATATATATTAAATCTACTAACGATCTAACTTTTATAGACTAGTACTAACTCGCTAAATTTATTAAAGTCTAGAATCTCTACTCTAAGATCGTCTTTATTTATATATAACGCTTAATTAGAAGATATATCTAAACTCGAGATAACTTTCGAAATACTAAAGTCTCGCTTAAAGTATAACGATAATAAGCTAGAGAACTTAAGCTAGAGTTAAAGAAGCTACGTAGATAGATAGTATAGAAGAACTAGAATCTAGAAGTAGAATACTCGTAATAAACGGCCTAGCTTACTAAGTAGCGTAATCTTCTAAATATCTTTAAAGAAAATTAGCGATAATTCGTATAATATATATAAGGATAGCGTAATAAGATCGCTTATCGAGATATCTAGATCGAAGTATTAGAAAAGAAATTAAGTACTTTACGACGCTCTTAATCTAAACTAATTAATTAGACTTATTTACCGATTATTAATCTAGTACTTCTCTAGGCTTTTACTATCGATAAAACCCTATCTCGTATAAATAATAATCGATATAGCGAGCGTTTCTCTACTTACTATATTATAACTATCTTTTATACTAACGCTATTACGACTCTATCTATATATCGTATTAAGATCTCTAATCCTAAGAAGTTCGAGAAAGATAAGGAAAAGTATAAAGTCTAGAAGTCTAAAATACTCTATAAACTAAACTCCGAGAAAGATTACTTCGATCGTATTAAAGAAATAGCGATAGTAGAATATATCGCTTCCCGTTTAAAGAGTTTTACTTATAAGGTAGTCCGCGATAAGTTATTAGTATTTATACTACTCTACTTATCTTTTAAGTCTATAAGAGAGATTTAGAAAGTATTAGATTAGTACTTCGAAGACCCTAATAAGAAATAAACTATATAAGTCGAGTACGAGATACTAAAATAAGAGTCTAATAAGTTCTTCGACGACTTTCTATTAAAGTTCCGTATTATTACGGTACGCCTCGATCTTACGAAAAAGACCTATATATATAACCTTATAAGGAAGATTAACTAACGTTTATAACGTCGCGTTAATAACGGTATTTCTTATAGAAGCCTTATCGAACTTATTTAAAAGTATCGATACTAAGAATAAGCTATTATAGACGAGGCGTTATAGAAGAGATCGGATAAATACTTATTAAAACGCTCTAATACTAAAACTACTAAGCGAATAATTACTATATCGACTACTACTATAAAGGAGAAGACTAAGTTTAAGGTCCCTATATCGGCTTATTTATAGAGCCTTCTAAAGCTTAACTCGAAGCTTAAGTAATAACTAAGGAATAAGAATAAGTATTATAGATATCAATATATAGGATATCGACCTAATAATTCCGACTATAAGTATTATAAGTAGAAGACTACTAATATATTCTTAATAGCTCTATAACTTAACTCTATACTTCTAGATAATAATATATTAATAGAATCTAAATCTAAAAAAGATAATAACTTCTTAGACTCGAGAAATATTTAGTTCTAAATTAACTTCGCTCTATTAATTCAGAATATATTAAATCTTCTCCTAAGCGTAATAAACTAACTCTATCTACTCTTATTATTATAAACGAATATAACTATCTTATACTAGACTATACTATTAAGATATCTAACTATACCGCTAAGTATAAAGCTATATTAGATATCGGCGCTATAGCTACCTTTATTAGTAAACGATTTATTAAAAAATATTACTTACTATAACGATAGCTAAAGCGATCTTATAAACTATAGTTAGTCGATAGTCGAAAAGACTTTATTATATACGTAGTAGAGATTAAAATAGTAATCGAATAATATTACGAGAAGCTCTAGTATTACGTAGCCTTTAAGCTAAGTTACTCTTTAATACTTAGACTCCCTTAGATAACTAAATACTCTATATAATCTAACTTCGCTATATATTTAGTAACCTTCTCTTCCGAGAAATATAAGTTATATCTACTCTATTAAATATCGATAACTATATCTAGTTTAAGAGTACTTATTACTTATCTCCCTAATACTTAAATTAATAAGATCGATATTACCGCTCTAGATTTATCGAAATTCTACGATCTACTTATTAATAAAGATATTAAAGAGGCTATAATTATATTTCCTACTTAGAACTCTTAGAGTACTCCGAATATAGACGAAGTCTCTTAAGCTCTTAGTCTTTTATCGTTAATATACTATACGATAAGCTAAGTAAATTATAATAAATTTATAATCGGTAAGAAGTATATAGATCTTAAGAATAAGATACTCCCGAACTACTATAACTATCTCGATATTTTTAAGAAGCTTAAGGCGGATAAGCTTCTTCTATATCGCTCTAGACTCGACTACGAAATTAGATTAATATATAATAACTAGTATAGATATTCCTATAAGAAAATATACGGTATATTCTAATAAGAGCTAGTCGCTATAAAGAAATATCTCGATAAGAATCTAGCTAAAGATTTTATCTATCTCTCTTTATCTTCTATTACTTCTTCGGTTATCCTAGTAAAGAAACTCGATAGAGGGCTTCGATTTTACGTAGATTATCGAGTATTAAATACTATTACTATTAAAAATCGATATTCTATTTCTCGTATTAGAGAGACTTTAAATAAATTATATAAAGCTTAATATTATACTAAATTTAATATAATCTTAGCTTTTAACCGTCTATAAGTAGTATATAGAGACGAATAGAAGATAGCTTTCGTAACGAGATTCGGATAATTCGAGTATCTAGTAATACCCTTCGGTCTTTATAACGCTCTATCTTTATTTTAAAACTATATTAATAAAGTACTTTAAGATATTCTAGATAATTACTATACGGCGTACCTAAACGATATCTTAATCTTTAGTAACTCTCTCGAAGAATATAAGCGTTATATTAAAGAAGTACTAAAACGCCTTCGGAAGATATAACTCTACCTAGATATTATAAAAATAGAGTTCTATTTAACGGAAGTAAAATATCTAGATATAATTATATCTACTTAAGATTTTCGTATAGATCTAGAGAAAATTAGTATAGTACTCTAGTAGACTACTCTACGGAACGTTAAAGATATACTCTTATTTCTAGAGTTCGCTAACTTCTACCGAATATTTATTAAAGATTTTAGACGGATTATATTTCTACTTACTAAACTTACGAAAGGAACTAAAGAACGAGCCTTTAGATAAACGCCGGAATATTAAAAGACATTTAACGCTTTAGAATAATACTTTACTACTACTCTAATTCTTTAGTATTTTAATCTTAATAAATAAACCTAGCTAGAAGTAGATATATTCGACTATATTATAGCTAGTATTATATCTTAAAAAGACGACTAGGACCGACTTCGCTCTATTATCTTCTTCTCGAGAAAGATAAATCTAGCCGAATATAATTATAAAATATATAATAAAGAGCTCCTTATAATTATAAAGACTTTCGAGAAATAGCGTCTAGAACTAGTAGAGTTAGTGTTACGAATGCCGATACCAACTGCCGACAACTTACATCCCTCGG